GGTATTCCTTGTGCTCCTCTCCCGAAATGAAAAACTGGAGTTGCTTTATCGTCGTCACTTATACTATCAGAGAGAGATCCACGTGGGTATGTGTACTGTACTATGAATATATAAGAAAGTCAAACGTAAGTATGTTTTATATCTTTGGATATTGAGGTTTTTTATTATGTCGACTGGCTGAAGTTCTCAGGAAATAGGTACTAAAACATCCTAAAAGAACTTATAAGCTTAAGCTGTATAGTAAACACACTATCAATGAAATTCAAACCAGAGATGATATATGTAGTATAAGTATTTAGTATATGATCTTACATAGATCTCGAACATAAGAGCTCCGGGATTTTTGTAATGGCTGTTGCCCACATACAAATCTATGGAAAAAAGAGGAATTAATCAAACCAGTTTAAACTTTAAAAAACGAAGTAACAGTTAAGTTAGAAAATCAAAACACATGTAAAATTGTCCAACCTTTCGGTCCAGTATGGGAATACCAAAACCAAAGCGAAATAAATTAAATTCATATTGATAGCAATAGATTCAAAGTTGCAATATATGTTGATATCAAAGTGCACTTCACTGATAAGAATATCTAAATTATCAGGCCATTCTCTTCTCTCTTGCACTGTACTTAAAAGAAAAGTAAAGCGTAGAAGTTATAAGTTTGATATAGAACTTGCATGTATTTTAAACGATCTGGACTAATTTGTTTTCACATAATATGATATTAATATATCATTATTTTGGTCATTAGGTTGAATTTCAGAGATTGCTTAAATTTTTAGCCCTAAATCAGTGAAAACGGGAGACTTTAAACTTACCTCTGTTTATGTCTCTAGAATTTTCTGTGACCAAGTGTAGTAAACTGATGAGAATGTAAAAATTATCAGATTGTCGTTCAGCAGGTCTGAATATAGATTTTGTTTCTTAGACTGCAACTTCTTCATTGTGAATGGTAACATAGTCTATTTAATGGGGACAAAAATGTAAAATTACGGTCTCAAAGTAGAACTTATCTTTCTATTCTCCGTCAATATGAACATTTGCTTTTGATTGTCTTGTATTTTCTTTTAAATTAAAAGTATCAGACAAAAATGAATTACAAAATAGGTCTCATACTCTTTTAAATGATTCAATGGTACCCCGAAAATGCCTCGTCCATAGTTCTGCCAAAGGCAATATAGCAAGCATACACTAAACTGCTTTGTAATATGAGTGTATTATAATACAAGTGCGTTGCGTACATGAACTCTGTCCTATACAGTTGAAGACTTTGGCCGTCTAAGTAGTCTGAAAGGTGCAATGCGCACCTGATAAGAAAGAAAATGAAGAATTTCATAGAATTCTCTTCGTTTTCTTTAAGAAACAAACGATTTCTTGGAATTTACTATGTGATTCTTATGATAAATGGGTACATTGAGATTTCTTGGTGGCATTATCCTTTTGCAATTTTTCATATGTTTACATAAGGTAAAAGCTATGTAAGAACACATTAAAATATTTTGCATATTTTGTTTTAATAAAGAATTGTTTGTTCAAATTCAATGAACCTAAGAATGGCAATCGTTATATTCTGTTTTATTCAATTTAACAAACTTATTAAATAAAATCGAAACATGAAGATGAAAAATTAAATCTCAATTATAACCAATTTTTTTGATATTTCATCTAACATTAAAGTATACTTTATGTAAAATCTCCAAAATTTGCAAAGATCTCGCAAAGATTGAAATTATTTGCCTATGAAATAGCATAAAAACACACTAAAGAGGGCAAAAAGGATCATTTTCTCATAATATAACATAATTTTTCGATATGAGTGGGTCTTCCCTCCATTTTTTTTTTTTTTTTTTTTGAAAGTTTATCGTCAAAGTTTGCGTATAAATATACACTTTTTGGTTAACAAAACATGGAGCAAAGACCCATTATACCTTAAAAATACACTTTTAAGACACAACATTCGCATCTTCTTCATAAATACTTGAAGCTCATTTAGTTAAGGGACATATCACAAACATATCACAAACATGATTTAAATGACAACTTGACTCTAAATACTAAATTCACAAATTGAATATAATTTTTACATATCTGAAGCTATAGGCATTCTGCAGGCCTTGTTCACCCATCTCCTTAGCGCATTGCTATCCGCGCCAAAACCGCTAAAATATGAAGCCCGCTTTTTTTAAGTACACATACAGTAACCCGTATATAAAATTAACATTCCATGGGGAACATGAATACGCAAGACTGTTCATACCAAGAAATCAACAAATATCAAATTCCCACTAAAATTAGTGATTTCACAGTGCAACAATTATTATAGTATATTGTACGTGAAAACGATGCAGACGTTTTAACATTACTCCTGAAGAACTGTCATTATAAACATATAGACCCCTGGCCTCTTTTCCTTAGAAACTACGTTTTGGTAAGTAAAACTGAAGTACGTAAAATAAATCTGATTTTCGTACGAATATGTTAATATGCCTGATTATCATTTAATCTATTAATTTTTTTTTCAAAGTTAAACATTTTATAGCATTGTTGAATAGATGTTTTCCAAAAGAGTTTCCTTCAATATTAATTTTTTTTGCTAACACATCACAAATGACTCAAATCGATGCTATCTGAGAAGGTAATAAATGAACGTTTACTTGAGAAGCATGAGCAAAAATTAACATTAAGCAAATTACAGACTACCTTGCATGGATTAGGAATGAAGCCCCCAAAATAATAAAATTCTTGACCTCAGAATCTGTACCTTTTAATCATTTCATCGCTTAATTATCTGATGTTACAGATGCTGAAGATGAATACGTTGAATGAGTATAATAGTAGAAATTGAAGTATCTTCAATTTACTGGTTCAAATCAAGTTTTCATCCAAACGCGAATAATACACAAGGTTTGGTTTTGTAATCAGATACTTTGTTAAAAACGTGCTTTGTGCACATAGGCAAGAATTTCAAAATGAAGATAATTCCTTTTATCATGTATCAAGACTTTTTAGTTACATTTTTTATTTATTTATTCTTTTTTATTGGTCCCCTTGAGGGCTTTTTGCATTGTGTTAATTACATGTACATTTCGACACTAGTACTTTTAAAGATAAAAAATATTGCATGCAAATTTCTATCATCTTTACTTGAACAAACGAAGTCTTTTGTCTCCTTTATTCAAGCATTTGGAGATCATTTTTAAAATGTTATTTCTAAGTAGTTTATACGACGTATCTGGGGAAAACAGCTTTGAAACAGATGTATCATTTCTCCTTGTAGAGACCATTCCCTTAGCTGAACACAGTTTTTTTGCATCTTTTATCATAATTAAAATTTTGCGGCACCGCTTATTATTGAACCGTTGAAATATAACTCAAAGAGATGACCATTTTATTACTTATTTATATGGAAACCTGAATTATGTCCGTGTATCTTGTTTGTTTCTGAAAATAAGTAGAAAGTACATAGATTATTTCAATGTCTTATTGAAATTAATTTTTTTTCTTCAAATTCCTTTCATCTAAAGGCGCTTATAGTCAATGAAATTGCAAACTGTACGAAGATTACCAAAAGCGCATGTCAATCCAGTAAATCCGACTGAACATCTACATAGGAATGATCCTATAGTATTCACACAAAAACCGTCGTTGAGACACGGATGTATGTCAAAGCACTCATCAACATCTGTAAACAGATAGTTTCGGTAATTCACATTTTGACGAGAAGAAAGTATGTGGTACATTTTATATATATATATATATATATATATATATATATATATATATATATATATATATATATATATATATATATATATATATATATATATATATATATATATATATATATATATATAAATAAAATATTTATATATATACCCGGTAGTAGCTCAAGAAAGCTGACATAGTGTCTTTATCTATCATTTACCTTCGTCACAATGTTGTCCCTGTATTCCGGGTTCACAATTACAGTGATAAGATCCTGCTGTATTGACACACGTTCCATATACACATGGATTTCTTAAACATTCATTAATGTCTAAACAAAGAAATATACAAGCATAGTGTCATAGAATCAGTGAATCTTATTTACGAGATGAGGTATACTTTACAATAAGATTAAAGGATACTGCACATGCACTATATAAAAAAAATTATTCAAGGTCATGCATTATTTGGTATAATATTAGTATGTAAAAGTGATGAAAATCTACATAAAAATTAACGCGAAGTTGAATGCGCTAAAGGCGATAACATTCTGCTGGTATAAATACTTTCCTAATATCTTATTACTTTTATTATTTCAAATTCTAAGGGAAAGTTGAAAGAATATTTATCTATATACAATGTGTACACCTTGATCACAAAGGCTTCCGGTCCATCCTGGTGCACAAGTGCAGGTAAATGACCCTATGTTATTACTACATGTTGCACCGTTTTTGCAGGGCATGGTTGCATTGTTACATTCGTTGATATCTGCCATGAATGAAAAGAAGAATATTATGAACTTGATAAAAGAATAAAAAAACCGAAGGCTTTGCTTATGCTTTATATGTTCCTACCTTGATCGCACAATTTAGCTGTGAAACCTGGATAACAGGCACATGTATAAGACCCAGGATTATTAACACATGTTCCATTGACACATGGTGAAGTAAGACATTCATTGATATCTGCATGGAAAAAAGAATGCGCTTTTGATACATGTATATGTACAAAATTACAAGAAAAGCATTGATCACACTGAATCCATTATGTTTATTAAAAATTAAATTTTGCTTACCGTTCTCGCAGTTGACCCCAGTGAAACCAATAGCACACAGACACGAGTATCCACCATATTTTTCAACACAAGTTCCTCCGTTTTGGCAAGGTTTCCACTTACAGTCATTATCTTGAATTTGGAAAAAAGATTTTGTTTACAAATGTTGTTTGTATGAACTCTTGTGGTTCTCTGCATGAAAAAGCTTAGATGATGAGTAAAAATAAAGGTTTCTATTTACCATCCGCAATTACGTAGAACCAAACGCCGTGTTCCCCTGCGTGAAAATATTCAAAACTTAATGCATTGCATAAGATTAAAATTACAACATGATATCATGATATATATATATATATATATATATTATATATATATATATATATATATATATATATATATATATATATATATATATATATATATATATATATATATATATATATATATATATACTAAGTATATACATGTAGTATGTTAAATCAAACCTGTGTTTCCTCTAAAATTGCTCATGCCGAATGCGTCATCTTTGAATGAATGAGAATTACTAAGTGTCCTCACATTCGTCTTATATCCAATAGCTACCTTATGAGTAGTATGAGTTGGATCAACATCCACATTCATGTAGTTAAACACAGCGTATGTTGTAATGAAATCCGTCATAAGGACACACTGTATCGTTATTCGCTGAAATTTAAGATTGTAATTTATTGATGAATTAAGTTGTTTTTGCTGGATTTCAAACTCGGATCGAAAGAGTGTAATCAACTGCTTTGAAATTTAAATGATGCATAACGGGAAAGGGATAGAATTACGTCATCATCAGGAAAATCCACTACTTCCGTGTTCCACCAAGTCACAACCAATACCCATTTTGCAGAGAAATGCGAAATTCCACTGTTATAAAGTACATCGTAATCTGCCTTTGAAATGATAGACTGATCAAATTGATTGCTCGCATCGTATGTTTTGTAGAAGACATATCCATTATTTCCACCTCGCGGATTTAAATCCGTCCAGTAGGGCGCCAGCATGTCAGGTCCTGTGTAATTCTTTATAGGGTGAGGGGAGCTATTGTTGTTTCCAAAAAGTATCTGTCCATTTGAGCTAACCTTGATCAAGATGGATTCTCATTTAAACCAACTAAAAGTATTTTTGAAAACTAAAAAGCAAATTTTAAGCATGTATATTTTATTCTACCAGTCCAGGGTCAATGCAAAAATTTTGATAATATTTTTTCACAATCACCAAACTGAAAGTTTTAAAAGCTCCCTTTTTGGTGTAATTCATTTTTCTGATGCATATTACATTCATCTTACCAATCAAAATAAAATATGTGATAAAAAGCAGCGGTAAGAAATCTTTTAAAATTCATACTTTATAATGCACTTGTAATGAATTTTGTTGATCCCTTGATCTACTACTTTATTAACGGTACATTTAAAAGGTGTGGCAAGTAATAAGATTTGATAAAATGAGTTAAAATCGTGTTCCTTACAAAGACATAGGTATGCGTTTTGTTGTATCCAATTGGTATCCCATGTGCTCCGTTCCCAACATGTATCGCTGGACTTGCTATGTCATCCCCAGAGATGCTGTTAGATAGAGATCCGCGTGGGTATGTGTAGTGTACTACGGAGGAAATGAAATACTGAACTGTATTGAAATATGAGTATTTTCTAATACGGTCTTCTAAATATATACTGAAAGGAAAAAGAAACGCAGAGTAAACTTTTGAAGTGAATTAATGCTTTTTTTTTCGAAGGTATTTTCCAGTATTGTTATCTATCATTTAAACTCATCTTTAATGGACAAGTTACCAAAATCTCATTTAATTTTGACTGATAATTCATAAGTTATTGAAATTCATATGAAAGTACCCCCAAAAATGAAAATAAAAATCCTCAATATCTCCCTCACGCGTCTATCACAATCATGATTCTCCTCTGCATGAAGTTCAAGAGAGCATTAATCTTTTTCATAGGGATATTTATTCAACCCTTCCGACCCTTTGGTTGAGATTAGCTGGGCTCACCTACGCCTTCAAACCCCAGCGTCCAGTTAGTTCCACAGATTTTCAATTTAAAAAGATAGAATTTACGGATGCCAGTTGATGTCAATATTTACGAGAAAGTCTTGACGACAAACTCTGACAACATTTTTTTTGGGGTGAACATGCAGAATAATTAGGCTAACGACGCACACGTGCGCGAGTGAGAGTATCAGACGTAAGGTTGACGAGCTCACGGACTTAAATAAAGCAATGAATTTCAGTTTTAGAGTGAATGTAATGCTTATGATTGCTTTCTGTATTAGAATCGGTTTCAATGGTAAAACCGTGGCAATTATATAGGTGGTAGGATGAAAAACCTTATTTTCATATGACGTTGTTTCGCTCCAACATCACCGTCACGGTTGGTTGGAAACCTTCCTGTTCCTCTCCGACAACAGATAAAATGTTCTATGGTGGAAAATTAATAACAAACACAGCAACATGTTGTTGCCTTTTTCTTTACATAGGCAATTCAAATACTAGACCACAAGTGACTTCCATCAGCCGTCCCAAGATTTCAAGAAATTCATATCAACTGTAGTGAAAAACGATGTGTATACCTCCGGTACATCAAGTAGTACTACAAAAATCTGTTGACAAACCTGACCATCAATATGCACGTGTTTTTGGCTTTTTACCACTTTTCCTATGTGACGTCATACATTTCACGGTTGAGTAATCTTGAACACAGATTTTAGTGCACAGTAACCAAGATACACCTCTGACCAATTTTCATAATTTCGGCCACTAAGTTAAAAATATTATGCATATTATGTTACCCTGTGTTTCTTTTTCCTTTCAGTACATACATGTATAATATCTGCCGCTAAAAAATCACTTGCTGAAAGAACTTAAAATTTAAACTAGAAATAATCTTACACGAATCTCTCACAAAGGAACTCTGGGATTTATACATCTTTGACGGTCCGTACACATACCTAAAGGATAAAGTAGAAAAAACCATCAGAATAAAAATTATTTGTATAATTTTTAATTTGATAGTGTAGCTAGTACAAAAAACCTTTTTTTTTTCTTACCTCTTGGTGTCTAAAACGCAAACACAGCTTCTAAATACTCCCAGAATTAAAGAACAATACAGGAAATACATTGTATTAAAATCTACAAAAAACCGAACAATTTTCTAAAACCTCTCCCACGACAAAGTGAAGTAAGGTGATAAGAATATGTGTAAATAATCAGGTCCTTGTCTTGCACAGTAGTTCAAAGATAAATGCTCGTTTCTCACAACTCGAGCCTCTTTTCGAGGTTTCGTCTCGTTGCAATTTTGTATCGTGGACTTTTAATTACAGAATAATATAAAAGATTCTCTCATTTTTTTTAAATTCATTACTTATATGTGTCTTTGACTCTTTGTTATTAGATTAATTTCCTTTTAGGTATATTTATCCATCATCCGAAATTTAACTCAAGCAATCTTTTGTATTTTTCTTTTAAATTGCTACAGTATTGCAAGTCAAAAATATATATTACACAGCATACACAAAAACAGCTTTGTTGTAATATTCAATACATAAGTATTCCATGTCTTACATAAAATGATTAATACAGGTATACTTTCGATTGTCTCCATAGACTGAATAAGAGGTGCAAGGTGCAACTGATAAGAAGAGGAAAGAATGAAGAAATTCTTGAACAGTGTTCATTTTCCTGAAGATAACATACTACGAGCGTTTCTTGATTTCCTCCTTTAGTATTTTAAGAAATGGTTTCTTTGACATTTTTTATTGGCCATCTTATCCTTTTGCAATTCCTGATATTTACACCTGAGATTAGAGCAATGTAAGTAGATGACATAATGTATTATGTTTGTGTTGTAGCTTTGAATAAATTTATGAAATGCAGTATTTATTTTCATTTGAAATTTAATTTGTAATTTTTCAATACGTTTAATTCAACAAACTTTTCTTAAAGAATATGCAAACAAGGGGATTTTTATATGAATTTTACTTTCGTGCATAGCGTATTCTATTGATGAGCTTCCACCTTTTTTGATGTGAATCCTTACATTTTAGATTCTTATTGTACAACTATTGCCTTAGATTTATGTTTAATTTCCAATTATATTTCCCATGTATCACCAGCATCTCTTGTCTCATTTATTTTTGACTCGATAACTGTTTTGACTTTTTATATGATGTATGGATGTGGAGTTAAAGAGCGACAATGTGTAAATAATATCCTATTAGGAAAAATCTATTATAATTCTTTTTTTGTAATAAGCAACAAACAAAATCACGAGACTCGATGGAATAATTCTGGAACGACAAAGACAAATCAGAGAAGAGTTCAATGCAAGTAGCAATTTCACTAAAATACATTAAGTCGCAAATATGTTATGATATCTTAACTTTTTCCATGAAACAATTTTATTTTAGACTTTCAAGATTTCTTATAACTAGACTTCGTTGATGTTACTTCTACAATTATTCTTCGTTTCACTTTATTAAATAAAAGAATTAAAGATAATGAAATATTTTAGTGAATTATATTTTCCCCAGAGGAGGAGACGTCAGCTATGAAGGAGATGATTACACTCATAGTTTTACATTTCAATCATCAATTCCATTTGGATCTGTGAAGTATCCGCATTTGTATGTAAGTCAACAGTTTTAATATACCTTGTTATGCATGGAATTTGCATGCGAAGACATTAATTTTAAGATCTTGGAATAGAACGATCATATACTTTCAAAATGTTCAAATCTTGATTTAAAATGTTTGCGCTTTTTTAGTGTGAATACAGTAAAACACGCTTATAGAGTAAGCGCTTATACCTTTTTGACGCTTACAGTGAAGTGATTTTCATTGCCTGCGAATTTAAAATATGTTGTGAAGTTAACGGATATATAACGAAGTATGTAACGAAACAAAATCGTCCATTCCTGGCACTTCGTTGTAAGTGTGTTTTACTGCAATTTTTACTGTCCTCAAAAAGTTTAAAAACACGTTCCTTATTTCTTATTGTAGGCCTGCTCGAACGGTTTTGTGTCTACATACTCTGACACAACATACACTCCAAATAACTACTCATACTTAGAGCTAGCGCCCTTCTGGACAGATTTAGAGCAACGTAAGGACGAAGAGTCAGCGATGTATGTAACAATGTACAGACATACAGTTCCTGATAATATTGATACACTGAAAAAGGCAACAGTGCTGGTTCTTCTACATTCTAGCAATCCACATTTCTCAGCTAAAGAAGTCATGGTAGTTACTTGGTGGAATTCAAGGTTTTACCAAGCTCCTCATTCAACAACGAATGTAAATTTTATAAAATTTTCTCCTCTTTCTACACGAATACCACTAAGATGAATATTTCTAATTTTACCATTTTAGTAAAAATAAATAATTGAACAATTTTCCTCAAACTCATTACCTAAAATGAGTATTTTTTTTTTATCAAATATAAAGCCAAATTTTAAAATTCGGCCAAAAGTTGGGGATTTTATTTTATACACTTTGTATATATTCAATGTGGTAATCTACAGAAAGTAATATATCAATAAAAAGTTACATGTTTGTTCCCTCTTTTTAGCGAGTCTCCATACAATGCGTAATTATGACTGATTATATTACGTCATATGCATTGTTTAACTATATCAAAGTTGATTTGAGCGATACACACGGGCATCAGATTTATACTGGATGGAGTTCCAACATCAAAAACGTTACATTGTCATATTCTTTAACAGACAATGCCATGAAAATGAGTAATTTCCAAGGAAATACAGGTATGTCAATCATTTAAATTCGTATGTTATAGATTGAGGGGGGATTTTTCCTAGATATATTAATTTAGAATCGTTTTGTTTTGTCGTAACATATTTTGAACAATAGAAACTCTACAATTTGTTTTATATTATTCGCCGAAATTCCAATTGATACCGTCGACATTAAACGACTATAACAATTTTTACACAACTTCTTCGGAATTCTAATCTTTTATATTCCCCTAACTTATTTAAGAAATTTGGAATTAAAATACTCATAGCATCATATTACTACTACAGAGATCTACCAAATATTTGATAAGTAAATATGGGTATTCGGGAATAGAATTATTATTCTTATCGTTTTAGGTGAAAATGGTATCTGGTTCTATGAAATTGCTGGAAATGCGTGTAAGACCTATAAATAGTCTTCAAGCTTCACTTTATTTACAAACAATATTATACTTTCTGTAGTCATTTTAAGTGGCTCTGAGTGTTTCTCATGCAAAACATAAGAACCCTTTTTTGTAATGAGCAGATGAAGCGTGTCATTCGAACCCATGTGGATCGAGAGGAACGTGCACAGCAACATATGGCGGATACACGTGCACGTGCCATTCAGGTTATTCGGGTACAAATTGTGGATCAGGTATACAATGTATATAGTAAACATTATAACCAGCAGCATTTCTATCACAGCAAAAGTTTTTTCCCCCTTCAGAAAAATCAGGTTTTTTTTCTTTAGATATCAATGAATGTATAGCCACTGTCCCTGTGTGTAAGCACGGGACTTGCAGTAATAATGTTGGGTCATATTTGTGTACATGTGACCAAGGGTGGACAGGTCAAAACTGCGAGCATGGTAAGTATCAAAAAGATAAGTAAATGTGCTCTGTTTAAACAGTTTTTACAGTAAAGAATGTCTTGAAGACATCATATCAAACCGGTTTTCTTTATACATTATTTTATTAATGAATTTATATTTGCAAAACAGATATAAATGAATGTGTGACATACTCTCCAGCATGCCATAATGGTGGCAGATGTAGAAACCAAGATGGCTCTTTTTCGTGTCTTTGTACAACAGGCTGGGCGGGAAATAGATGTGAAACTGGTATTAATCATAAAGAATTTCAAAAACACACAGAATAAAAGTCATTTATTTGTTACTTCTAGCATTACATATGTGAGTATGGTAGGAATTTGATTTTTGTCTGCCTAGATTAAAACAATATTACATATTACAACCAAAACCTAACCATAAATTGAAATTTGGAATGGACAATGGCTTGTTAAATTATCTTATATTTTCACGAAAATGAGACTGATATGATTATAGATTTTAAGAATGAAAAATATTGAACGTTGATTTTTGTCAAATTTAGACATAAACGAATGCTCAATGGGTACATCAAATTGTTACCATGGAAGTTGTGTAAATACCAATGGATCCTACAGATGTACCTGTGACCATGGATGGTCAGGTCATTTGTGTGACGTAGGTAAGACAAACAGGAAGTATCTGAAATACAAGAATTTCATATTTATTTTCTTATTTGGCAATGAATAACATTGTTTTTAATTTTAGTAAATCGTTTTTACTTAAATTTTGCACCACGTATAAAACGTAGTTTTTTTTTTCCAACAAAAAGAATGAAACAACGTGTCATACATATTTTTAAAATTAGCAAGAAAATGGATATAATATGATTAAGTAATAAAGTATCGATATCATTTAAGAAAATGATTTTACCATCGATGAAGATAGTATGATTTCTTTGTTTTAATTGTTTCTTTCAGATGTGAACGAATGCATCAACCATCCATGTCATAATAGTGGCACGTGCAGCAATACAATTGGTTCTTACACGTGTTCGTGTTCTCAGGGTTGGATGGGACAACTTTGTGACCAAGGTGATTGAGAATATGGTATTTAACATTTTAATGATGACAATGATTATCTTCCACAGTTTACAAGTTCTATCCATAAGTACACGATCTTTAATATAGTCCATTCCATTACCCACGATAAATTAAAGTCCAGGCTTGTTGACATCATAGATAGCTGCTTTTTCGATAAAAATGAAACTCGTAAATTTGCATATGTCCCTTGTCGCTGGTCATTTGCAAAATTATTTTGTTAAAAAACATTCTGATTGTACACACAAGTACTCTGAAGTAGATATCAAAAAGATGCTTCAAAAGATGGTTGAGTTTCTGATTGACAACATCTATGTAGTTTTTGGAGATCAACTCTTCCAACAATCTGTCGGAATTTCCATGGGTTCCAATTGCCCCCCGTTATTAGCAGATCCATTTTTGTATTCATATGATGCACAATTTATTCAAAACCTTATACATGAGAAGAATAAGACACTTTCGACTCGACATTTACATATATTGACGACGTATCAATTAACAATAGTTACTTCCACTCATTTCTCCACTCGATATATCCAGGTGAACTTGAAAAAAAAGATTCAGAGTCTAATACATCTGTTTCATATTTGGATATTTTCCTAGAAAAAGACGTTAATGGTAACCTAACAAAACAAATGATATATCCAGGTGAAACTCCAACTTTCCTATCGTCAACTTCCCTTGTTTATGTAGTAATATCACCTTATCACCTGCATATGGATCTTCCAGTAGATTCGATATGCAAGATCCAATCAACAATTTCTAAAACGAGGGAAGCTATTGACAAACAAGTTGATGAAACAAGGATATCAACAGTCTCTTTTAAAGGCATCATTTGGCAGGTTCTGTGGTCGAAACAATGACCTTGTCAGAAAATACAATCTATCATTATTAAGTCGAATGCTGACTGACGGGTACATTAGGCCATTATTTACACACTGAATTGTCTACAGATTTTTCTGTTTTCCCTATCATGACAATGAGCGGGTGTTACCGGTCGACACGGGGATACTTACTCCTCCATGGCACCTGATCCCACCTCTGATTATTTTTAGAGGTCCGTGTTTGCTTTGCTCCCGATTTGTATTGTTTCACTTGATTACTGTTCGTTATCTCCATATGTCATAGCCTATGTCTTCCGAACGAAGATTTTTTAAAAGTAATTGAGAGCATTTTAAATAAAGACTATATACATTATGAAGTATGGAGATAACGAACAGTAATCAAGCTCAAAAGTCCATTGAAACAATACAAATCGGGAGAATAGGAAACACGGACCTCCAAAAAACAGAGGTAGGATCACGTGCCATGGAGGAGAGAGAGCATTCCTTGTCGACCGGTCACACCCGCCATGTGCTTATTGTCATGATCGAGAAAACGAAAAAATCTGTAGACAAGTCAGCGTTTAAATAATGACCTAACAATTAGTATGAAAAACGTCAGTCAGCATTCGACTTAATGATAGATTTTAGAAGAAGATATACTAGATGTTTACAAAAATCTGCATTTCTTAATGGTTCCTTTAAGCTTATAAATAAATATTTGAAAAGTACATGAAGATAGTACCTTCATATTGCAATGATAGCATAGGAGACGTCACCATATACAAGGGAAGGGTTTAAAATTTAAATATTTACTCGACACTACGGTCATTGATCAATGAGCTTTTTTAATAATTAAAAAAAAAACCAAATGTTTCTGTTCCAGTGATTTTGTAACAAATTTTTAGCAGTAAACATTAATGTTAAAAGGTTTAAGTTCATGGATCTGAGTCTTAAATTTGCATATTTTGACAAAGATACTTGAACTAATATGTCAAGAAATTACCTTTTGAAGTAAAATTATTTCATTATAATAGATAATATAAGCATGTCATTTATTTGAATGACCAAACATGGTGGATATATAAACTTGCTGAGCCGGCATACTAAATACATGAACCTATGTTGAATTCATTTCATGCAAGAGAATACTTCTGTAAAAGGAGTTCTATCCAACACAATATTTCGATATCACTGTAGGTGAAGCCGACCTTGCCAAACAGCATTTTAATTAACAACTTTATTTCTTTTTTCAACTGAGATCTAATGTTTTAAATTTTGCAATTGTTATAATCTTCGTAAATTTAAGGAGAAAAAGTATATTTGTGTGTCAAGTACTCTTTTCTATCGAAATATATGCAAAGCTGAGGATCATTTTTCTGTCGGAAATATGATTTAAAAATGGTTTCTCAATGCAACTGCAAATTATGTATTCCTCAATTTGTCTTAAATTGGTGTACTCTCTATATCCCTTTTTTAAAGAAAAGGAATAAATCCAAAAAATTAAAGTTCACTTTAAACCTGAAATGAAAATTTGTATTACTATTTTCTTTACCAGCTTGATAAAGAATAAAGATGATTTAAAAAAAAATTATTTCAGATGTAGATGAATGTCAACATACTCCTTGTGTTCATGGACGTTGTACCAATACACAGGGGTCCTATCAATGCAACTGTTCCTCGGGGTACACCGGTCACAACTGTGAGAGAGGTAAATAGTCTTTTTGTCGTATTGATGCTACTTTATCTTTAGCTCAATACAGTTTCTTCTAAGAGAAATCGGGGAAAAAAATTAAATTCTTGAAACTAGGACTTAATACTTACTATTAAGTATTTTCATGCAATGCGTTAGTTTGGGGAGATAAGTATCAGGTCATATCCTATTTAACTTAAATTCATACCAACTACATTTGTATTCATTTATTTCATTAAAACACACTGAAATTGACAAACTGTCCAGGTTTAATTCATCATTTTAGCTGAAATTATAGTTCTGTCTGATATAATATTACTAGTCACCTGTTGTATAGTTCATGAGGATGTGCATGAACTTAAGAATCTCATTCAAGGCAATCTAAACAGTATTGGAATAACTAACCTTTTCATCCATTTAGCAATTGCTAAATACTCTATTTTTTATGTTCACAATCACGAGAGATTTTTAATTGACCACTTTGAGAAATAAAAAAGAAACATTTGATTAGCGCAGAACTTTAGATCGGCCACTGAATAAAAAGGGTCCCCCCCCCCTCCCTAATTTTTATTTAATATGCATCTTATATAAATATCAATATATGAATATACCGTTCATCTAGATATAAATGAATGCCTCACATATTCCACTGCCTGTTACAATGGTGGATCTTGCACAAATTTGGATGGGACATTCCATTGCACATGCTCAGCAGGATGGACAGGTCAACGATGTGACCAAGGTTTTTATCTTATACATGTATCCTAATTATCTTTTATAAGCAATAAATAAATTACTGAACCACAGAATAAGTATAATTTTGTTACTGTGTAAAACAAACTCATCCTTTGTTGTTGTGTTTTTTTTTAAATAGTAAAATGTTAATTGTTTAATCCTAACTTTGCCTTCCATAAGGAATTAAGTGTTAAGCCTATATGCATTTATGGTTTAATTTCGATAAAAGAAATCTTAATATCCATCATTTATTTAATGTAATATACTAACTTCTATCTATTACAGATGTAAATGAATGCAATGCTGCATTATCGCCATGTAACAATGGAGGAAGTTGCTATAATACACAAGGTTCCTTTGGATGTTCATGCACTGCAGGATGGAGTGGAGCATTATGTGAAAACGGTACAAAAAATCTATTGACAGCTTATAGATTTCACACTATAATTGAAGGTTTTTAAATACGTAAATAACATGTGAATTACATTATCGAAATAACAATGCAAAAGTTGGTACATGCATTTTGCTCAAACCAATCTAGGTATCAATTGATTTTTAGACAGAAATAAGAAAGCTTATTAGACTGAAAGCTTGTATAAAATTGATTAAGGTATGAATGGAAAAAATGTTAGTCATTGATGATTCAAAATTCGATAAACACTTGTTGGGGTTTATTCAACTTTATACATTGTACAATTGTATCGCTGGCAGTGTGAGATAATTAACATTACAGGTATATAAAACAGAAAAAAATAGCTTATAGATTAACAAAGAAAACCCTATACTACAACAAAACCAAATTGGTAAAATTGATAAACATGTTCCTTTTTATCCCAGATTTATTACATACAGTCAAGAATTATCAAAAATGCATACAGAAAGTTGAAATAATTATTTTTTTTTTTTAAATATGGACAACTTGACTTCTTTTGAATTGAATTTCATTTTAATGGGTATCCTCACTTTATGTAAATGAATATATATGCAATCCTGGTCCTTGTCTTAGTAATTGACAGAATATGGATCCGAAGTTTTTGATTCCGTTTCTCTCGAAGACTGAACAGAAAGAAAGAATTCTTGGACACAGCTAGAACATTTTATTACAGATATCGATGAATGTTCTACTCTATCGCCTGCTTGTCATCATGGCGGCCAATGTACCAATACTGTTGGGTCATTCAAGTGCTCATGTACGACAGGATGGATGGGGCAGACATGTAGTCAGGGTATAATGTTTTAATGTGCATATAATAATTTTTGTTTTAATCAATAAGCAATAATTAACATATTTTCTATTTGGGAAAAAAAATTATAATCATGTGTAACTTGTATATAGTCTTTCAATCTTTGCAGACGTCGATGAATGTACATCTAATCCATGTATGCATGGTGCAACCTGTACAAATACAGTTGGGTCATATAGGTGCAGCTGTTCTTCAGGATGGTCAGGACATATCTGCAATCAAGGTATATGTGTACTTTGTTAAAAACCACCGCTGTATACAAGCCAGGAAAAACTAGGACACGTTTTGTTAGTATTATATACTATTACATGTACGATCAGTAATCATGTCGTAATTTTGGATTGCTGGGTAGAAGTAGATTTTAAAATTTTCAACCTGTTATTAAGAACAAAACATGCATATCTATCTCCAATTCTGCTTGTGAAACTAAATGAAATTCAACCCACGAATAAGCGTATTTATTAGTGGTTTTCTAGTAACTGTAACAGAGAACTATTAACTTCGTATTACTTTTCAAAGTTTTGTCCTAGATTTTATTACTGAGGTTCATACATAAAGTACAAGTGCATTATACAAAAATACCATGTAACAGCTGCTTTTTCAATAAAAATGGAACTCTTAAATTTACGTACCTTGTCATTGGTCATTTGCAAAATTATTTTGTTAAAAAACATTCTGATTGCACACACAAGAACTCTGAAGTAGATATTAAAAGATGCTTGAGTTTCTGATTGATAATATACCTATGTAGTTTTTGGAGATCAGGTCTTCCAACAATCTGTCTGAATTCCCTTGGTTACCAATTGCGCCCCGTTATTAGCAGACCTATTTTTATATTAATATGAAGCATAATAAAACTTATACATGAGAAGAAGACACTTACTGTGACCTTCAAATCAACATTTAGATATATCGACGAAATAAAAGATAACACAGAGTCTGACACATGTGTTTCATATTTGGATATTTTACTAGGAAAAGCCGTTAATGGTAATCTAACAACAAAACTTTATGATAAATGTGATGACTTCAACTTTTCTATCGTCAACTTCCCTTACCTATGTAGCAATATACCCTTATCACCTGCATATTGGGTTTATATCTCCCAGTTGATTCGATACGCAAGAGCATGCTCCACATTAAACAATTTCTAAAACGAGACAAGCTATTGACAAACAAGTTGATGAAACAAGGATATCAACAATCTCGTTTAGCGTCATCATTTAGCCAGTTCTATAGTCGATACAATGACCTTGTCTGCAAATACAATCTATTATTAAGTCGAATGCCGACTGACGTTCTTCATACTAATTGTTAGGCCATTATTTAAACACTGAATTGTCGACGGATTTTTCCGTTTACCCGATCATGACAATGAGGAAACGGCGACAAGAGATACTGACTCTTCCGTGACACCTGATCCCACCTCTGATGTTTTTAAGAGGTCCGTGTTTGCTCTGCTCCTGATTTTTATTGTTTCAATGATTACTGTTCGTTATCGCTATATTTTATGCTATTTTTAACTGTTATAGATGTGAATGAGTGCAGTGGTAACCCTACGCCTTGCCAACATGGCGGAAATTGTACAAACAGTGTAGGCTCCTTCACTTGTCACTGCCCTTACGGTTGGAGTGGCAATACTTGTAACAAAGGTACAGTCTTAAATGTGCAGTCGATATCAGTACTCATATCACTGTATTCACTGTTAGGTAATACATACATTACAAAAATACGAATATTTTTGCAATTGACTATGAACTTAGCCAAATATGCAGTGCAACACTGGGAACAAAATAGTTCTTTTACACAAAATATTTTGGTGAATTATAAGCATCATAGCCCATGCAGTTCAAACTCTTATATTTCCTCATATGCTTTTTTGTTATACAGATGTTGATGAATGTTCCACCCACACACCTTGCATTATGGGACAGTGTATAAACACGGCAGGTTCCTATCGCTGCCATTGTAACCCGGGCTTTACCGAGACCCACTGTAATAAAGGTATGGGATTTGTCCTTAGATTCATTTGCAGAATAATATTGGATAGATTTAATTTTTATGCTTTTCTGAAGCGTTTATTATTTATTTCTTTTTCACAGATATTAATGAATGCTTTCAGCATCCTTGCAAACATAACGGTGTTTGTGTCAATACGATATCATCCTTCATGTGCAAATGTGAAGGTCCTTGGGTTGGAAGTACATGTGATATAGGTATAATTACTTATTCATTCTCTTTCAAATTCAGTCTAAAACTTATGAACACATATATCATCTAAAGATTTGTTTTATTTAAAAAAAGAAAATAAAGGCCCATTGGGCCTTTGTTTGTACATGTAGAAGGAACTAAAGCCTGGTGAAAAAATATATTTTCCCCGAAAAATACATTAATATATAGAATCATTGCCATTATATATGACTCTCGGCTTGTTTTAGAAATGAAAGATATTTTGACATTCCTTTCGGCCTCAAAACAGATATCATACTGTGAATCATTTTTATTCGCGAGAACTTTATTTTCGCCTAATTACTCGAGGTCGTCTGTTCACAAAAATTCTATTCTCCCGTATAATTGTTTTACTTAGATTATTAACAAAATTACAATAAATGAAGTTTGTGTCACTTATAAATACAATATTACTTTCTCCCGAAAATAAGGTGTCAAGAAAATATGCATATGGTAATCTACAGAACAGTACATCAGAATATATCTTGTACTCCATACACATGTACATGTAGTTTCCCCTTTTCTAGAATACGTGTATATAGTGTTCCTAGAAATAAGTGAGAATTTTTTCGTGAAAGGTTTTTTTTTTCAAATAATTTTTAAAATAAAATATTTATAGTTTGAAATCAGTTTTCTATTAAATGACAATACTTGCTACTTTCTTATTTTATATGCAGTTTTCATGAATAATTCAATCGTTTTCTTAGTACACTTCCGGTCGATTTCTATGTTCAAAATGAGTGCTTTTGAAAAAAGAAAGCCTAATGTCCATTTTTCTACATGTAGTGTTATTTTTACTGAGCAATATCCAAGCCTTCTTTGATCTGTGAGTGTTAGTTTACTAGGCCTAAAACTCATTTCCTTTATTGCATGAATTCCTCTTCTTTTTTAATATTTTGAAGTTCCAAGGCGGTGGAATACTCGTTTCAGAAATATTACCAGATTAAGCAGTCCCTTACTAATACATATCTTAAATAGGCTTTCTATTTTCAATTCCAGTAATTTTTTTTAACATAGCAGACAACAGGAAGTCTATAAAAATAAATGGGAGCTTATCCATGAAAACTACATGCATCATTAGAGAGTACGGGGTATTGTCATTAAATAAAATAGTAACATTAGATTCAATTTTATGTCAATAATCCAACATTTTAGATAAATGTATTATAAAAAAAATTCTCAATAATTTCTGGGAACACTATATATTGATAGCGGGGAAAATAGGTTTTCACACTGCTAACATGCTTCACGTAGTAAAGTAAACAGTAAGGATACTTTTACAATAATTTAACACAAAAAGGTGAAGCGGTAATAAACGTGACATACTTGTAATAGGTAAACCGTATGATAAAAAAAATCTTTCAAATATAAATTACACATATAATTACACAAATGTATTTTCCTTCACTGTAGAAAATTTTACTTTAAGGTCAGACGACACGTTCCTCAATAATAATATAATTTTCCCCAAGAGTATATCATTGAAGTATTGCTACTTAACGAGTTTCCTGACAAAAAATTGAGGCACCTCATCAGGCATTTATGCAAGATATTAGAGGGTGGTGTTTTCTCTATGATCCTATTAGAAATAGCTTGAATTGCCGATATTACAATTTTGATGTACTTATTTTTCAAGACATTTTGAAAACAGTTTAAAATTCACAAGAGAATGACAATTATCAATATTTTTTTTATATAATTATTTTACTAAAATACAAAATAGGTATTTGAGGAACATGTCATCGACCTTAATTAAAGTAATAATCAGCCCTTAAACATCACTGAAACCTAGACAAAAAAGCGAAATGGTTATAACTTATGTTTTGGTGAAAAAACAGAAAAAAAAGAAAATATTTTTTTTGTTCAAAGCAATATTGACAGGGGATGAAAGGAAATACTTTGTATGAATAAATGAAATACATTACATGTTGGATAGTTTACCTCTTATGAAAATTAAAAGAGAAGCTATATTAAACAATTCTCACTTTATGAATTTCAGATTCTCGTCTACTCGGTTGACGTATTCAGTATTGAATCTTAATCTGAGAAGGTCTACAAACAGATGTGTGATTGTTTCAGATTTGTTTTAAAAAGCAGATCAATAAAACCAACACGATTTATATAGGGAATAATCTCTGGGTTATTATTTTGTAAATTAAGTCAAATGTATTGTAACTCGAAATCCTTTGTCAGATATCGAGATTTTATTTGACATTTTCGCCCTGCACAACAGTTAAACAAATCAAATACTATATACTTTATCTATCATCTTTTACACCCTTTAGTTAATTTCATCTTGGCACGATTATACAAATTAAGGTAGAACTGAAAACAGGCTGTCTTAAACCTCTGGTCAAATATTCCGTAAACAAAACAGTTACACACGTGATTAATCAACAACAACCTGACGCTGAGCCGATACATCACAATTCCAGGATCCGCAAGGAAATTCTGTAGATCATGGCCTAGGGTCAACAGAAGGCCTAGAGTGACATACGGCAGGTAGGACACGATGAAAATGACAGTCACACAAAAAAGAACCTTGGTTGCTTTTTTATTGTCTTTTGAGGAAGATCGCCCAAAAACAGTAGTTCTTTGTCTTGATAAGGTTTGATAAAATCTTTTGTGATCTATACTTTTGAGTGAATGATGCTGAACACGGCTGAGTTTCTTACACGAGAAACATTTGAGGCAGTAACATTTCGTATGTGACGTTCTGACGTGATTTTTGGGAAGCATCAATGACGCCATCATCATGTGCACCTTTGCTCGTCTCCTTGTGGTGATTCCAATAGAGATGTAAGTGAATAGCAAAACAACTAAACCGCAAACAAAAGCAAAGTTTAGAAATAAAATATAAACCACAGGAAGAACGTATTCCATACCCAATTCGTTTTCCAAGAAACATATCGTTTTTGTCGCGTTTTTCGATACTTTGACAGTTTCGAGACCAAACAGCAAAGGTACTGGAATAGAAACAACAATAGCAAGCAGCACGCAGAATCTGATCATTCTTTTGGCGCCAGAAACCGACCACTGATTTCTCATTGGATGACAGACGTGTCGGTAACGGTCAATTGCTATCAGAATAAGGATCAAGATTGACGTAATGGTCAGTATGGATTGGTTTGATCGGAACAATTTGCAAGTGACAGAGTCGTAAAAGTCGTATGGATAAAGAAGGTCCAGAATTTCCAGTGGCATGTGAACAGAACACATCAGAAAGTCGATCACGGCAAGTGACAAAACGAAAATTACGTAATTACTGTTTTTCTTGAACTGTGTTGAGAACACGACCAGAACGTGTATGTTGCCAAAGAAACCTACCACCATTAGAATAGCTACATAGGTGATAACTGGCTTCTGTCCCACAATGGATTTGTCAAAGACATCGTCTGCGTCCTCGTCGATAATTTCATCCATCCTTGCTTAGATTTTGTTCAGTAATCATCAAGGATTCATGGACTAGTTTGAAAATAAAAGACACCTATTATATTATTTAACCTATATTTATGATTTATTTTTTTACTATCAACATGTAACAGTTAACTTTTAAAAAAAATAATTATACTTGCCAATCTTGTTTCAACTCCAGCAAAGATTATGTATATGCGTATCAAGGCACTTCTCCGAGTACAATTAAAATCATTTCAAAAACGACAAATTACCTTTTTTCCTTAAGACATCAAGAAGCTTTTAACTTTGTTCCTGATCTGTTCCACTTTCTAAGCAGTAAAGCTTTAATGAACACCTTCCCAAAAATGAACAACGCACGTGCCTCATCTTGCACTTGATTATCTGAAGTCGAAAAATCGGTAATTGTTATCTTTTTAAGGAAGTTAAATTCTTCAAGCTGAACAAATTAAGCTTGTGCACGATAAATTGTTTTATTTCTTTTTTTATTATTATTTTTTGTGTGTTCAGCGGTAATAAATTTTAAGCCAACGTCTTCAAATTGACAGTTATCAATCTACTGTAGAAGAAATCTGGTTCGATGGATTGTTGTGAAGGGGGATGATTAACCAATTACCGTCAAATATCAATATTTCAGCTACTGTCATGATGTCGATCCAAAAAGTAATTCAGAGCTTTATCAAAAAATTATAACAAGACACTGGGTCATTAAAGAGAATAAAGCGTTAAAATGATTCAAAGAACAAACGATCGAAATGTAACCATGCAAGACAAACGTCATACCAAAAACTTAAATCAAAATAATTTGTGATATTCATAGCTGATAACAGAAAACGAGTTAACCATTCGCTCAAACTCAGGTGAGCTAAAAAACCTAAACTGACCAAAGGGGAGAGGTAACTTCCCGAAATTTTCTGACAAGCCAAAAAAACCTAATTTACTGTCCAAATCGTGGATTTTGTCAGTGCTCGACATTACAATAACAAAAAGTGGGGGAGCAAAACAGCAAATAAAGGAAAATTTACTATAGCAAAATACTTTATATACTCAGAAAAAAAGGGGCGACCCCCTGGCCCCCGCATTCTACGGGCCTGTTTTTTCCCTACTAATATGTAGATGAAAATATCAACATTCAATGAATCAATCGATCGATCGATAGATAGATGTGTGTATACTAGGGGCGTTCAAAAAATAATTAAAAGATCATAAAAAAAATAAGAAAGGCACGAAAAGTAGTTTCTTTATATATTTCATCCCTCAAAGTATTCCCTATTGACCTTTACTTGTCTTCAGTCTCTGTTCCAGCTCAAAAGACACTCCCCAAGACAGATTTAGAATTGTAGCATCTTCCTTTTTTTCTTGAGTTTTTGGAATAAAAAAAAATATAACAATGACTCAGACCTAGCTATTACGATGGATGGCTAAGTTCTATAAACGTTCCTTTCTTCGTCATCTTTATTTATTTGCAGCAGCGTTGTCAGACCAAGAAATTCACCTATAAAAAGCCACTTTTGATGCTTCTTTCTTTGGGTGTACATTACTGGACCTCTCTACGAAAAAGAAAACCTGTATAAGACCATCTTCGCAAACCAAGGGGTTTTTGTAGATCGCAACGCTCTCCACGGAGAGCGAAGCGGACCGAAAACCCTTGGTATAAGACCTCTTTGGAGTTCTAGTCTCTCTTTGCAATAATAGGATAGATTCCTCTCTGATTTCTCATTAGGTCACCTGAGTCACTCAGGTGACCTATTGCTATCCGTTTTTGTCTGGCATCGTCCGTCATGCGTTAACTTTTGAACATTTTCAACTTTTTCTCTAGAACTGCTCAACCAAATTCAACCAGTTTTGGCATATGGCATCTTTGGGTGAAGGGGGACAAAAATTTTGAATTTCATGGTCCCTGCCCCCCCCCCCCCCCCGGGAACCCAGGGGTGGGGCTAAAACCACCAAAATTGATGCAATTTTTAAAAATCTTCTTCTTTACTCCTGGACATCAAGCAGTCAAACTGTTGGCATGATTGTAATAAGCATTAGGCTCTCTACCAAAATTGTGAAATTCATGGCCCCAGGGTCAGGGATTCTGGAGCTAGGGCGGGGCTATATAGATCATATAGTGAAAGTGCATTATTATTTCTTTGAAAATCCTCTCTTCTCCTGGGTATTATTTAAAGAAACTAAGCGCATGGTTATGACAAGCAATGATGCCTTTTCCAAAATTGTGAAATTCACGGCCCCTGGGTCAGGGGTTTTGGTGTTAGGGCGGGGCTCTATTGATTATATAGTGAAAATGCATTAATTCTTTGAAAATCTTCTTCTCTGCTCCTGGGTATTATTTAAACAAACTAAGTGCATGGTTATGATGAGCGTGGCTGCCTCCTCAGAAATTGTGAATTTCATAGCCCTGGGTCAGGGGCTCTGGTGTTAGGGCGGGGCTCTGTTGATTATATAGTGAAAATGCATTAATTCTTTGAAAATCTTTTTCTCAGCTTCTGGATATTATATAAACAAACTAAGTGTATGGTTATGATAAGCATTGATGCTTTTTCCAAAATTGTGAATTTCCAGGCCCCTGGGTCAGGGGTTCTGGTGTTAGGGTGGGGCTCTATTGATTATATAGTGAAAATGCATTGATTCTTTGAAAATCTTCTTTTGTGCTCCTGGGTATTATTTAAACAAACTAGGTGCACGATTATGATGCACAAGGATGCTTTTCCAAAATTGTGAAATTCATGGCCCCAGGGTTGGGGAGTGGGGGCTCTATTTATTATATAGTGAAAAAGCATAATTTCTTTGAAAATATTCTTTTCTGCTCCTGGTTATAAAATAAAGAAACTAAGTGTGTAGTTATGATGAACAAGAGTGCTTCTTCCAGAATTGTGAGTTTCATGACCCCTAAGTCAGATGTTCTGGTGTAAGGGTGGGGTTCTATTGATAATATAGGGAAAATGCATTATTTCTGATTGCTCCTTAGTGTTGAGCAGATAAACAAAGTGCATAGTTATGATGAACATTTGTGCTTCTTACAAATTTTTAAAACTTGTGGTCCCCAGGTTTTGGTGTTTCTCGGGGCGGGGGGGGGGGGGGGGTTACATTCATTGATAAAGTAAAAATGTTTTATTCTTTGAAAATCTTCAACTAAGTGCATAGTTATGATGATGAGGGTACCTCTACCAAATTTATGAATTTCATGACCCTGGGACATGGGTTTAGTGTTAGGGAAAATCTCTGCCAATGTGAGAGGTCACAATGTGGGGTTAAAAGTAGCACAGAAGAACTAATATTTGTTTGTTATTAGTCTGCATGGTGATATTCCTAAATAGGGGATAAATTAGAATTTAATGTATGAGTTGTTACTGAATACTAGACTAATTATTTCATTGATTCTGATCATCCTATTTCTCTTGCTTTTTGGGCAACAAAGCTTCATCTATCAGTTTATTTTATACTCTATGGATCCTCCAAATTGTTGTATTATACTCAGGTGACCGTTAAGGCCCTTGGGCCTCTCATTTTATTATTGATCTTCCTTTTATGCTATAGCGAGTGCAACCATGTTTCGTCACCCAATTCCAAAGTTTATCATACCTTCTGCTGTTATTTTTTTTTTATAGATCCTTGGCACATTTAATTCGTGTTTTCTTTAAGTATACGTAAGGAAATAAGGCACGGCATCCATCCAACAGTAATATTTTTCAGATTCATTTCCTTTGTCAGAACTTTTATAATCTGTTGTGGTGATGAAATATTATGTGTCTTAGCAATGTCTCTCACCAAAAATCTGGCATTTTCAGATATTATTTTGCTTACAGCATCGATACTTTTGGGTGTCCCTACAGATTTAAATTGACCATTTCGACTGCAATCTTTGAACTCCCTTTTTCCACTTTTGATTTCTTAATCCATCTGAACACCGTACTGCTTGAAAGACTTGTATTTCCAAATATTAAAACATATCTTCATGTGGGTTCTTCAGCCATTTTTGATAATGATAAACCGTATGTTCACTATGCTGCATAACAATGAATGACCCTAGTACACTCTGGACAGTCCTACTGAAACAAACCAAATACTACATAAACATAACTCTGCAAAAAATGTCAAATTTATCCTTTTATTTTCTTTAAAAAGTGTACATGTATACATAAAACTGTATATTATAAAACCATATAAAATATTTCTCATCAACAAAAAAATGTTCACTGTTTAATGATTGGGAACAAAGTGAAAAAATCATAGATTAATTTATCACGGAGACTAAGGGATACAATGTATGCTACTCTGTAGGTCTGAATAAGGCCTTCTGTACAAAACAAATAAATTTCCTCAGTTATAAAATACTATAAATAGATTGATTATTTATCACACTTAAATAACTACTTTTTGACATTAGCATTATTATTTCACTGTAACTGATTAAACAAAAACACTTTAAAAAAATTATGGACCACTTCATTTCCAAATATTACTTAATGCATTAAGTAAACATCTGTGATATCCTGAACAAAAAAAAATTAGCACCGTAAAAAATGACAATAAATGATAAATCAAACATCCTAAAATATAGATGTTATATATGTATATTCATTGGAGACAAGGATATGTGGACTACCTATTGCTAAGTAACAAACCACTTTGTCCCTGAATAAATGGAATGCAAATGTCTAAACATTCTGTGATGTTTAAAGATATGAAAGAAGGATTTAATATAGAAACTGTACTGTTTTTGCTACCCTGCTTTCAAATTTAAAATTTACAACCAGCACTTGTGCAACTCTCATGTAGGAAGTATTAAAAATCAGTCCCTGTCATCTCTCTCTCTTTGTTAGGATCAGATCCCACTATCCCTCTCCTTGGTAGGATCAGATCCCACCATTCTTCTCCTTGGTAGGATCAGTTCCCACCACCCTTCTCCTTGGTAAATTCAGATCTTGCCATCCCTCTCCTTGGTAGGATCAGATCCTACAATTCATCTCCTTGGTAGGATCAGATCCTACCATCCTTCTCCTTGGTAGGATCAGATCTTGCCATCCCTCTCCTTGGTAGGATCAGATCCCACCATCTTTCTCCTTGGTAGGATCAGATCCTACCATCCTTCTCCTTGGTAGGATCAGATCCAACCATCTTTCTCCTAGGATCAGTTCCTGCCATCCCTCTCCTTTGTAGGATCCGACAATGTGTATGCTGGTTTATACCTCAACACTCCATGATCATCAATGTACTGTAAAAGTGGATTGGGGTGTGTGTTGTTCATACTACCTAAAGAGGTATACCTGGAAAATATCAAAATTCAAAAAATGTTTATTTAGAAAATACAATTGCCTAAAAATCTCATGGATCTATCAAGATAATAATCAGGTGACAAGTTAATTAAATATCTTTTTATATGTTGCAACTTGTGCACAGTGCTGAATCAAAGAAACAAGAGGCCTAAGGGCCTTAACAGTCACCTGAGTATGATACAACAATTTAAAGGATGCATAGAGTATAAAATGAACTGAAAGGTGAAGCTCTGTTGCCCAAAAGCAAGAAAAATAGGGTGATCATGATCAACAAAATAATTGGTCTTAATATTCATTAACAGTTCATAAATTAGGTTTTAATCTGTTCCCCATTTATCACTATCACCATATAGTATATTAACAAATTATCAATGCTTCTACTATTTTAATCCCTTGTTGAAATCTCTTACATTGGCCTCTCTTGGTCCTTGATGAACATTTAATAAGACAAGTTATTTTTGTCTCATTTTTATTTATCTACTACTTACAAGTCTATCTGATCATTTAAACTATAAAAGTACTTGTTGTATTAAACAATAAAGGTTTTTGCATAATTCTCTTATTCTATTTACCTTTCAAGTACATTATTTACAGTAATAAATTATCAAAAGTAAATGGCAAAGGTGAATAACTCCTCTCAGTAGAATACAAACTAATCGAGCCCTGGCTAGGACCAGAATACTTGACCAAATGGTCCAGATGTTCAAAAATCTGGTAAAAATTCCCTTCCTTATAAAAACTTTTACTCTGTTTGCCTCAGATATGCCCAGGTGTGGAGAAGATTTTTAAAGAAATAATGCATTTTTACTACAGATTCACTATATTATCAATAGAGCCCCCCCCCTCCCCCACCCGAAATACCAGAGCTTCTGACCCTGGGACCATAAGTTTGCTCATCATAACTATCACTTTGTTTATCTGCTTAACACTAAGGAGCAAACAGGATTATTTAACGAGGTTGGATCCTGATATTTAAAGTCTTAAACTTTTTTGTCAAGTATAATTTTAGTTTCTACACACATAGCTTAATTAAAAATCAAAACAAAAAATGGGGGTCAATATGCTTCTTTCGGCGCTACAGTACATTTAATATGACCTTTTTGCACTGAAATTTGTGTCTTAATCAAAAATCACCTCTTCGACGTTTTCCCCTCCAATGTTTTTATCCAAATAAAGCATGGACAAAATAAACTATTAGTTTATTTAAAAAAAGACACATTGAAATTGTGACGAAGAAAAAGTTGCAAATTGCTTCGCATAATCAATTATTTGACCTTTCTGCCCTCACAAAATGTGAATTTTCTGGCATTAAAAATTTAACAAGCAAAAAAATTATTTTAAAGTCTTAAACTTTTGCTGAATTTAAGCAGATTGATCAAAGTTATCTTATATATTCAGAAAAGAAAAACAAAAGTGGGGGTCTATGATGTAAATTTTTAGATATTATTAAAAAAGTGTTAATTTTATGTTAAAATTGGCTCAATTTTTCCTGGACTTTCAGAATATATTTACTATATTTGTCACAATATAATGAAAGAATTCATGAGAAATAACTTAATAGATATTTCAGAACCAGAATAAAACATTTCACTGCAAAAAACAGCTCTGTGTGCAACCAGCATGGAAAAACAGGAATTTAAACTTAACAGTACTGTATATACTTCAAAAGGGAAAAATTGATCATTTTCTTCTAAAAAGCCTTCCACCACAAAATATAGTTCCTAGCTTAATCCTATTTGAATGGAATTTAATCGCGGTTTTTTCATTGGATATAGTTTTATTTGCATTGTAGAATCCAGATTTAATGTTAGAACTTAAAAATGATGCAGAATTTTAGAAATAAAGGTCCAGACCAAAATCTGCTCAAAGGCTCAGGATCGAACCTCCTTAATAGAATTAATGCATTTTCACTATATTATCAAGAGCCCCACCCTCACACCAGCACATCTGACCCAGGGGTCATGAAATTCACTACTCTGGAAGAAGCACTCTTGCTCATCATAACTATACACTTAGCTTCTTTGCTTTTTTAACCAGAAGCAGAAAAGAATATTTTCAAAGAAATTTTGCTTTTGCACTTTATAATCAATAGAAGCCCCCCTACCACCCCCCCCCCCCCCTCCCCACTAGAACCCTTAAACCTGGGATCATTAAATTCAGAATTTTGGAAGAGGCATCCTTGCTTATCATAACAATGTACTTAGTTTGTTTAAATAATACCCAGGTGCAGAGAAAAATTTTTTAAAGAATTAAAACATTTTCACTTTATAATCAATAGAGCCCCGCCCTAGCACCAGAACCCCTGATCCAGGGGCCACGAAATTCACAATTTTGGAAGAGGCATCCTTGTTTATCATAACTATGTATTTAATTTGTTTCAATAATACCCAGGAGTAGAGAAGAAGATTTTCAAAGAATTAATGCATTTTCACTATATAATCAATAGAGCCCCACCCTAACACCAGAACCCCTGACCCAGGAGCCATGAAATTCACAATTTTGGAAGAGGCACTCTTGCTCATCCTAACTATGTACTTAGTTATTTTATTTAATACCCAGGAGCAGAGAAGATTTTCAATGAATTAATGCATTTTCACTATATAATCAATAGAGCCCCGCCCTAACACCAGAACCCCTGCCCCTGGGGCCATGAAATTCACAATTTTGGAAGAGGCATTCTTGCTCATCCTAACTATGTACTTAGTTAGTTTATTTAATACCCAGGTGCAGAGAAGAAGATTTTCAATGAATTAATGCATTTTCACTATATAATCAATAGTGCCCTGCCCTAACACCAGAACCCCTGCCCCTGGGGCCATGAATTTCACAATTTTGGAAGAGGCATCCTTGTTTATCATAACAATATACTTAGTTACTGTATTTAATACCCAGGAGCAGAGAAGAAGATTTTCAAAGAATTAATGCATTTCCACTATATAATCAATAGAGCCCCACCCTAACACCAGAACCCCTGACCCAGGGGCCATTAAATTCACAATTTTGGAAGAGGCACTCTTGCTCATCCTAACTATTTACTTAGTTAGTTTATTTAATACCCAGGAGCAGAGAAGAAGATTTCCAATGAATTAATGCATTTTCACTATATAATCAATAGAGCCCCACCCTAACACCAGAACCCCTGCCACCGGGGCCATGAAATTCACAATTTTGGAAGAGGCACTCTTGCTCATCCTAACTATGTACTTAGTTAGTTTATTTAATACCCAGAAGCAGAGAAGAAGATTTTCATTGAATTAATGCATTTTCACTATATAATCAATAGAGCCCCACCCTAACACCAGAACCCCTGCCCCTGGGGCCATGAATTTCACAATTTTGGAAGAGGCATTCTTGCTCATCCTAACTATGTACTTAGTTAGTTTATTTAATACCCAGGTGCAGAGTAGAAGATTTTCAATGAATTAATGCATTTTCACTATATAATCAATAGTGCCCTGCCCTAACACCAGAACCCCTGCCCCTGGGGCCATGAAATTCACAATTTTGGAAGAGACACTCTTACTCATCATAACTATACACTTAGTTAGTTTATTTAATACCCAGGAGCAGAGAAGAAGATTTTCAAAGAAATAATACACTTTCACTATATGATATATATAGCCCCGCCCTAGCACCAGAACCCCTGACCCTGGGGCCATGAATTTCACAATTTTGGTAGAGGGCTCAGTGTTTATTACAATCATGCCAACAGTTTGACTGCTTGATGTCCAGGAGTAAAGAAGAAGATTTTTAAAGATTGCATTAATTTTGGTGGTTTTAGCCCCACCCCTCAGGCCCCAGGGGGGCAGGGACCATGAAATTCACAATTTTTGTTCCCCTTCACCCATAGATGCTATATGCCAAATTTGGTTGAAATTGGTTGAGCGGTTTCAGAGAAGAAGCTAAAAATGTTCAAATGTTAACGTACATCGCACGACGCACGCCAACGGACAAAAACGGATAGCAATAGGTCACCTGAGTGACTCAGGTGACTTAAAAAAATGAACATCAATTTTTTGTTACTCAATGCTTTTTGTAAAAGATGAGAAGTATGCAACAAAATGAAATCACTTACCCTCTATCATATAAACTACAGTAAGGTATATTTAAATCTCTCAGAAACTTCCATATATGTCTGTAAGACCAGTGTAAAACAGGGTTCACCCTCATAAACTGTGGCCAATCAGAATCTGTCATGCTGAAGGCTTCTAAATGACCTACAAAGATGGACAGAAAAGCTAGTATATAAGTAAAAGAGTAATATTCTATCTTTTTGTAATACACACCAAGACCATGAGAAAACTGAAAAAGAAAGGTGCGTAGTAGACCTACAAGTCATAAAAGGTATTTCTCATCTGTAAGGACAAATAACTATCTTTAATATTTCTTAAAGTTGGACTAAAACATGTAATGTCATATTTGCAGAATTTTAAATCTAGCTTCTAGCCTATCATGTACTGTAACAGCTTTCAAATATCGGCCTGGTTTTCATTGTAAACAAGAAATGGAGATTTCATGTAAGCTGGGATTAAGAGGTTTAATCTGCCACGGGTTAGAAGGGAGTGTAGCAAACAGGAAACCTTAGGTGAAATTTTACATTTTTTAATTGAATAGAACAAAAGCAATATTGAACATCCCTTAAGTTTTTCTAAAAGTATGATTCAATAACGAAATTCAGAAAACTACAAAACAACACTAATAAAACAACATACTAGAGTAAGGGTCTGTAATTCTGGTGCCCATTATAACAGCTTTGATGTCAGAATGCTTGTTTTTCAGCTGCTGGAGACTGTCTTTTATACGACCCTCAAAGTGCAACATCTCAAGTCGATACCTAAAATATACAACATCTCAAGTTGATACCTAAAATACACCACATCAATAGATGATACTTAAAAAATATAACATCTCAGGATGATACCTAAAATAAACAACATCTCTAGATGATACATATAATATACAACATATGTAGATAATACCTATAATATACAACATTTAAGAAATGTTTTTAAGTTTAGTGTGAGTAATTGGTGTGTAAATCACACAGTCTTGTCACGTAGGCATATTTCATGAAGCGCGCTAGCGCTTCATGAAAAATATGCCTATGTGCAAGTCTGTGTGATTTACACACCAATAATTCACACTAAACTTAAAAACATTCCTTATATTTACATTTTACAAGTTTAAAAGCACCAATAATATACTCAATATTTGAATTTTTTGCTGTCCTATATCGTTACATTTTTATTAATGTCTCTGTAGCTTCATTGTGACGTCACTTTTGCTCAAGTTTCAATGTGTATATTTCTACGCATGAGTATACACAAAAATGACTTTCAAATCAATTTTACAGTTGGCTTAGTAGAAAAACAAAACAAATGTAAATATTTCTAGATGATACATATAATATACAACATCTATAGATGATACCTAAAATGTGCAACATCTCAAGATGATACTAAATTATACATTTCTAGATGATACCTAAAATATACAACATCTCACGATGATGCCTAAAATATACATCTCAAGATGATACTAAGATATACATTTCTTAAGTTATTAGAATTTAAAATTACAACCCAAAAATTGCAGAAGCAATTTTCGTATGTTATACATTTGTAGTTGCTTGGAAAGAAAATATACTTGATGGGAGAAGAAAATATACTTGATGGGAGAAAGTTTCGTTTGAATATAAAATATATATATAATAAAATAAAATATATAATGACCTGAGAACAAAATAATAATTTCTGTGCTTAACAATAGATGTCACAAGCTGATTCAGGGTGTGAGCTAATTTACAAAATATATTTTTAATTTCATTCATCATATGAGCAGGTCTGGTTTGAAAAAACAAAAATAAGTCAAATGCTAGGATCAGACAGACAGCTAATCTTAAAGCTTCAACCTACAATATTTGAAATGAACAGAACACAATTCTAGTTAAATCCCTACAGCAACTACAATTGATTGAATAAATAAAAGTAATTCAAAAGAAAATTCATATTTACATGTATTAAAAGAAAATTCAACATACCTATCTCGTGCTAACTGTGTAAATTTTTCTTCCTCTGGAAATGGGAGTCTGCTCTTGATATATAGAGCTTTGAGCCTTCCTTGAAAATCAGGATATTTTCTGAAATATATTTAAGAGTTTTTGTATTTTAAATTAGTTAACTTGAAATGTTCCCAAATACAAAACTAGGAAGAATTTTCATTGGCATAGCAGAGCCTCAAATGCTAGTGATGTTGTTTGAAAGAAAGATGAACCAGTGAAAAAAATATATGGCAAAAGGACATGAGTTCCCTGCTGTTAGCTAATCTCTTCATTTCAGAATTCAGAACTGAATGAACAAAAGATCAGTAACTATTAAGTCAAGGTTACAATAAAGCCAAAGTCCCAAAACTTAAAGCACACTTGAATTGCTCTCTCTAAATAAGACGTATTCATGTGTTAGAAACAATTTGATGTAAGCCTTCATGTCAAGATCACAGGGTCTCAATAGATTTTATTCAGTGGTATAATAGGAGGTGAGGATAAGAGATTGTTAAAGTGTTAAATAAAGCCCAAAATATCTGTCCAATCAAAATGTAAAATAGAACGTCATAATGTCACTGTAATAAAGATTCTGAGAAAGTCTCATTCAATTTTATTCAGTGATAGGAGTTGTAGATAGAGATGGGTAGGTGGGTAACCACACTTTTAAAAAAAGAATGACAGTGCCCATGTTCTGCTATGGAAACCCAAATATGTCCAATGAAAATGTTAAATAGGAGATGGACAATGCCACTACATAATGAAGATTTTGTAAATTGCATTCAGTGATGTAAGAGGAGTTGCAGATAAGGGATGGCTATCCCCAAGTATAACAGATGGACACCCCCATCACTATGTATCCCCCCCCCCTCTTTTCAAGTTGGGGTATAATTATGACACAATTATGACACAGTTGAATACCTCTTGCCATTATATGTACATGTATCTGCATATGAATTTGGAAATGCCTTGAAAAGTTAGTTTTAAATTGATCGTTGAACTAAGCCCAATGAAGAAATGGAAGGATTGACATGACAAACATTATGGGGTCAGGGGGAGGGGGGGGGGGCATAAAAGTAGATTGTGTAACATACCTTTTCACAACTGCATAATAAATGTGAAGTAAGACTGTGCAATCCTTCCCTCCATTGAAGCCAATACATATTTCATCTAAACTGAGGAAAGTAAAAGAAAAAAATGAATAGTAGTGTATAAAGCTTTGATTTCACTCAACATTTTACACTCTTTTTCTAATATATGTTTAAGACTTTTTTCAGATTTCCTTTCAATTAAACATTTATTATTCATAATTAGAGTTACCTAGGCAGTATTCACTAAGGCAACGAATTCCCATTTAAGCAATATTGCAGAAGAAAGCAAATACATGATGTATGCATGTATAAGTGGAAGTAAAGTATACCTGGGTATATCAATTACTGTTTCTTCACTACAATTCACCACACAAAAATCATACACATCTTTAAGGATTACAAACATTAGTACTTTGATCCAAATGCTAGTACATATTTAGTACCTGTATTTCTCTAGACACTCCTCTAATACAGACACTGCCTCTTTAACACTGTTCCTATAAGGATTGTCAGCATTACTTGACTGGATCAAGTCATAAACTTTACGTGTTGCATTTTTGATGGGTTGGCTATCATAATCTACAATGCTACCTGTAAATAGAAATCTTCTTGAAAATCAACAGTTTAAATTTTCTTTTTGGTTCTTGTTTGCTTGTTTGTCTATTTTTTATTTTTAAAGAAGCTAATCAGATCTAACAGCAATAGAGTAAAGAGAAACATTTGTTAAGACTGAAATCCTTTGTCAGGAAACACAGTATAATAAACAAAGCTTTATAGAAATGAAAAAATGATAGTCATGAATAGGGCATTTCAGTGATGCTTGATATTGTCAGATTAATAAATGAAACAAGAAAATATCACCAAAAGTCACTGTCCAAGAATACCTTTGTTGCTGAACAGTTGGTTCAACAAAAATTTTTTTGAATACTCGGTACATAAAAATGGGAAGATTTGACAAAATACTCCAACTCAAAGATGGGGTGGGGGTTTGCAATTTTACTTTTGATAAACATTTTCATACTAAACAAGAGGCCCATGGGCCACATCGCTCACCTGAGCACATTGGCTAGGCAAAAGCACAAATCAGTTCAGTATTGAAAAGATTACTGGGGGGGGGGGGGGGGGGGGGGGGGGCATGAATTCTAAACAACCTGATGATGCTTCCATGTCAATATAACAAATGGCTTTGTTGTACTTGAGAAGTTTTTAAAAAAATTTCCCATATATTCCTTTGTAAAAATTTAATCCCCCATTGTGGCTCCTCCCTATCCCAGGGGTCATCATTTGAACAAACTTGAATCAACACTACCTGAGGATGCTTCCGTATCAATATGACTAAACATTGCTTTTCTGAACTTGAGAAGAAATATTTTTTCTATATGTTCTTATGTAAAACTTTCAATCCCCCATTGGGCCCCACCCTACCCCTGGGGGTCATCATTTGAACAAAATTGAATCAAAATGACTAATCATGGTTTGCAGTTCTTCAGAAGAAGAAATTTTCCTATATATTTCTATTTAAGACTTTGATCCTCCATTGTGGCCCCACCCTATCCACGGGAGTCATGATTTGAACAAAATAGAATCTACACTACCTGAGGATGCTTCCAAATAAATATGATCAATCAGGGCTTTGCTGTTCCTGAGAAGAAGATTTTTTAAATTTTTCCTATACATTTCTATGTAAAACTTTTATCCTCCATTGTGGCCCCGCCCTACCCCGGGGGTCAAGATTTGAATAAATTTGAATCTACACTACCTGAGGATGCTTCCATATAAATATGACAAATCTGGGCTTTGCTGTTCCTGAGAAGATTTTTCCTATATATTTCTATGTAAAACTTTGATAGTCCATTGCGGCCCCGCCCTACCCCCGGGGGTCATGGTTTGAACAAACTTGAATCTACACTACCTGAGGATGCTTCCATATAAATATGACTCTTAGGAAGATTTTTAAAGATTTTTCCTATATATTTCTGTGTAAAACTTTGATCCTCCATTTTGGCCCCACCCTACCCCCCGGGGTCATGATTTGAACAAACTTGAATCTACACTATCTGAGGATGCTTCCATATAAATATGACTCATCATGGCTTTGCTGTTCTTGAGAAGAAGATTTTTAAAGATTTTTCCTATATATTTCTATGTAAAACTTTGATAGTCCATTGCGGCCCCGCCCTACCCCCGGGGGTCATGGTTTGAACAAACTTGAATCTACACTACCTGAGGATGCTTCCATATAAATATGACTCTTAGGAAGATTTTTAAAGATTTTTCCTATATATTTCTGTGTAAAACTTTGATCCTCCATTTTGGCCCCACCCTACCCCCCGGGGTCATGATTTGAACAAACTTGAATCTACACTATCTGAGGATGCTTCCATATAAATATGACTCATCATGGCTTTGCTGTTCTTGAGAAGAAGATTTTTAAAGATTTTTCCTATATATTTCTATGTAAAACTTTGATCCTCCATTGTGGCCCCACCCTACCCCCCGGGGGTCATGATTTGAACAAATTTGAATCTACACTACCTGAGGATGCTTCCATATAAATATGACTCATCATGGCTTTGCTGTTCTTGAGAAATTTTTAAAAGATTTTTCCTATATATTTCTATTTAAAAATTTGATCCTCCATTGTGGCCCCACCCTACCCCCGGGGGTCATGGTTTGAACAAACTTGAATCTACACTACCTGAGGATGCTTCCATATAAATATGACTCATCATGGCTTTGCTGTTCTTGAGAAGAAGATTTTAAAAAATTTTTCCTATATATTTCTATGTAAAACTTTGATCGCCCATTGTGGCCCCGCCCTACCCCTGGGGGTCATGATTTGAACAAACTTGAATGTACACTACCTGAGGATGCTTCCACATGAGTTTCATCTTTCCTGGCCCTGTGGTTCTTGAGAAGAAGATTTTTAAATGATGCCATTATTTTTTCACTAATTCCTTATTATCTCCCCTTGAAAGAGGGCGTGGCCCTTCATTTGAACAAACTTGTATCCCCTTTACCCAAGGATACTTTGTGCCAAGTTTGGTTGAAATTGGCCCAGTGGTTCTTGAGAAGAAGTCGAAAATGTGAAAAGTTTACAGACAGACAGACGGACAGACGGACGGACAGACAGACGGACAGACGGACGCCGGACAAAATGTGATCAGAAAAGCTCACTTGAGCTTTCAGCTCAGGTGAGCTAATTAACACAGTAATAGGTCATGTTCAGAAAAGAAGAGGGGGTTGTTTCAAATTTTCTTAGGTTTTCTTCATTTTTCGTTTTCTTTCTCAAAAACCCAAAGCAAAATCTATTCCAGACTTTATTTTTTTTTTATCAGGATTTAATGTAAATTGTATGTAAAAAGATACTGGCCCACACTTACACTAACAAATACTGTGTGACCTAAGACAGATGATAAATAACCAAAGTAACTGATCACGAGAGGAAAATTGTACAATGATTTATACAGACGCTGCATGCAAACTGGGAAAAAAATTGTTATAACTTGAGGAAAAACATGCATATTTAGTATATATATTACATAAACAGGGTCATACTGATCATGGAATAAAAACATTTTCAATTTCTTTTGATACTGTATAATTTTACTTTTACTCATCCTGATCATTTTGAATGTATGAGCACATACATGTATATCAAACCTCTAAAATGATTTTCTAATAATTTTTATACCAAAAATGGAAAAACAAAATAATTAATATAACATACCATCAGGTAATTTTTCTTGTAATGTAGCAATAGCTTTACATATCTGTTCTGGTTTACTGGACTCCAACATCAATTTAACTTTGTAATAACTGTAATAAACAGGTTAGCATTAGATTACCTTTGTAATAACTGTAATAAACAGGTGAGCATTAGATTACCTTTGTAATAACTGTAATAAACAGGTTAGCATTAGATTACCTTCGTAATAACTGTAATAAACAGGTTAGCATTAGACTACCTTTGTAAAAACTGTAATAAACAGGTTAGCATTACTTTACCTTTCTAATAAATGTAATTAACCTGTATTTGTTTACTTTGTCACTCCTGTAATTATCATACTCAGTTTAACTTTTTTTAACAACTATATCAGTTTAATTTAGTAAGTCATCTACATTTTAAAGGAAAATAACAGTGACGACTGTTTTTAAAAACTCAAATATGAAATCACTTGCAAGAAACTTAACTGTGGGTTATATTTTCAACATACAAATGGATGATCATGTCTGATATGAGAAGATTGGCTAAATTTACATGTACCTGTTATGAAAATCTGGGTACGAGCCTAGTGTTACATCAACTTTAAATTCCTGGTCTACCTCATTCAGTACAGCAGCGATTGATACCTCATCTTGCTGAACATAGATTTCCTCTGTGTAAAAATGAGCATCAGGATTCTTAAACAAATCCTACATAAAAAAAAACAACATTTAGCTGAATTCTAAATTGTATACATAACTGGGGTAAAAAGAAAATGCATGATTACTAAATACCTACAACTTACTTAATGTGGTTATCAAAATCAAGTGAAGAAAGCAGTCAATCATTATGAAGAAATACAATAATCTCAAAGATAACATTTCCTTTATATAAATAAACAGTTACTTGTCGGTATTTCAATAACACCCCCCCCCTTCCAAATTCAAAAATACATTGCTGTAAAAAGCCATCTATCCTTTTTTTAAATGCAAACATAAATAAACTAATTAACTTTTTAAAAAAAAATTCTTTCTTAAAAGAAAGTATAATAAAAGTTAATTAAAAAAACTAATAAAGAAAACTGTACTCTGCATTACTAACCTCCAAAGCTATAAAACTTCTCTCCATAATAGAGGGGACACCAGGAAATATATACACATTGTTGACCACCACTAAAGGGAACTTGTTTTTCTCTCCTGTCTTCTTGTTCACCCCATACACCAATCTGGCTGACTTTGGTATCTAAAGGCAAACAATTTTTACAAATGTTTGGCTGAAATTAATGAAACTTAATGCCTGAAGTCTGTCTGTTAACTGTTTGAAAAGAGTGATGTCAAAGTTTCACGCCTGTGATCATGAAAAATGAATCAGGGATATCACTAGGTCATTAACTATGACACACAGAAATACCGGTACTAGCTGCTAAAAAGTTTATCTTTAATTTCATATCCTGGTGATTCAACAATGTGAATTTCCCACATGCCACAGTGACTGTATCCATGTCCAACCAATACATCAGACTATCATCATTTCCTTTTATTGTAAACCCCACAAAACATAGGCAAATTACCAAGAAAAAAAGATCAAGGGTTGAAGAAATAAGAAAGAGAAAAATTTAAACTCCACCTCAGCAAATTTTTTGTTGATATACGTATCAGTTACCATTAATTCATACTTGTAAAATCTCACACAATGTGCTATAATCTCATAATACATACCATGAAAAAAAGATCCAGGGTTAAAGAATCTCAATATATGTACCAAGAAAAAAAGATCAAGGGTTGAAGAAATAAGAAAGAGAAAAATTTAAACTCCACCTCAGCAAATTTTTTGTTGATATACGTATCAGTTACCATTAATTCATACTTGTAAAATCTCACACAATGTGCTACAATCTCATAATATGTATTGAATGAATTATTCATAAGTTCCTAGAAATGCACATACCAAAGAGGGCAAAGTTGACATTTTTCAGAAATGTTTTTCTTTTGAGTATGTTTCTTCTCCATTTTATTGAATAAGTACATTCAAAGTATGAGGAATTATACCAGGTAGGTTACCTTTGTTAACAAAGAAACATGAAACAAAGACCCACTATAATTTCAAAGTACATGTTTAGGACACTACAACTGATATCTTAAAGATTTCCATGGAAATATATCAAGTCCAGTTATTCAAAAGTCGTATGACATAAAATTCTTGTTGTGAATTGCATGGCTAAAAGGTAACATCTGTTGATCTTGTTGACAAAACTGAAAGTCAACAGATCAATTTTTATTTTTTCGAAATTTTACAAATAATGACTCATTATACATGTTTACGAGGGGTTATCAAAAAGTTCGTTGACTGACACGATAAAATTAATAATATGTAGTCTTTGCTTACAAAATTTATGCCTAATATAAAACAACAAAAGTTTAAGAAATGTTGAAAATTTTAGCTTGATACGTTGATAATTTGCCAAATTATTCTAAAATTAAAAAAGACTTTATGTGATCACCCGGCGCTGTCGCCGTTTAGTGTCATGACGTCCGCTTAACGTCATTGTTTCTTAATGTCCGCTCTCTCTACCTCATACACTTATCTTGATGAGATTACCAGGAGTTAAGTAAGGAATATTTACATCCATTGAATATTATTTCCTTTATTTCTTAAGTAACCCATTGCCGTTTATCACTGAGTAAACAACACTAAGCAAGCCACCTGCATAGATTTCTTCAGCAAAGGCTGTTCCATCAATTATACATACACTTCTATAATACAATATTTAACATGTTTAATAATACTTTGATTGTTTTTTTTTATACAGATATAAATATAAACAATAAAATGACTTCCTTTGTTTGTTAGTACGGGAATTAATGTCGCAGCTATTGCAGAAAAAAATTTACATAACCCGCTTACGCGGGTTATGTTTTTTTTCTGCAACAGCTGCGACATTAATTCTCGTACTAACAGCCAAAGAAAGCATTTTATTGTTTAACTTAAGCCCGTCTTGTTTATATGAATTTACAATGTCATGAGCAGCTGTTTTCAATGCATATAATATTGTAAATGGATCTATATATTGGGAAATATCCTCACTTGATTATGCCAGAATACTTAGCTTGTTGGAGTTCAATTTCTACCACACATGATCAACGTCACTTTTCGACGTGACTGACTTTTGACACCCTGGCTACAAATCGACACTAACTGTGCATATTTCATCTCTCTGAATCTTTTTGGGCATTAAAAAAGAAGTACTCTGGATTCATTTTTTTTCTGTAGCCAGTTTAAACATTCCTTAGGTCTATACCAGTTTTTCCACGAGCGAAACTCTATAGAGTGTTTGAAAAAGAAACCCCTCCCCCCTTTTGACGTTATTTTCAAGCCCATAATTGTTTGGACACTCCATATAAAATTTAGGATAAAATTTCATAGAAATTACAGAATTGGGTAAAAATTGCAAATTTTACTGAACAAGTGTGTCGTACCAATTGCCTGAATTAACGAGATTTTTTTATGACAAATACTCATATCTAAAGAGTTTTTCTCAGTTACACTCAGGTAGAAAAAAACGTCATATTAGAGGTTGCGCCACCTGGACATACCTTTGCTTACAAAAACACTAACAATTTATTAAAAAATAAAAATTATGATTTATGGTTTATTCTATAGATAGAAAAGATAATGCTAACTAAATGTGTAAAAATTCATCGATGTACCTAAAGCGGTTTTAATTTTATGATGCTAGCTAGTCCACAAACTTTAATTTTGATAACCCCTCATATATATATAGTTAATAAAAGATGTAAAGCCTCTAAAAACCTAGGCTGTAATATTGTGTTTGTTGTTCTTGTTGTTTTTTCTTGTGTGTGTTTTATATGTTTTTGTTTTTTGTTTTGTTTTTTTAAATAATATTACTTATAAAGCATTGCACATTTAGAAAATGTTCTTCACAATTCTATTACTTTTTAACTTTTTCACTTCGCTAATACTGTGAAATCACTTAGTGGGGGTTTAATTTTCATTGTTTCTGGTGGTATGAAGGGGCCCATGAATTCATGTCCCCAGCAAAATGCTAAAATGTTATACAGGTGACTCTCGATGGCTCGAACTCAGATCTCTCGAAGTTCTAGATCTCTCAAAGTGAACCTCTGGTCCCGTTTTTTTCCTCTTTATAACTAAGCAAATTTACTCCTGATCTCTCGAACTCCCGATCTCTCGAAGTTCTCTATCTCTCAAACCAAGAACTGGGTCCTGTTACACATATTTCATTGTTTTTTACTCTCTATCTCTCGAAGTTTTGATTGCACATGTATACACGTCAATCAAGCGTAAAATTAATTCAGCTTGGACTTATCTGGATAACAGTGAACACCTGGGGCTGGGATGGACGTGTTAACTGGGTGTTTACATAGATGATACTACACTTGTGAGTCGTCCGAGTATTGATATAATTAATTGATAAATTATAAACAACTCGATTCACCACTTATTTTGACTTTACGAGACGATCATTTTGAGAAAATAATTTAGGGATGTGTCAGTAATTTTTCATAGATTATTCATAGATTTATTATTATTTTTCATAATAATTCATAGGTTATGAACTTTGATATTATAAGAGTCTACACAATCCTAGTACTACAATATCATGTTTCTTCTGAATCAACCATGAAATCAAATCTACTCAAACCAATATTTTTTCCTCACACCATGAAAATTTGACCCCACGTAAATATATGATTTTACAGTATAATCATGCCCAAGTTTTAAAATAATCTTTCAATTATTTTTTTATTAAGAATATGTGCTAGCAGCAAACTTAATAAATTTGTTGTGTAAGGATCATGCACAACATGATGACCATATGAAGACCTTTGATTCATGAACACAAGTAATTTGCAGATGTCAAACAAAACACAAGTAATCATACATAGTAGTACGTAATACATGTAATTCACAGAAAATGTACAACAATCTACTGTCTCTTGTATCTAATGCAACACAACTGACAAAACTGATCTGTAGAATGTAAGGAATCTTACTGTGCCTCACATTTTTAACAACTTACTATGCCTCACATTTTTTCACAACTTACTGTGCCTCACATTTTTCACAACTTACTGTGCCTCACATTTTTCACAAGGTTTTATGAAAATATGATGTGGTAACACTGAGTATTTGTGGAAAAGAGAGATGCCTTCCAGTTAAACTGAAGAACTGACAAAGATCACTCGATGTCTTCCAATGATAAAAAATATTCAAAGTGGCAAGACTGAACATTTGTGAAAAAGGAGGATGCCTTCCAGGTAAACTGATGAATTGACAAAGGATCACTCAGTGTTTTCCAGTGATGAAAAAATATTTCACATGTATCTTTTTGGTCTAAATGAATCATAGTGATTCACTGTAAATGTATCATCGTTATGTAATGTACAATGTATCAAGCATTGTTGTAGAATATTACCATGGCCAGTTTCATCTTTGGTGAGGAAAGATCTTCTGCTCCCCAGAACTGCCTACAGAGTTCTACGATGTCAGGGTGAGGGGAGACAACATCATTAAATGCCTTAGCCACCCCTACATGTAAAAAAAAAATCATGGAATAATGGGTCTATTACCAAATAAAAAGAAGATCTGGTCATAAATCAAAGGGAGGTAACTGTTACCACATTCTTCAATATTTACCCATAGCTATTATGTTCAATGCTTCATGGTTTATTTTGTTATTTCTTTTATGAAATGAAAAGTTATACCTTCAAATGTGAGATCATCATGAGTAGGGCCTATTCCACCAGAGGTGATCACATGTGTGTATCTCGAAGAAAACTCTTTGACTTCATTTGCAATTACATCCAGATCATCACTGATCACAGATATCTGAGCACACAAAATGGCATTCTTTATTCTATCATTTCCAATGAAATAAATCTTAAACATTTTGTACTAATTTCTGCCAGACATTTTAACAATTTTTTTCTTCTGCTTTATTTTTCATACCTTTTTCACTTTGACTCCAAGGGTGAATAAATGTTTGCACAGAAAATGTGAGTTTGTGTCAGCTGTCTGCCCCTTTAAAATTTCATCCCCAATCACTGTAAAACAAAATTATTTACATACTTTTACAAAATATATAACTTTTGAGATATTAAAGGGTTTGAGATATCAAAATTGACTTTAAAACTTAGACTATGGACAGAACTGCTCATCAGTGGTAATCAATATACATTAAAGTCTACATTCAAAACATTAGTTATCAGTGATTCATTTTGAAAATGGTTATCATGGTTCCAAAGAACCCTTTTAATGAAACTAATGAGTCCCATGCCAAAATCAATGCATCCAAATCCAAAGGTACCACATATTAGATATTACAGAGGAAATTCAGGTGAAATATAAAAGGGTATTGCAGGAAAGTGCAAATGTTTTATTGTAGCTGTGAGTGGTTTGTATTTCTACTATCAATTGGAAGTAAGAATACAGGATTTTGTGGCATAAAAATAATATATTGTCAACTGTGCACCTTGTTCCTATTTTTTAAATCGTAAATACGAATATGATAGATCTCCTAATAAAAAGCACAGAAGCAGATCAGTTGTTCTATTACATGGAGTAAAAAAGTTTTAAAAAAAAAACAAAAAATAATAAGAAAGAAAAATGATCAAATGTTATACTTCTTAGCTTCTAAGGAAAAAAATAAAAATGCACAGATTACAACTAAGACATAATCGAACTATGCTATCTAACTTTAAATATTTTCTAATAATTGCTTGTTAACTGCAGTTTAACAGTGAATTGTGATGTGCACCAGCTGGGACGGAATTGCCCGGTATTTTCGGGTATCATCATTAGTGTAATGTCATTCGGAACATTAAATGCGAGAAGGAATAAATCCTGAATTTTCTCTTCATATAACATGTAACGGTAAGTTCTGTGAATAACAAGATAACTGTAACTAGCAAATTCTAATGGATGAAGATTAACTTTTAACAGACGACCTACACAACCAAATTTCACAATATTGCTATTGCAAAGCCTGGATTTTTTTTTTAAATGCAGAATATTTATAAAGTTAGAGTTACCGTTATTGCACTTCCGTCCCAGCTGGTGCACATCAACAAAATTTACCCTAGATGCGGATGATTTAATCGAAATATTTGCAAATCGGGGGCACATAAAAATTAAATGGAAATATGAAAAGGAAGAAGAATGTATAATGAATTTATTGTTGTACGCATATTCCATGTTTTCTTATGCTTTCGATAAATAATCAGGCGAAGTTTAAGCGAGGTGAGGCAGACGATGAGAAAAGAGTTGCAAGCCTTCTCTCTTTTTATGTATCAGTCGAAAACGATATATTTAAAAACAGCTTATAGAGACAAAAGAGTTACATTATTGATAACATACAGTGCATATTAGAATACAAAAATAGGAAAAAGGTGACTCGACCCCAGATTTAAAAAGAAAAAAAAAAATGGAAAAGGGGGGGTCCATACCCCAAGTGCCTGTGGTTTGGATAACTGTACACCATCTTGTGCGTGCGTTGAGGCGTGGAAGTATGATTGCTTCACATTGTGCTCATTAATATCTGTTGACTATAATTGACCTCCTTTATAATTTCATTCAAGAAGTAACTGTGTGTATACGTCACAAATCAATTGCTTTATATAGCCCAAAAATTTTTAGAACTTTGAGTACAAAGTCTCTCAAGGAGACGCAATTTGCTGAGCGATTTTCATTGACGTTTTCAGAAAAGTGCAGGTTTAATACTATCACTGCACCAATGTGCAACTTTTTGTGCATGCTGAAAAAAAACACATTTAAGAAAAAATGTGATAAAATAGCTAAATCAAGCTATTCTGAATAGCATATTAAGCTATATAGCTAATTCAAGCTATAGCTTAATCACGGGATATAGATTGTGCCGGACCTGAGTTAAATATTCACGCCATTTCCATTATCTGCACAAAATTGATTGCTTGAAGTGAAGAATTTTCATTTAACTTATTTCACAATTTGCTTTTACCTTGTACTTTTTTTACTTACTTTGTAAGTAAACAAACTTCAACAATTCAAAAATCATGTTACACAACATCTGACTCTGTACTGATGCTAAATACGTCATACGGACAGAAATAACACTAAGTACCGTCTCTGTTGCTTACCAATAATACCAGCAGTAAAGTCTCTGGAAGTCATCTGCAGAGAGTGATGAGTAACAATGTGTTTTAGTAAAGTTGACGCTCGTCTGACAGCCCTCTCCATCCGATGCTCATGCGATTAGTAGGAGTTCGATCCCGACGGAATATAACATCACCTAACCCGATTTATTGTTCGCATAAAACACCAAGTGGATAGCAATACATTAAAAATCACATGTTCCTAGATCAGTTCCATCATAAAAGACAATATAAAACAAAAACGGAAAGCGAAAGGAAGAAAAAAATTATGTTGACTTTAATATGTTTTCAAAATTGATTTATATTGTAGCAATTTTTCCAGAAATGATTTAGTTAAAAATTATCATGCAATATATTTCATTATTTAAAAGGGCCGTTGGGAAGGGGCTTCAAATTCTATCCTTTGAGGTAACAGAGTGGATACACTTATATAAGTGTTATTCTTTTGCTTATTCACTTCTACAATTTAGATAAAGAAAATTTAGGGCAAAACGATGAGGAAACCGATCCACTTTCCCCTCCGGCTCAATCACATAGTGCGTGCCTGTCTGTAGATAAACTTTTGTATTACCGAGTGGTGTCCATTTCAAGTTGTGGTGCTTTGTCTTTGATTTGTCTAATGAACCAAAGACAGCCCATCCAGTATTTCAGATTTCTTTCACTTTTAAACGACTCTTATTGAATTATACTTCATGATATGTGCTATATTTCTGCTCTCTATGAACTAGAAAGCTCTATATAGATTTACAGAATTGTACATTAATAAAAAAAATTATGAACGATCTGAATGATCAATATGTTGTGTATAATTTTGTATTTACATGAAGATAAGGTACCTGTAAATTAACAAGGGCTCCACCCTTCATGTGGATTATTTGTTTGAATGACCTTTGATAACATAATTTACCAGGGATCTTTAAACCTATAAATAGATTACAGGTAATACACAAAATTACGACTTGTTCTAAATATGATTTAGGAAATAACCCTCAAAATTTAAACGAGAAGAACAATTATAGAATAAACGGCTTCCGTCTCTGGGAATGATCTTATCACACGTGTAGCAGTTATATAGTGTTAACGTATCCACGATTAGTGTTAATAAAACAGTTCCACGAAAAGGATATATTTATTGAAATGGTATATCTATCGGGGAACCCCTGAACATATACCTATAGGTAATGCAAACTCTAAACTTCCAGTCTTCCTGAGCATTCCGAGGAAATGCCCCCTTGAAAGTGCTCCGGACGAAAATATGACAAGTTCTAATGTTGAATTCACAGAAGAGGTTTTCAATTTCATCAGGCTATCCTCTTTGTTAGACTTTACAAAACTCCCCCTAATTTATCTTCTGGAAACAGAGGAACCGCTTGGATGTCTTTTGAAACGAAAACGAAAGATTCTTGATCGGCTAGTGAAAATAAACAAAATATATCAGGATGAAAAAAAGATTCTCGGAGAAATCAAAGGTTCTGCAGATCCTGACAAACTTGATGTCCGTTTGTTGTGTGTGTTGGTCAGAAATATAGGCACTGTTCCCCCACCAGAAAATGGGTGGGCAAAGAAAAAACTGAAAGCAGAAGATAAAAGCATTGGAGCAGATGTTATTCGAATCGGGGACATAAGAAATGATTGTCATCACCTGCCATCGTCTAATAAAATAACGAGGGAAAAGTTTGATGATATATATCCCAGACTTAAGGAGGTATGTAACGGATAATAAGGAATTTCCTTGTGTGTGTGTGTGGGGGGGGGGGGGGGTAAAAGTTAAATGACAACAGAAACTCGACCACAGTGTACTTGTGCTTAACATGAATATAAGGCTTAAGTTTTGGTAAGACTTTCTTGAATTAAACAGGAAGGGGTTGGATTATCAAAATATTAAATGTGCTTCTTTTCTTCTTCCTTTTTTTTTTTTTTTTTTTTTTTTTTGTTTTTGTTTTGTTTGTTTGTTTTTTTAATGAACAAATGTACCAGACAAGTATACAGTGTATATTTAATATTTCGAGGAGTCAAATTTTGTCATGCATTTTTATTCAAATACAGATTCTGAAGAGACTTGTGCATGAAACACCACATGAAAATGCGTTTTTGTCCTTGGTATGCCGTCTCGATACTCCCGATTTTGCAACATCCGAATGTGCCAAAAGATTGTCACTAGACAAAGTCATCCATAAATGTAAGAATGGCGTTGCGATTAAGTTGTTTAAGCTTTTTTTTTCTTTGATTGTCCTAGTCGTTTTATGAATATTAATCATGTATCTTTAGGGAAAAAGAACACTACCAGACAGGAGTCTTTGGAGGACAGGCCCGAACCAGACATAGATGACTCGAATGAAGAAAACGGTATGGGCTTAAGGACAAACGAACCTAAGCTAAGAGAGATAACTCTGACATTGGCGTGAAATGGCTGTATTAATTTTCATATTCAACAATGATTTTTGCCTTCTTTTTTACCCTTTGGTACACAAAATTTGCTTGGACTTAATTCTTATCACTTTTTTAGGTATAAAAAGGGTAGCTTATCTCTCTATGGATAGAGTAGTCCGGTTAATGCACATCGTAAAACAATAAATCTTCAATTTATTTTAACATTGGCTTTTATTCGACATTACTGTCCCTTTAAATTGAGAAGATTGCGTTTGTGTGTAAAAAGATTTAAATAATGATAAGTTTGTTTGCTTAATGAAGACCTAGAGGTCAGAAAAATACGAATTGAGAAGACTCACTGTAAGTTGATACGTTTGTAAAGAATATGCATTTGGTTTTAGGTCACAATAAGGTTATATTTGCGCATATCTTAGTAAGAGCTTCGGTTAACTTCCCTACTCTCCTAAATGTTATGCGGCACCGTCAAAGTTTCTCTCTCTCAAAATTTACTCGCAATATTACTTTATTAAATGATTGTATGATTAAAAATAGAAATAAATCTTACAGATTCATGTCCATTCCTTGATGCTATTCTGGCAAACAATATTGAAACAGTTCGGACCTTGGCGAAATCCCAAACACAAACTGGTATAGAGGAAGGCGTGTGGAGGGCATGCTTAAAAGGAAACCACAAAATATTCGAAATCTTAACATCGAATGGCCAATTAATCTCTTTGAACCACCGAGATCTAGCAAAAGCATGCCGTGGTGGATCCAAAGAAATTGTGAAACAAATACTGGAACGAATGAGTTCCAATAGTTTACTGGATCACGTGAAAGACGAATCGGTTTTTAAACGTTGCTGTATTCATTATGCAGCAAATGGAGGTTTTCAGGACATTGTGGAATGTCTAATTAAAACAAATGAAAAATTCCTGTTGACTACTGACAAATTCAATAATAATGCCCTTCATTTCGCCTGTATGCGGGGGCACATTGAGGTGGTGAGGGTGATACTGAAGTCAGAAAAGGGAAAGAAACAAATTGGTGATCTGAATGGCAAAGGATTAACCCCACTCCACTGCGCAGCTTATTTTGGAAAACTGTTCACTGTTCAGCTCTTGTTAGAGGGAGGCGCTGACAAAAATTCCAAAGACCGCCAAGGGAGGAGTGTAGTGAAATGGTGCACTATGGGTCAAGAGCAGAGTATTCAATGTTCTTGGTATGATTCGGAATTCAATCTTTTACCCGCAACTTATGGTTCCCATCTGGATTATGAACAAATCAAAATCATCCTCGGAGATTTTAATCTTTGAATCTCTTATTTCAGCTGGCCTTTTTCTTTTTGACCAGAAAAAAAAATTCAGCAGTTTTTTAAGGTCAAACATTGTAGAAGACTTGCAGATCAAGCAGCGAGTCAGTGTCTCTGGGGTTCAAACTTTAACTGTTCTGATGCTGCTGATAATGTTTTGAGTTTCATGGCATTTTAACCTTCTTGTTGGATATATGGCTCATACAGAAATAGAATTAATTCGGATTTATTAATAAATAATAAGCGTTTTATGGTTTGTTTGTTTTAAATTAACATTTTAGATATTGGACTAGGATTTGGTCTTCTACTGTTAATAGTAAAGTTGTAAATAAAGTTTGAGATTAGTTAATATTCTGAGTTTTTTGAGGGAATTATGGTTCTCTATTTATTGAAAATTTATTTTGATGAAATTATTTTTCAATAGAATTTTTAAAAACCATCTGACAGAAGTAGGTTCATTAAGCACTTTTGAAAAATTGAAACTTTTCAGAAATTTTAAGTGATAGAAGTTTTTAAGCATTTCACTGAAAATTGGTCAATTATTGTATACATGACAGCTTTATGTGGGATTTGATATTTCTAACAGTAAGGTACAAGAAAACATTGATGTAACCATCAATTGTCGCCCGGGAAATAAATACAGTAAACAATGGAAATGAGTCTTGATCATCAAACCGCTTCGATATGTGTGAAAAAGGCATGCGTCTAAATGATGGAGACGACAGTCGAGAATATTTTGAAAACCTATAGTCGGATGAAAATCGAACAAAAACGATACCCTTTTAAACTTTATCAATTCCTCAAGTAAATGTTGGCTGCACAAAATATAAATTGAAACCAGACGCATGCATCACCTTTTTCAAAAATGTCTATCACTTTAAGAATATAAAACACGAACTGTGTAAAGTACGTTTTTACGTTTTTATGCGATAAGTAAAATTCGATGTTCTAAAAAAAGGGACTCGTTTTTTCGATAGTAAATGATAAGCAACTTTATATATTAAATATGAAAAACATATATATTTTTACAGATTCACTTTATGGAAGTAAATATATTGTGTATCTCGTAATTTATAAAGGGAAAGAACATTCTGATTAACAATCTTTTTAATGTTTAGAAAACCTTTAATTCTGAATAACTTCTCCCACCTCAATCCCCATATACCAACACTTAAACTTATATGTATAGAGCAGCCCGGTCCTCCGGGCTGCAATAAATTATGGCCTTGTATGGAAGTACACTCAAGATTATTTAGGTTGGGGATATCAATTTTATCCTAGACCTCTAGTGCTAGCACATTGGAATTCTCTGTTTCATGCTTATCAATCTCTATGAATGTATGCAGTAAGATTTGCTGGTGCCAAACTGCCAGTGGGGGAAAGGCATTGCTAGAGCATCCTTGTTACACAAACTTTTAGTATAAAAAAATTGCAGTAAGGGATTAAATCCATGTAACCAATCTGGCTTAAGCAAAACAGGCAAGCATTCTGTCTTGTGGTTATCGCTAAAAGCAGAGCTTTCTTGTGTACATACTTTACATTTTACTTTGTCAGACAAACAAACTGCTAACTGTTAGATCTTATTTATTGCAATTATTTTCAGTAATAAATAACTATCAGTTTTTCCCAGCTACACATTGGGTATACATTGTACACAATTCATAATATTTGTAATATACAAAGACACTCTTCAGTACTATTAAAACAGAACACAGACTCCTCAACTGAAGGCAGAAATCAAAATTCTACAGTAAAACTGATACAACCAGAAAGGCTCAAATTTGAATGCTTAATCATATTTAAAATCGGATCAAATTGAAAATTTTATATTCCATTGTATAATTAATTCCATTAGATGGTATACTGTAAAAAAAAAATCTGATGATGAAAATATTTTTTCTGTACAGGAAGATTAAATCATACTTAAGAATAATCACTTCAAAAGAATAATGGCTACCATAAAGTACGGTAACAGCACTTCGAAGAATTTGTGAACAAAATGGATTCCCACAAAAGGGAGACAACTGCGACACTGCTTTAACTGTACATTTCTAACATAGTAATATGAACACTATACATTCTATAATTGCATATATGAAATCTAGCACTGGCACATAATAATGTAAATATTATCATAAAATGGATATATATCAATTAACATGGAACCTCTCAAAAACACATGGAATCTTATCCGCTCAAAAATCCAAATAATCCGAGACACAAATGTTTAGGGACTTGACAGCACATGAAAAGAATTTATCATACTGCCATTTTCATCATTTTGTACATAAGATCAATGGTTCACAAAAAATTGTCCATCAGAACATGATTTGATCATAGATTTGTTTAGCTTTGCTGTCTCCAAGTGTGCAAGGAGAGGGCTGGGTAACAAGTGGTAAACCACTAAATATTTATGTATAGATTACATAACATTCCAAGGTATAAAAAAAGCCAGAACAAAATATCTCAGCAGCAGAAAAATACTAGAAACATCAGAAATAAAGTTAATCAGAAAAACACGCTGGAAGTCTACATTCAGAATTTTGTTAAACATAATTAGAGAGAAAAACAAGTTTTTTTCTATGAAATCAGAAATTTACACAATTAAAAAAAAATGTTCATCAACTGTAAATTAAAAGTTTTCAAAACCTATGATAAAAGTATAGCTTTTAACATCATACTTAGAACATTGTTTTTGGAAAATGAGCAGATATTTTGTGTTTCTGACACTAATTTTTTTCTCTAAAAAAAGTAGAATCACAATATAAGTGCGGAATGTACAATCAAGCAAAGATGGCAAAATACAGAGATCACAAAATGACATGATCACAAACTGGAAGCTCATGCGATAACAAAACAGTGCTTTTAAATTAAAGAGACCTACCCTAAATATGGATTTACATGCTCATGAAGTCAATACATACATGTACTAAGTGAATGCGTAGCAATAAGGATTGGAGAAAAAGAGAAAAGCTACCAAGATGAAAGTTAATTAACATACATGTTGTCCTGAGGTAGATATCTACAATTCTACATATGAAACTTCCAGTGAAAATTTTCTAAAGATATGTCAATTATGTAAACATAAATTCTGGAGAAAAAAAATCTAGACTCAAAAATTTTATTTCAAGTACCATAACCGTTTCACCATAAGGGTTTCAGTTAAAGGAAAGTCAAGAAGTGAACTTAGCAACATAAAAAGCCTACTCTACTAAAAGATGGAAATTTTTTTATTAACAAAAATGGTGGCAAGAGAGATGTACATACATACATACTAATAATATAATAGTGTATATCACATGAAGCCTATTTTGTAGTTTATCGCATTTTGTCTGGAAGGTTTCATGTTAACTCACTTCTCTGTACAACATCACTGTTTTTTTTCTACCACATTCTGCTTAATTAAAACAGTGTCCACAGAGGAATGGAGAACTCTACAGAAGATTCTGATTATAACAATATTGTCTATAAATGAAAACAACCTAATGTCCGTGAAGACAACCATACACAAACAAGTACTGCTAACCATTAAGTAACAGATATAACAAGTGTAATATCATTATACATGTAATAACAAGCTGTAGCCGCCCTGTCACATTCCAATGCTTTGAATATTAAACGTTTGATCATGGTTATTCGAGAGTTTGAACAGCATGTAGGATATGTCCTCTGTTCCAAACGCTGGTGGGATGGCGAAGCTCTGGAGATCTATACAGGTTCTACATAATTAGCGGGGTACAATCCTTCTCGGCCGTCTTTGTAACCTTTACACCAGCCTAGCTCATCCTCCTCAGATAATTTGACAAAGACATCACCTACAAAGAAAAAAGACATCATGACAATAGATTCAAATCAAATCATTCATGGCTTCCACAAAAAGAGATGTCTTTTAAAAATTTTATTTTTGAAATACATCATCATAAAGCTTTTCTATACCTTCCCCCAATTCTGAGGAAATTAACATATTGATTATTCAATTTCATTTTAGAAGATGAAGAAACTTAATAAATCATATATAAGAAATACATAATTAACAATTTCTAAGAGTTACTTTTTATTTGACATGTACCATGTATGTACCATATACCAAGTATCTATAAATCAAATTTGATCCTGTGTAATTACATGTATTATATTTTCCCTTTTCCAAGAAAGAAAAGAAAAAAAACATTCTAATTAGGTACATGTACATCTTGGCTAATTGAGGAATAATAATTTAACATGCTACAGCCAAATATCTTGGTTGTACATCATTCATATATATGTAAAAGAAGATGTTATGGCCTTTACATTGCACTTTTGAGTAGAGATAACATAATGTGATTAAACTATCTGAAGTCATATGAAATACCTACCACTGAACCAAATTCAGATTTCTACTTTTCACCTTCATTAAAATAAATGGTATTCATTTTGATTTGCCATTGTTGTTAACATTTGAAATTGGGGGGAAAAAATTATCCTTGAAGACAATTACTTTTAAATTCTTTATCTAAATGTAATCCAAGAGTAGGTTTGGATAATTTGAAAATGTTTCCAGTGATAAATGCCTGATGTACATCACTACATGCCTGAAAATATTTGTGAGAAGACCAAACAGAATACATTTCAGGGCACTCAATCCTGCAGCTATCAATAAAATATGCACAATTTTTTTTAACTACCTTTTAGCTTGGAAAAAAATTATACTTATTTAATATTTATACTAACTACATGTCAATGGTGGAAATTCTTTGAAATTTTATGAAACTTGCTCAATATTTACCAGGGGGAAGCAACCCCCAGGTTATAGCTTACAGACATGACTTACCAGCCTTGAGTTCTAATTCATCCTCCTCTGTCACGTTATAATCGTACAGAGCCCTGACAGGAACACCCTCCTTCCCGTTCACCTGCCGTGGGGAATCCTCTGGTGAGGGAGAGGGGGGTTCATCTACGTCGTCAGCGAAGGGGTTTGTGTCCTCCACTACCGCTGGCTCCTCCTTCTTCTCAGCCTCCTTGCTGTAGATTGAGAAGAAATCTTTTAGTATACAACATAAGTAAAACATTATATGGTGATATGGTGCGATGTCCAATGTTCATTACAAACTTGTAGCTTTAATCTTTCGTCGAAAAGTACCATGCAAAAATATGAAAGCTACTTGTACTCATAATTTCAATTTACTTTCTAGCAGTGGAGTTAGATCTCTATCAAAAAATAGTTGTCCCCATATTTTCAATAAAATGGTTAATTTATTTGCAAGTTTTGACTTTGATCAGACTGAACTATTTCTCTACATTCAATAACATATTTACCGTAATTACTAGTACAATGTACTTAATACATGTACAACATATATTCATATGTGTTACAGACATGCAATTGTATTAAGTAAGAATTCATCACATACAATAGAAGTAAGAAAAATAGGTTAGTGAGAGTTCAAATTTTGCTAGTATAAAAATAAAAATATCCTGAATCAACTAAAATCGGAACATTTTGGAAATGAAAATAATTAAGAATGCCTGAATAAAACTTTACCAGTAGCTCCACATGCTGACATGAAATTTCACAATAAATCTATATTTTGCTACAACAACCAAATATAGATTTCTCAAAATTTTACGAAAAAAATAAAGAGGAATTGTTACACATACTCAAAAAAAATTGTAACAACACTTATGAAATTCCTAGATCCTGATGGCACCTTACGGAATGTAAACAAACCACTTGATAGGATGACAAAGTTTACAAAAGTAGATATGGGAGGGATGTAACACCCTCTGTGCCCTAGGAATGTATAAAAGTTATAACTAAACACCTGACAACAGCAAGTGAAAAAGGGTTATAACAAACCTGAAATATGTGTAATTAGTATAAGACCTGCAAATAAATAGAAATTAGCAAATCATAAGAATGCTAGGAAATCAACCCAAGAAAGGAAATCCATAAGTAAAGCAGTGGAGATCTGTAGATATTTCAAAAGATGTATTTATACAAATGAGAAGTTCAGGAAAAAATATTTCTGTGCCATGGTTTTACATTCTCCCTTATAAAGAGGTCAAAATCTTCATTGTCATTTCTCATACATGTAATAGCCATAAGGAAAGTCAAGGCTTAACTTCCAAGCAGAACAGAATATAGCCAATAAATACAGCAAAATATACATGTTTAAGAAAATTTAGGCTATCAATTAGGTTTTAGTTGGTTATACATATTTTTTTTTTGCAAGCTATTAATGGAGTATCTACATCTAGAGTTAATATTACTGGTGCTAATTTCATTGTCTGTTGTTTAAAAGATTATGGATACTATAGTTGATAAAAGGTCAGTTTCAAGAGGGGTGCATTGGATAGCTTATAAGATGCAACATTTCATATGGTGCTACTGGTAGGCGAACATCATTCCAAGAGAATATGCAACAGGATGCATGACTGCAACAGCTACAACAAATGCAACACAATGCGTCATTCCAAGAGAGGTAATCTTTACTTGTTTTCCCCTCGTGCCTCATCTATTGCCTGATACACATGAGATTCTGCAGTTACATTGGCTTCATCAGCATCATCATCATCGCCGAATGGATTGAGTGACTCGTCATACGACGTTGATCTGATGTAGTTCTCTCCCCCTTGTTGTTTCTGCACAATGTCAGCTTGTGAGACATCAGTGTCCATTTGAGCAAGCCGTGCAGAATCAGGGGGCTGCTGCACTCGGGATGGATCGGAATTTCTTTTGACTTCCTCTACATTCGGTTGTTTAGCTTGATCCAACATAGTTTTCCTTTTGGATGCCTTATCTTTTTCCTTCTTTCGTAAGGAGAATCCATCAAATGAAATTTTCCTGGTAAAATTGTCATGAAGAGTTCTTACAGTAAAGGCTATCATTCCCCAGAATGAGGTCAAAGGTGACTGGACACTAAGGTGAAAAGGTCAAGGTTGTCCATGTCAAGAGTGACACTTCCATGTAAATCACACTATCTTCCCTTTTTCTAACATTTTTTGAACCCAAGTCATTATAAACTTAAGTTACTTCACAGCACAATGCTAATAATTTTATTCTTAAATGATGTTTCATTTTCTCTGAATGCAACTTGTAAGAAAACCTGCCCCTACACATGACCAATTGGTCATGGTCTAATCTTAGTGAAATCTTTCTGGTGTAGGTTTCATACCAATAACATGTAAATCAATACTTATTACCAAATTACGCTACTTGAAATGTATTTAATTTTTTTTTCTCCCCATGTCCATGTATATGCACTGAAAACATGTCAGTAACAAACAAATCAGGACTTCTGAACACTCTACAAATATTTTGAAAACTATAACTGTGACTTGTTAGAGATCAAGAATTCTCAATGCTCAAGTTTCAACAACTATACACCCTGAGCAAACAAAGTAAAATAATAAAACCTTAACCTACCGAAGCGTTGAGGACTGTTGAGGCTGTTGTTGTTGTTGTTGTACATTAGAACCTGTTGAGGACCTGGGTGATTCTGTAGACGTCTGTCTCTGATGAGAATTAAAGGAGTCTGACTGCTGAACAAACGAATCTGGCTTATGACGAATACTGGTGATTGTAATGCCATCATTTCCACCCAGCTGTGAGTCCTTCTTCTTGGAAATGTTTTGTAGCTCGGGGGAATATTCCTGTTCAGAAAAACAACTGATTAATACTTCAGTGTTCCTTTATATGCATCTAGAGACCTCAGAAACATTGAAATCATTAATCTTTGAGTGAGAGACCCCAAAATCAATAGGTGTATTTCTTTCAACATTCCTCTGTGTAATTATATGAGAACCACATCAAAGACACATAGCCTTAATAAAACATTTTGTAAGAATGAATAACAGTGCTATTACAATTTTCTTAAAACAAAAACATTGAAAATTGGCTCATGTGATCTTATCAAATGGACCAATTTCAAAAGCTCTAAAAATGTGAAGTTTCAAAATGTTCATGTATTCAAATTCTACATTTTGACCAACAAACCTCAAATGTTGGCCAGTTCATGGGCATGTCCGCTCCATGATTTGTTGACCACCATCTCAGATCTTTGTCAGGGTCTATCTGACCTATTGTACTGTGAAGGTTACTGTACACCTGTGAAAACCTGTAACAAAGTGTGCTAGGCATGAAAAAAAATCATACATATTATAAAAACAATCTCAACAATCACACACATCATAAAAACAATCTCAACAATCACACACATCATAAAAACAATCTCAACAATCACACACATCATAAAAACAATCTCAACAATCACACACATCATAAAAACAATCTCAACAATCACACACATCATAAAAACAATCTCAAAGCTACTTGACGAGTCAATAGAAATTTCTTTGAAACTGTCAATGATGTACCCCAAAAATATTGTATATGCTGTATATTGATCACCTAAATAATATGTTTCAGATGCAACTGGATCAAACTTACTTGTTTAAAAAATCTACTACCCTTCAATTTTTGACACAAAAAAGATAACGCTAAATACGTGAAGCCCATTACAGCAATTACCTGTATGAAACTTGACTAATGGGAAAGGTTAGGTAATCAAAGATTGTAATCCACAAATTTCATCACAAGTAAGGCAACATCTCATACCAAATGAATATTCAGTAAGATCCATTAGTTACATGCAAGTTCATCATTACAGATTTTTCATTTATTGTCCAAAATACAAGCCACTTGGAACATCCTAAAGAAAGTCTTTTGTAAGTATCTCAAGATACAGCATCCATGTAAGCCTGGTCAAGCTAAAACTAACAGTTAATTACCATGGAATGGACCTGCTCCAAAATCATTAACATGGGATGCTGATGACAGAGATTCAGCACAAGTTAAACTTCAGAATGGTTAGCTTGCAATTGAACTGAATTCTTGCACTTACTTTGGTTCAACAGACAGATCAAGATGTTGATGGATCTCAAACATTGTCTTCTTAAAGAATTCTATTCTACTTTTCTCAAAGTCTTGGCATTTTTGGAACACCTAAAATAAATGTTTGGGGGGAAAAAATCAGTATTTTGATATATCTGTAGGAGAGCTGCAATAATCTGTTAAGATGATTTGCTTAACCACCTAATTCTTAAGAATTTGCTTGCACACAGACCTGACATTAATAATTCAAAAGCAGTATAAAGATTTGTTTTCATTTCTCTTTTTATAAAACACAATTATTTTTTAAACTGTACCATCAGAGTAACACTAGGATAGTTTCCTGGACATCAAATTACCTCATTCATATCTTCAATATATTTAGCATTATAACTATTGAGGTCATTTAATGAAGCTTCGTATTTGTCTCTGGTGGCTTCTACATCCTGCTGACATTTCCGTAATTTTTCCTGGATTTTCTTCAACTGCAAAATTGAGGAAGGGTATATTATCAATTACTTTCCTGAAAAAATCAATTTTAGCATGGAAATTCAATACTAAACTCGGTTCAGTTCAATTCACAAGAATATTTTTAATAATTTCAACAAAGATCATGTTAGCAATGTTTAAACTTAGAAAGAATATTTCGTCACTGCAATATTTTTTTTAACATTAATGAGTAGTCACAACTGCAAAATATTTGATGTGAAAAAAATATTTAGGAAACAAAATGCATGCATGCAAAAAGGGTACATCATATCCTAGGAAACAAACACAATATTCTGAAAAACACTTGTTCTGCATCAATAAAACAAATGCATTAAAAAAACACGTCTCACCTTGATTCAAATTTCATAGATAATTTCTGTAAATCACTTTTTATTCGAGAGAACTTCATTTTCGTGTAATTACACTAACCAGTCTGCTCGCCAAAATTTCATTCTCGTGTATATATTGCTATTAACATAGAATACATACAGCAATAACCAACATACGTGAAAATTTTGTCTCACTAATTAATACCAAATACTTATCTCACGAAAATGTGTCGCGAAAATTGAGTGATCTACAGTATGTTAAAACAAGGATATTAGAAATTAAACAGTTGTTTGCTCCTCAGAGACAAGCAACACAATAGAACTCACACCTTTGTCTCATGTGCACCAATTTCAGATGTCTGCAATGTACGAGACAAAATTGTTGAGAAATGTAATCATACTAAAACCAATGGCCATACTAGACAATAGATAGAACTGTACTGTCTAACAACTGTCATTGCGATTAAAAAATTTTCATAATTTTTTCTCTATTCTCTGGACTCTTAGCTCCAGTATTCCACACACACAATTCGTACCTGATCGGGGGATACTGCCGAATCTCCTCTAGCGTTATTTTCTTGGTTAGCTGTGCTCTTCTCTGCTCGACACGCTGCATGATAATCTTTCCTAGACTGCATAACTTTTGTGTATTTCTTTTCCCATGGTTTCTGTGCCTAAAAATAAATTTACATACTCTCGTTTTCACTGCAATTCAGTGACATAACGTGGACACATGCTGCATGCAATGAACTAAAGTTTTAATACCAATTTTGATTTCACCACAAAAGCTGGTCAAATGGTATACATGCAAGCAACTCTATAATACTCTTTTATTTTCATATCTTTCTTCATTGGAATCAATCGGATTTCTCACTGTTACAACTCATTGAATTTAATGTAAGGGAGAGAAATCCTGTGGTTTCTGACACTTCATATCTATTAATTTTAGTCACGACAGATTTTACTTGGTGTCATTAAAAAAAAACCCAAAAAAGATCATTTCCCCAAGCTGGCATGTTACCAGCACAAAAAATTACAACTCATTCTTTCCAAATCTTTCATAATCATTATATGTCACACAAAATTAAATAAAAAAAACTCACTTTTTTAAACCCTTCCTCGAGCTCTTTTGTTTCTTTAAAATGCATCATGGATTTGTGATAGTTTTCTTTCTGCCATAATTTAATGCTGGCATAGTCTTTAGTCATTAAGTTCTCGGACACTACATTGTGTAAATCAGCTAGACTATCAGCCTCCTGTAGGAGCCCTCTCCAGCCCGCCTGTATAGTACCATATTCATTACCTACAGAAGGAAATTAGGTGTAGATCAGCCAACCCTAATGAACAATATTCATGAGATACAAAGTATCTCAAGCATACTGATTAAATCAGAGGAAATTAGAGTTATGTGGCATTACTGCTAGAAAGGAAGCTCTCAGATCATTTACAGAACTTCTGAACGTAAAATTATGGTACATTTGTTGGTATGGTGTAACTTCTTATTTGGCTATTACTGATAAATCACTTCTTATCTGTAAGAAATCTATTTCTTAGGAAATAAATTAAACAACTCTAATTACTTATTAATGAGTTATTGTTTTATTACATGTATTACCTTTATCAAGAAACTCATTCCACTTTTTGGACCAATTTGTGAGGTTCTTGGCATAAGATGTTTCAATTTCACTTCTCTCTTTAATCAGCTGTCTAAGACTGTCACATAATGCTTTACCATTGTCTATACGTTTGACGGTCCTATGGTACTTGCCGATCTCCCAGAAACTATCATTAGTAGGTTGTACTAAGTCCTCATTTAAAGACATCTCCACAACACTGTGGGTATCAACTCATCCACAGAACTCAACAACGCAGATCTAAAAAACAGAATTAATCATTTTTAATTGCAGGAAATGATAATGTGTGTAATGGGAATCTTGTTAATTGCATTCAAGTGATTTTTTTTTAATTCACACACATTTATCTGTTCTTCCTACTGTTGGGAAGTAGTTCCTATTAATGCCTTTTGGTGACTAAAAACAACTTCTTTAATTACTATTTTGTTTTGCGACACAGAATGTATTACATGTCACTTAAATTAAAGTGCATTTATATGTACTTGTTGGAATTGAAAACATACATAAGAGCATCATTCAAGTTTCCAAACTTCACAACATTTTATGTTACACATTTTAAATCTGAAATGTCAAATGATGGCAGATGGTACATTCATTTATAATGCTCACTTTCCTAAAATGAAATTATACGAAAATCTCATTAGTGACCACCTGTTAATCATAACAAAGCTAGTAATTAACCTTCTTCACTTATCCAATGGCAATAGCACACACAAACTCAACAAATGGACACAACAACTTAATAGTTATTTTCTGTGTTATTCTAAAACTTCTCTACAAATACAAAACCACACAATTCCTCCTTGTCAGTGCAGTTATTATCAGAGGAACAGAAATAGAATCAAAGGGTTCTCAAACAGGAATACACATAGTGGACATAGCCACATCATGAATAAACAACAAAGACAAAATAGACACACAGTCTAACAGCCATTATATAACAGTGGCCAACATAGATTTGTGTACACACACAAAATTGTTCAGTATGCTTTTAAAGTGAAGTATATTCAAGTCTTTACAATCTTTTCCACTTTGTGTTTTAATCAATCATAGAGTCATTCTGACCAATTGTTGCCAGTTTTATAAACAACAATCAATACACTGCTATAGCTTGATGCATTGCTTGTGGTTATGATGTGGGAAAAGGACAGTATATTTCATTTTTAGATAATATCAATAACCATGCACAGAAGGCTATGGATCGAGTCCTACCAAAAATAGCAAAAAGGAAGTATATCTATGGTAAAAAAATATACATTTCCCAATGAATATGCCACTGTGTTTCAAGTACCAGCAGTATATGAACAGTATCAATTCAATGTCTTATCAAACCCATCAAGATCCCAGCAGTCTATAGATTATCCATTTGTCTATGTACTCCACCCTAAAAGTTTCTCATTAAAGCATGATAACAATGTAAACAAACAGAAATCAGATGTTTGTAGCATTGATAATTTAAAAACAATTACGGCTCACCAGAGAGAATAAGCTATTCCCCCTCCTTACTCCATACATAAAATTTTTAAATGAATACATGTATGTAGTCTTGAAATCTTATAGATTTATCCGTGGTTGAAAGAATTTTATTTTTTGTATGGTAGTTGTTCACTTCTGACTTTAAAACTGTAAAGGGCATTGTAGACCGTATAAAAGGGTACTGGGTACATTTAACATGTTTAACTGTTATCACTGTGCTACGCTCCCGTAAGGATTAGATGTTATAGGAGTTTCTGTATTCCATATATCTGTTGGACTCAAACTTACTTAAAATTCTCTCCAATGTCAAGTACACTAGGAAATTGAAGAGTTATCTAAATATATCATGAATATAATCCAGCATGATGGATCTGCAACCTTTTGAAAAATTCACATGACATCTTACATCAAGCTTTTAATACCTGTGTTAATTTGCATATAAGCATATCAACTGGTTTGTCCACTAAATATATAAACATATCCTCAATGGAAAAAAATGTAATGATGACACTTCAACATGTTCAACCAGAGACTGAAACCTGGCAAAAAACTGGAGATACAAAAACATATTATTAAATTTATTGCTAACGCATGCAGTATTGTCCTTGAACTTAAAGATGGAGATATACATTTCCTGCAGTAAATTGGTGGAGGTTAAATGTAGACATCAATTAATTAAGACAGAGAGATTAGAGCAGATAGGATCCTGCCAAAACTACACACTGCAAGTCACCTAACATACCTACATCCTCTTCAACTCTTTTTGCATGCACATCAGCTAGATGCACAGTAATGTGTATGAACTTTGACCATGTGCATAGATTACCAAGCAAACTTAACCATGCCTTTAACTATCAATCACATTTTTTTAATATAAATTTTTTTAAATGCACCCAGGCCTAAAATTCATTGTCATGTGCCATTCTAACCTGGGTGGGTACAATAATACAAATACCTGACCATCCTGTAGTAAAATTATCCTTCATTACCTTTTCATTCGCTGGCTGAAATTTCATTCCCCAAATTCTTTACTTAAAAAATAAAGATTCTCAGTCGTTCTCAGTCATGCATGGAATCACATTCAGAGGGCAAAGCATGTATAAAAATTCAGTGTCAAGTTTCCAAATTCAAAAAAAAAAATTTTTCCTCTTCATATAAATAGCTGGAAGAATAGCCCAAATAACCTCATTCATTTACTTACGGTGTACTCACAAATTACTCCAGCGTTTTAATTTTACAGCTCTTTAAGCAGCTTAGAAACTATTTTGGAAAAAAAAAAGATTTTTGCCACTTCCTCTTACATAGATTAGGACTTCACATTTCCTAATCTTTCATCCCATAAACGAACTTTAATGTCCATGTCATGAAATTCAACAATGAAATCAAGAAACCATGACCACAAAATTACCATAGAAAAAAAAATCTAGGTCAAAAATTTACGGTATGACTGTATCTATTTGATTTACATTCATATCAAAATTTTCATTATTCCATTCATTTTTATCAAAGGGTATACCTGTATATGTACATCATATCTTTACAACATGCAGACCAACCACTGATTGATGTTTGCATAGGTATCAATGATACCATGTGTAATGTGTACATGCACGTACAGTACAGTTGATTCATGTACTAAATGTTCAAACTTAATCACCACTGCAGCTTATTGTTTTAATAATGAATCATACCATCTGGGCTCAAAAATGGAAGAAGAAGCTAATACATAATAATATGGGCTACTACAAAACAGAAGTTCCTAGTGAATGAAAATGTTGGCAAAAGGGTGTGAAAGGATTTGTTACTGAAAGGTTCAATGATCATGGCAAATATTTAAAACATTCTAAATGTTTACTACAATGAATGATAATATGTATTGGCAATGCTCTTCAAAAATGAACACAATATACCCCTGTTTATGCTTTCTAACATTAGTTAATATACCTAATTTGCTCATATATCTTACTACTTTAAAAAAAAAACAACCAAAAACGTGCAACAGGTTCACCTGAAATCTACTGCACACTGAAGAAATACAATTATCTCCCTGTAAATTAAGTCAGCAAGCAATGTAAATAGCCAGTTACTGTCCTGACATTCCAATATGACTTCTACAACATGAGTACAAAAGGGATCATTGGTAGAGCTAGGTATTTAATGGCATGCCTCTGTTTATTTGGAGGTGAGATGTGTGTCAAGCACTGTCAGATCTACCCTATATATATATATATTATTGGTGATGGTCAACTACAGGTACAAGATTTAAATGTCCATAGCAGTAACACACCCTCCCATGCTTTGACTGGGAATATACCGCACAAATCATTACAAAACATTGAGCCTATATCGGAGACCCTGCCTTGGAAAACTGGTTTCCTGACTTATGAAAGAATGAACTCAATGACTGGTCTAATGACAGCTGAACATGCAAGATAAGCAACATACACTTAACATGTGCTTCCCTTAACATGGTTAAAAGATAACAGATTCAGATTAATAATTTGTATATGTATAACCCCCCCCCCCCCCCAAGTTAATACCGGTAGTAAACTCTCTCAACATCCAAGCCTAATAAAACAAGTTCAAATTTAATCTTGTTAAAGTGTGATTGATACACAGGCAATGCATCAATGCCATACAATCATATGAAATGTAATGATTATTTCCTAAACAGACATTCAATTGATGACGTGTCAACATGGGTTTTTGTTATAATAAATGAGTCGCAGAAAAGGAAATGGATCAGGAAATGTTGTCTAATTTAGTGCTACAAACCACATTTTTATAAGAATGGACACCATTCCTATGACTTACCTACATCTAAAATGACAGTATATATATTTTCTATGAATGATTTTAAAGACATATAGATATATGCAGGCCGCAAAAGAATGGATTTTTAATTTTTTTAAAGACAGTTTTTTTTTGGGGGGGGGGGGGGGGGGAGGTGAGAGACTTATAAACTATTAAAAAAGTGTAAAGATTTTGTTGTAACATTTAAAAAAAGATTGACAATAGGAATATGCAGAATAAGGTGTTTTTTTGTTTTGGATTTTTTTCTTTTTGTATAAGTATCGTGTGAAAATCCGATTTATTAGGAAAGATTGTTTTTACTGATTCTGCAAGTAATATGTATAAACTTAATTTGTAACTGTTTGTCTCTTAGAAGAATTCCTTTCCTTGCAAAAAAAAAAAAAAAAGAAAAAAGAAAAAAAAAATCCTGAAGTACAGCAGCATCATGATTATCCAATATTTCCAGGGGTTTCTTTCCTCTTCAGATACATAGAAAGTATCCCTCCACCAAAAATAGCATATGGATGCAACTTTACTAATAAAAATAAAGTGTTATCTGAGTTCATAGGATACCACTGCCTCCATTCAATCTCCTTGTGTATATTAACAAGAACCTTAACATTAATATAAAAATCTCTGTTAATCAGCAAAGAAAGAATCATCAATTATTCTGATATCAATATATCTTCATTATCTTACTCTGGTTAAAAAATTGTTTTTATTTTTTTTTGTTCAAATTTTCCATATGAATTCTATTTTTTAGGTTAAAAGGCATCTACAATCTCAAAAAGGTTTGTTATGATTAATTTGGTAGTTATTTTCAGTGCAACCCCTTTTGTATTCTTCAAAATCATTTCAGAGTGGATCCACTCCGATTTGCTACATTGCAAGTATAGGGGGGTATTCTAACTGTGGTGAGGGCTTGTCCCGAAACACAGTTAGATTATTCTAACTAAGTGATACTCATCTTGAAAACAATCTCTGTTATCATTAAAACTCCTTACAAGGATGTAAATTTCCAACAGGTGACAAGTCTGCAACAAGTACATGTATCTAAGATGGAAATATACTTTTTAATGTTGACTGGTCAGTAATTTGGATTTGAAGGTATTTTTAGAGCAAGTTTTAAACTGAAAACTGCAATGTAACAGCAGGGACCTATATACTAGTATATAGGTCCCTGGTAACAGTGATAACTCTACTCTGTCCATAATACCTTGAATATGTATGCAGAATGCAGTGCTTTGGATTACATACAGGGTATAGCTGCAAGGTTGAGATAAAAAGAAGCTACACTTTGACACAGGCAGCTTTATCTAACGAAAATTTGCTGTATGCATTCCATGAAAAGTGACATTCATATTCAATACTTCAAAGAGTAGTGTGGCTCTCTTGACTGAATACTTGTTACGGAGCAACACATAATAGGTGAGAAATACTAGGCCCGAGGGTGACATCCCAAAAACACCTGTGACAGCAAAGGAAGTTAATGCAAAGTTCATCTCGATTTACTATCCAGATAAAATCATTTAATGCTACTTAAGAATGCAAAACAAATAGCAGGATAAGCCAGAACGTGGCAATGTTTACGGAAATGGAAATGTACAACAGAAACACGAAGGCACGTCAGGAATCTGTTGATAACCTGTCCTGTCACTTGTGGTGGGTTTCGGAGAAAAGTGTTTTAACAAATATATTGACAACTTCTGCCTTTAAGTCATCACTGTAAAATAATCCCTGATTTCTTGCTATTTTCTCTGTCAGACAAGATTAACAAATGTTTAAAGTACTTACCAAATTTCAAAATTGTCACTCGTAAAAGTTTTCAACCGAGTTCAATATGGCTGCTAAAATGAAGGTGTGGTTTAATCTAACCAGAAACGTAACGAGTGATGTGATTGGTCAGAAAAATTGGTTTCATTTTCGTCTGCTCCCAGAATGATAGGCGGATCTAATAGTTGTATCAGTCCGATTTTTTCGCGCTTTAAAATACCCAGGCCTGTCAGTAATACAAGGGAGCCGGGCGCCCTTCCCTAGGAATTTTTGTTTTTTATTGTTTAATAATTTATTTTTTCTAAAGAAGCTCGGCATTTTTTCTGCCGAATATGATGAATGAGACAACATTTCCCCTCTCAAGATTTAAAAAATTGGAGTTCCTTTATTTATTTATTTTCTTTCCATGCATGTATATTTTTTCCTACTTGTCATTTTTTTTCCAGATTTTTTTTAATAAATATCATAAATAATTCATAAATTATTTTCTGCCGCCGCCTCCTTTGAAAAACGATGTTTCACTGAGTACTTACCTGTATATGTTCATTTCTCCTTTCATGAAAAAGTGGTACATGTAGATCATATCCCTCCCAATTTCTTCAGAGAAAATCACTGGTTTATTAACTTAGAAAATACGGGAATGTTTTTCGTATCACTATTGTAGTAGTGTGTGAGTTGATTTATTTTAACAGATTATAAAATAAATTTAATTTAAAACATTTATCATTTACAGTAACAGCTTTCCATAAATTTATTCTCATTCTATTTAAATATGTCAGAAATGGATTTCCATACCAGTTCTGGTCAGTTTTTCATGGATCATTGAATTCTTGTTTTGGTTGGCTGAAAGTTTAAGTCATGTGATTTTTATCTTGAAGTTTCTATTAATATTATTATTTTTCAAGTTGAGTCTGGAATGATCAGTTTGGTCATTCAGTTCTTGTGATATATTGATCTTGGACTTTATTTATCCATAGAAGGTCAGTTGATTTTAATATTATAAATACATTCATTTGATGAATAGTAAAAGTGAATGTGTGAATCATTTTTTTATAAATTAATAAGTAAAGAGTATATTATGATATTTGTTATTATTCAGATCCACTTGATATGATGTACATGTAGCTGAATTGCTGTATATATAACAAGGGTCTGATACCATATATTGGGTAAGATATGTGATGTATATGTTTGTATCATGTTAGGTGTAATGTGAGTCTGTATATTATGTATTTACATTCCATTGTTATGTGAATCATAACGGGAAACGTATCTATTTCATTAATAGTAGTGACTTACATTTGAATATCTGCTGTCGTATTTTATTCACTGAAGTTTACAAGAATTACGATATACAAAGAAAGTAAATCATATACAGTTAATTATAGTTTTTGTAGGAATAATCTCAATATTATACTAATATGAGAAATAGTTTTTATGCCTGAAATATTTATTGAATAGTGAGTATTAAGAAACAAGAAGAGTTATCTCTCTTTGTGTATTTTATATGTGTGTGTGTTGTTGTGTGTTAAATAATGTCTGTGTTTATTTCAGACTGTTGAATATTGAATATTGAATATTGGATATATAAAGGATTGGAACACCAACAATATTTGTTACTTTGTGAACCCGGTAACACTATAATAGGTGAAATATTGCCAGACACTCTCTAGGGAAACTGCTGTCGTCAAAGGAAAAAAAAGCATTTTTGGTTCTGTGTGAATTGAACACAAATAAAGATCCGAATTATGCAAATTATGTTGTTGTTTTTTTTTTCTTGTTTTGTTTTGTTTGTATGTTTGTTTGTTTGTTTGTTTTTTTTTTTTCCCAGTGAGACCGACGCTTTTATCACTAATCCACCATCACAACTTGTTACTATTGATAGTAATAAGCAGATAAAAATGAAAAATGTTATCGTTCTTTTGAAGTTTTCATGTAGTATGTCCTTGCTCCATGATATTTATTACCAAAGAATCTATTTTCATTCGTACTTTCAATAATGACCTGTTCACACGGAAAAATAAAGTATATAAAATTGGTCCATTTGCCTCCTTCTGTTAGTGCATGCTAATAGACGAATAATTTTTCGCTCATATGCATGATTGAAAGTCAGAAGCATAAGATGTAGATAACAAGAAAACGTTGATATAAGTTGATATGATATATATCCAAGAAAATTTCACTTCAAGTTTTTATTTATTCAAACACTGGGCATTTTTAGGCTTATTCTCCCAAGTTCTTTATATATTCAGTGAGTGAATGAGGTCTAAAAATGATTCTTGATACCCCCTATATCCTTTTTGTATTATTCTCTTCACCCCTCTCGAACCCTAGAATTAAATCCTTAATCTGTCACAACTGTCCACTTTATTTTCTCATTAATATACTATAGTTTATTCTACAACAATATTGTGCAGGTCACTATATTATTCAATTTACCAATAAAATGAACCGATGAATGACAATGCAAATTATTTTGTTTGTAAAATTCGTCAGCTTGATGCCCTTCACTCATACTGACATAAACCGTCCCAAGATGAAAAGACAGTGACCAACACTGACCCCCCATTCAGTCAATGAACTTCCATAATCTCTTTTGATGCAAAGAGTATGTAATCAGGCGCCTAGAAACTTCTCATCAACAACAGGGATGGAATAAATCCATTCCCAAAGAACAAATTCAATAAATTCGTCGAACCAATGAAAAATGTATAAACATTGCTTTGATTTGGTCACCATTGATTGGCAACATACACGGCATTCTAATTAATACATACAAATCAAAGGACTTATTAGTACTGATTATGAAAAGAATGAGAATATATAACTAACTTGCAATTGTTAATTCAGTGCATTTTTATGTTCGATTACATTTTTCAGTACTGCCAGTTGATAATTATCTGTATCAGCATGTAGAATATTTGGTGAGGTCAGACACCAACGTTCAGAAAAGACAAACATTAACATTGATAAAGAAGTAATAGGAACAAATAAACAAAGATTGACTTCTTAATCAATGCAATGATTTGATTATTATAGTCCTTTATTTGCAAATTGTACATTCAATACATGAATACATTGCACATCAGTACAAACAATCAGTACCCCCTCCCCCCCTCCTTTCCCCAAATCGACATTCATATCACATAGGCATAATGTCTAATTTTATACAATGCTACATAAAATAAACAATGGTCAATCAATTTTTATTGATGATGTGACTATATATGATAAGAACTGATTAAAAAACATTTCCCAGATTATACGCTTTGACTAATGAATCAATTTTTCTTCGTGGCACATTATATATCGTAAGGATTATTTATGCATGGCTTTCAGTTTTGCAATAAACCCGACGTTTTATCTAAATATATCTTACTCAAAGGATATATGAGAATCACGTCAATTTTTTAACGGGAATTAATTAAGGTAACATTCCTGTGGAATCTATAGAATACAATTTTAAGTTATCTCGCTTGGATCCTACACTACTTGGACAGGAACTCACGAAAAGCGTGAGAACCGTCAGAGATGTTCTATGTGTAAGAGGACCGTGTCATACCCTAAATTATATTTTTATTAAACATTTTTATAAAAAACTAAGTAACGATTTACAAAGAAAAAAAAATACCGGTAAACCACAGCATTTTACTATTACATACCAATAATCATCAAAAGGGGGGGGGGGGAGAGAGAGAGAGAGCTTTTAAACTTTTAAATAGGAATAAATAAGAAAAAAATATTCTTCTTAAGAACAGCAAACGGTACGCCAAGATTATTCATATTAATGAGGAAACATCCTCAGGTAGTGTAGATTCAAGTTTGTTCAAATCATGATTCCCGGGGTTGGGTGAGGCCACAATAGAAGCTATTTTTACACAGGAATATTTAGGGGGAAAGTCTCTTCAAGAACAGAAAAGCCATGATTAGTCATATTAACATGGAAGCATCCTCAGGTAGTGTAGATTCAATTTTCCCCCTTGTTTTCGTTTTCTTTTCCTTTCAAATCATAGTCCTTGTGGGGTACGAGGGGGCCCACAAAAGGAGATCCAACTTTTACATAGGAGTATAGCTGCAGATCTGTAGCTCGCTGGTCTAAAAAAATTGGTATGGACGACCATCCCCATTCCAATTTTTTTTTTAAGACCAGCGAGCTACAGATCTGCAACTATTGGAACATATAGGGAAAAATCTTTAAAAATCTTGAAGCAGTTTAAAGTAGTGTAGATTAATTCAAGTTTGTTCAAAACTTCAAATCATGGGCCTTGGGGGTAAGATGGGGGCACAAACGGAGATCAAAGTTTTAATTGGTATATGTTAAATTGGGGAAAATTTTTAATTTCTTTCTTTTATGAACAGCAAAATCTCACTATTAGTCATATTGATATGCAAACATCCTCAGGTAGTGCAGATTCAAGTTTATTCAGATCGGGGCCCTCGGGAGTAGGTTGAGGCTACACTAGGGGATCAGAGTTTTACATGACAGTAAATAGGAAGATTCTTTTCAGGATTGGTAAGACCACACTAATTTTTTTTTAAAGCAAAACTTACCAAAGTTATTTGAAATCATTTCCAAAATCAGAGTACCAGATTTTACGTAATGCATGTGTACAGAGCCATATTGATTGTATTGATAATGGAGCATCCTGATATCTTGTGGATTCAACTTTGATTTAATCATAGCTCTCTCGGGTTAGATTTTGGTCCACAATATGGAGTCAAAATTTTTATAAAATTAAAGGGGGGGGGGATAAAAAGAAAACCGACCTCTTCGATAATCGAGTTTTGTTCATTATTTTTCTTTTTTACAATAATCATGAATGTAATGATCATATTTTACTTTTAAGTTAAAACTTTATGGATTATTGTTGTACGTTTCTAAAAGCTGCGATATTTTGTTAACGTTTTTTTTTCTTTTTTTCGGGGGGGGGGGGGGGGGGTAAGAGAGAGAGAAAGAGAGAGCGCGCAAAAAAGATGAACACATTAAAATTACAATGTGTTTATAAATAAAAAAAACTCCCTATTATTAAAACACACATTATTATTCATTCAATGCGTAGAATTCTGATATTTGAAATATTTCAAGTCATTCGCTGAAAAAGTGGAAAGAGACATTCTGAATCAAACCGTTCTTTTAAACTGTATTTGTATAGATCATGTCCGACTCTTTATATACATGTAAAAACACAAAAAGGCCATCATATAGTGTCGTTAATATCTTTATTTGAAAGGGAAAAAGTGTTAATTTAATTACCAAAGAAAAAAAATATTCTAGATAATTTGGCTCGGAAAATCCTAAAATCTTTTCCCGTGGTTTTGAAAATAAATTTCACATTACTAGAAAAATAATTACTAGTAAATTTAACAAAGTACGAGTAATTTACTGCAATGTTATATTCACCAATGCCTGTTGATGTTCTGGTAAAGTACTTTTGAACATGACATATACATGACACAATGATTTTTTTTAAAAGTACAATTAAAAATACCACAGAACCACACATGGCAACGTAAAGACCGAAGTCCCCCTTTGTAACCTTGCATGTAAAAGGGATGGAAGTCGGTCAGAAAGGGTTGAATCATCAAAACTACATGTATTAGACACAATATACCAATCGGATATTGAATCACAATAGATACGCTACAAAATAAGCAGTAAGCGTGTTTCCTATATAAAGATGAGCGCCATGGCGTTCAGAAACATTTATAGAGACATTTTCAAAATGCTTAATCACAGTGAACATGCTCCAGAGATGCTGGCGCAACTCAATTCCGAAGAAGTCATCAATCGTCTGCCACTTCTCCTGGTTCTCTCTGTCTTGTCCGTTATTGGAATCATCGCCAACACGCACGTGCTGTTTGTGTTTGGAACCAAAATCAAGAGATCTACATATCGTGTTTTCGTTCTGGCTCTTGGATGCATCGACATGCTTGGTTGCACCATTTCCATCCCGTTTCAGATCATTGACGAAACCAATCCCTACACCTTCAATGCTCCAATTGCCTGCAAAATCTTCAGATTTTTCGATACGAATTTAGCCATTGCGGCTGCTCTGATGCTTGTGGTTATTGCTGCAGAGAGGTTTCGAAAAATATGTCGGCCAAACGGAAAACAAGTCACAGAAAAAAGAGCCATCCGTTCTATCATTGCTGTAATCATTGGATCATCCATTGCTACCTCTCCAGCATTGTTAATTTACGGTCGCCATACTGTGGTCATAGAATCAGAAACAAACTTAAATGGATCAGAGTGTTCATGGTCGGATGCAGTTTCAAATTCTTACTATGGGTATGTTTACTATGCCCTGGAACTGTTGATTGTAATTTCTTGCATGGTATGCTTGACTATTCTTTATTCATTTGTGGGTAAATCATTGAGAGCGCACAATAAGCGAATGAAATCAACCAGGATTGTTAGATTTCATGTAAAAAATTCTGTAAAATCTAGAAAAGCCCAGGAATCGACAGATTCCAAAACTGACGAGGAATTGAAAGTGCGAGAATCCATAGAGTCAACGCAAACGGATCGGGATTCTGGGGTGGACTCTCCTGTTCCGATGTCAAGTGATTCCCTGGAATCTCTTGAGATCGAAATACAAATCAAGGATTCAAAAGAAAAAGAAAGTTCGTCTACCATTGAAGACGACGATGTGTTTACAAACAAAGAAAGTAATGACAGAAACAATACAGAAAGTAGTGGATTTTCGAGTACTTGTCAGTTATGCGAGGGCGATGAATCTTCAAGGAAGATGTCATCAATCAGGTACGTTTTCAGTAAAGTGGCCAATGTACCGGAAACTCTTAAGGGTCTCGTATTGAACAGAAGAGATACTTCCGAAAGGACCCCTGTCACCCCGGACATTATCGTGACAGATTGTACCAATAACACAACAAAGATACTTTCAGGATCACACGAGGATTTGGTCGACGAAAAAAATGAAACTCAAGGCAAAGAAACAAACGAATCAAATAAAGCGATAAAGACCAAAAAGACCCGGAAACCACTGAAGACATTTTTAAGAAAAAGGAAAAAATCAAAAACTGCCGAAAGTATTCGCGAGCGCCGAATCACTAAATTGTTGTTTTTTATAACCTTGACCTTTATTGTGACCTATTATCCTTATATCATTGTTTTGATAATCTACGCTGTGCGACCTGAGTTCAAGGACAACTTATCAGACGTTGGTCGAGTTTTCTACCTGATGGCCATTAGACTTTATCTCATCAACAATGTCATGAACGCTTTCTTTTATGGATTCTTTGACCTAGAATTCAGAAATCATTGCAAGGACATTTACAAGAAATTGTTCAGAAAGATTACAATGTCAAGGTCACAGAAATTTGTCTGCAAAAAATGCGAACAGAAACAAAAACAAATTGTGTAGTCAATAAATATTTATTAAAATACATGTTAACGAATGTTATTCAATACAATGAACAATAATTTCTCAAGTTTGTTTATTTATTTTATTTAATTGTTATAACAGTGTCTGACAATTTGTTCATTAGTACATGTATACTATATAGTGTAGCCAAAATCGCTTACAATGAAACGGTCTTCATCTGTTCATTTAGACTCTCTCTATTTATGAATGTTCTGCCAGAATTGAATTTGCGCCATCGTCGGAACCCACGGATTTTCTCTCCGTGGGTTCCGACGATGAATTTGCGCAGAATAGGTACACGTTCTTATTGGTTTCACTTTCTACCATAAGCTCTATTATAATCAAAATGGCTAGTTTGAGACGACGCCTCTATGTTGCATACATATTTAGTTCAAAAGCCATAGCTTAAAAACATGTTTTGCACTATCTGTCAGCCCCTGAAAGAGAAGACAATCGTGTTTTTCATGACAAATATTGAAACTAACAATTAATCCTCTTGATTTCAACCGATTGTCATTGACCGATGAAGTTGAAAAGTGGCATTAAAGCCAGTTTAAAACAATGCATCAAGGCGCCACTAAGCCCTGTGATGTTATGAATTATATTCCTTAATAAAGGAGAGAAGCCTGATAGTTTAGAACTTGGAAATAGATTCTAACATTTTCTAGTATCCTATGCAGTCACCATTTCAGCATGTCAACCACTAAATCATAGCTAACATCACAAAAAAAGTTTTTAGAATATTCAACGTTTTCATGTATTAATTCTGACTCTGGTGTATCAATCGCATCTTCTCGGACCTTTCCGGCAAGCTCGAAAAAAAGTTGTTTTAATATCCGTTTGCCGATAGGCAATAGAAGTTGCGATTGTGACAGTATTTCAAACAATATATTTTACAAGAAAGCGGATATACTTAATAGAGTATCCCAGTAGCAATGAAATCAGCTCTAATATGGAGTGAAATAGTGTTATTATGAATGTTCTTTTTAACCATTAACCAAGGATAAACAAGAACAATCCTGGAACAGATACATTGACCGTACGGAACAGGGTTGTTTTGAGTATCTATCAAGACGATATGAAGGTAATTTTTAAATAAAATCTCTACATTTGAAAATTTATAGTTAGCAGTCTATCAGTCTTAAGTTGCTTCCTAAAAAATTTTTAGGTGTATGTCAAACGCAGGTGTATATTTACTTGTTTTCCAACTTAAATAGGAAATCAAATAATCAGGTTGAACTGCACTTCACTTTGCCTATCGGTTTGTTTACATTCTGAACCAACAAGATTATAATGTGGTTATTGCTGCAAAAAATCGAACCTGGGCTTTAAATTCTTGATACATATCAAGTCGCGACCTGAATCCATTCACGGGTTTCCATTTGTGACAAATAAACAGGTGAGTTAATTGATTTACATATGAATTTGTTGCAGGTTAATTCCATAAGAGTGTTAGAATGATATTTTTTCTTCTGCGATAGACCAACAAGAAACTACATTTTGTTGGCTGAGCGTCCCTCATGATAAAGAACGAAACTGCAACAGAGAAATCTCGGACTAGTTTACATTGGCAACCATGTATCATGATATAGTCTATGTTTATGTGGTCATCTCACTTTCCGAGTTATTCTATCTATACATTAAGTAACCTTTGTCAAGTCATATATTGCTTCAGTACTTCAATATTGATTTTTCTGGTTTTACAAATAAATAATGCACGAAGAACTTTTGCTCCTAGTCCAATTTCCATGCTTAAAAATCCAGCTTAGAATGTATCAGATTTGTTTTGAAATGCTGTATAAATACTTCCAGTCTTGTTCTCTGATTTAAAATCAGAGGAAGATGAAAAAGGCGTTAAAGTCCGAAATTCAGGTGAATGTCTACAGTACCATCTGTGAATACAAATCTGAATATTTCCAGTGTTTTTTCTGTCCTTTTTTAAAGCTTGAAATCGATAAAATCAAGATCTAGTTCTAAAGGTTCTAACACAATGAGTAAATCTTTTTTATTTACTCGCAGAATGGGGAGAAAGGTGGCAGTGGTTACGGGAGCAAACAGAGGACTTGGATTGGAACTCGTGAGGCAGCTCTGTAAGACGTTTGATGGCGACGTCATTCTTACGTCTCGAATGACTGATAAAGGCAGTGCTGCCTTAAACAAACTGAAAGTGGAAGGACTACGACCTAGATATCACGAGCTCGACATTACCCAGGCTGCTAGCATTCGGATGTTTGAAGACTTTATCAAGTCGGAATATGGTGGAATTGATGTGCTCATTAACAATGCCGCTGTAACTTACAAGAAAAATGAACTAGTTCCTTTATTTCGTCAAGCACAATTATCCATTGAAACAGATTTCAAAGGAACTCTAAATGTTTGCAGAATATTGCTTCCACACATGCATCCTCACGGTCGTGTTGTTATCATCACAAACGGGTACATAGGCAAAAGAAAGGAACTTGGTGAGAAACTGCAACAAGAACTTGACCTTGAAAAATGCAATATGTACAAACTTATAACACTTGCAGATGAATATATGAAGGCCGTCAAACATGGCAACCATAAGAGCTATGGATGGCCAGATTCTCCAATTGTGCTTGCGAAGATACTCCTTTCGGCCTTAGCTCGTGTTTTAACGAGAGAACTTGCAGGAGACGTGCGACGTAACATCCTTATCAACGCGTGTTGTCCTGGATGGATGACGTCACAAGGCAGCGAAGTCTATGTTGGCGAAGATGGCACCTGCCAAGGTATCAAACCTAGACCTGTAGAGGAGGCAGCAAAAGATGTCGTCTGGTTGGCTACTCTTCCGGAGGGAACAAAAGCGCCCAATGGTGAGCTGGTCCGATATAGAGAGGTCATTCCTTTCGAATGACTGACATAAAGATCACACACATAAAAAAACATCCTCAGGATCAATAGAGTAATTCTGACTTGTACAATGTGACTCAGAATTACATGTACCTTAGAAGCTGAAAACAATCAAAAAGTAGGATTGTTACTTTTGTGATTACAGTAGTTGTGACGAAACACGTAGTGATTGTGTAGTGCGGGTTATCAAAGCGGAAGTTAATCAGCAATGTCATCTACAATTAAGGAAGCAGAACTATTTGACTGTCGCTGAATTTGTATTGTTATCAATTACTGCAGATTATAATATTCTCCAAAAAGACACATAAAAGTAACGGATGCTTTAAAAAAATCGAGAATTGTTATTGAATGAATAAAACTGTTAGTTTTCTCAAAAATGGTTTTGGTTGTAGTTTCCTTCAGATTACCAAATATCTCTACACAATCTCAAAAGCAACTGTCTAAAATATTGATAATGTGGATATCATTTTACATCTACGCCTATTACACTTTCTTTCATTAAAAACTTTAACTTGCAATCCTATCCCACAACTAATTGTTTATCATAAATCTATTGTTCTTCGTTGCGTTTTAACAAAAAGGGTCACCGTATTCATGTGTACAGGAAAGCCCGAGAGGACTTTCTTTGTAGAAAGATATTATTTGATAATTCCTCCGACATGAAATTATTTCTTTGGAAAGTAAGCATCTCAATGTTGTGTACAGGAACGAAATGGGAATATTTCATTGTTAGCTTTTAGTTTAAATCATGGTTTGACCCTTGCCTCTCTTTGGATTGTACATGTAAGAGAAATAATGGAATATAATTAATTAAAAACAAGAGTGACGAAAGCGAACAAGAACAATTTTGATGGCTGGGATCTTCGGACCTCAATGGCGCACGGGGAAGTCCCCGCTTCAGTGTCTGAAGTATCTCTGTCTCAATGAAACACTTGCAGACGTTCACTTCACTTTCACTGATGGCGGGAAATCTCTGCCGGGTCACAAATTCATCTTGTCCATGAGAAGCGAAGAATTTGAAAGAATTTTCTACACCGAAATACCAGAACCAAATATACCAATAGAAGGAACTTCAAAAGAAATATTCCAAATGCTTCTAAGGTAAGGAACGACACATCGTTTTTTTGGTGAAGGGAAGCAATTGACATGTTATTCCTGTTTTTCTCCATAAGTGCCTCAGCGGGAAAATATGATCCCCTTCACAATTTTTTGTCATTTCTTCATTTTTTTTAGATGTATATGAAGCTTGATTTTGTTTTGTAGGTACATATATACCAACGAAACCAACCTAAATGAAAGCAATACTTTGCCTTTGATAGAACTTGCTGAAAAGTATAAATTAGACGATCTCATTGAGCGATGCGTTAGCTATCTGGAGTCGTCGTTATGCAGCAAAAATGCCTGTGCAACTCTTGATGTTGCTTTCAGGTTTGACATGAAGGAGATGAAAGACATAACTCTTCGATTTATTCAAAGAAATGCAAAAGTTGTTTTCAAATCAGAAGGTTTCAAATCAGTATCTCGCCAGGGCTTGGAATGCATTTTGAAATCTGACGTGACATCCGTTCTGGAAATTGAGATGTTCAGCGCAGCTGCAAAGTGGGCGGAAGAAGAATGTCATCGACAAAAGTTACCAACCGACGGTGAAAATAAAAGGCAGGTTCTTGGAGATTTATTGTATGGCATACGAATGACACAAATTTCTTTGAAAAGCTATTCCAATGTTGTCGTACCGACAAACATTCTCACCGAAGAGGAACAGCTGCAGATGTATAAATATTTTACTGTTACCGGTGGTTCGAAACTTAAATGTCAAATTCCACCATTCGAGAAAAAACCGAGACAGAAAGTGAAAGCGGACCTAGTTTCAATATTGAAGAAAACAGACACAAAACGTTCACATCAAAAAGTAACCAGATCTGTAAGCTTACCTACACCAAAGGAAATTCTTGGCTGAAGGACTATATGACCATATACTCGTTTAAAAACATATAAGCATTCCCATATAATCAACTGACTTTTAGCCCAGAAGTTTGGCCAAATTCACGTAAAAAATATATAAAAAAAATGCTTCAAACTGTCCATGTTTATACCTTAGAAAAATTTTCTTATTTGTCTTATGGTATTGTGTATATCTCATTTGTCATGCTACCACTGACCGCCGTTATACTACTAGTCATTACCAATGACATTTCGCAGCGAGATACTCAAAAACTATGTTAAACATACGAAAGGACACAACACAATATTAGCTATTCCTGAAAACAACGCTCAGCTTACGAAAAATGTACATTATTTTTGACCACTAATAATAGGGAATATTAATTAATTCCTCAAACCTGTAAAACATTAATTGCTTTCGGTTGTAATTGATGACAGCCAGAACAAATAATCCACTCTTCGTGCAAGACCTAGCGATATTCTACCGCGGTGGTTCGAAGAGGAAACATTAGGGTTAGGGACACATGGACGTGTGGTAGTATTTCGAAAACAGAAAAAAAAATATTTGATTGAAAAATGAATTTTGTTTTATTAGTTTTTGGTTTATTTGGATTTTGTCAATCTATACCAAATCCTGGAGGTATCCGAGTTCGGCTCCCGGAATCTCCGCCACCAGCAAGAAAACAATTACAAGCAACAAAAATGGTAAAAGCGAAACCAAACCAAGGTAATATTGTAGTTTTCTGTGGAGAAATAAATATAATAGATTATCTTATCAAAATGAATTTTTAAAAAGATACTTGTGTTATTTATGACTTTAGAAATATTTTTCTTCGGAAAATCTATAAGTAGTGTTTCATTAATTTCTCTTCATTTTGTCATTATACTATGAAATAAAGTACATGTAAAATTATAAATCTTCATTAATTTCTCTTCATTTTGTCATTATACTATGAAATAAAGTACATGTAAAATTTATAAATTTAAAACTTGTCAATTTTGATAAATTTTCAAACATTTAATACATCACCAATACAGATAAATTTTGAAAATGTTCACATCACCAATGATACAGTTAATTGCACCTTATGTCGTTTTGATATGTTTAAACAGGGATAATACCAGGTATGTAATGTAGATATGAAAACTTTATAATGTACTATTTAGCTGGTATGCATTGTATAGATTTAGCTACAATTCTTGCTAATGATTTATCTTCGAAAAACTTGTTGCTAATATTGCTTCATATATGTACAAAATGGTGATTCAAAAATACTTCTTTTTAGTCTTTTAGTCTTGCTGAAAATTATTTGGATGGCTTCGCATTAGTAGCTTACAAAACCTGCTTAAAGATTTTATTGTAGTATAGGTTCGAGCATGACATGATCAGCGCGCGTTTAGTCCCCCCCCCCCCCCACCACCCAAAACAAGAAAAACACCCAAAAAGGGGGGTGGGGCAAAATGATAACAAGGAATATTTGGTGTTTATGTTAAACTGTTTCTAGTACAGTTGCTACCAAGTAGTTGTACTATAAAAGCCATACTTTTTTTGATTTGCAGCTGATTTTTTTGACGATAAAGGCATAAATTGCCCTTGTTTGATTGGTTAGGCATTTTCTCCGCACAGAGCCAGTCAAGTTTCAGGCCACACGTCATCTCATAACCACGTATTTCAAACGGGAAGGAAGGCATTGATCTGAACATATTCTATTGCATAAATGTAGTACAAAAATTTCGAATACAAGTTCAAACAACTTAGGAGGTTCTCACCTTAAATGGTTGAAACTGTCGATTTCTAAAGAAAATTTTGATGTATGTTTTAAGGAAGGCATTGTGACTAAAAGGAAAGTATGAAAATCGATTTGTAGAGTTTACTGGAGCAGGCCCGTAGAACTTTTTCTGAGTATAGTATTTTGCTATGGTAAATTTGCCTTTAGATGCTGGTTGCCATGGTATTGACCATATCATTTTTGAAATGTTGACTTGAAACACAAATGAACCTTTCAATGAACAAGTACAAAAATTTAATACAACTACAGAAAACAACAAAAAACATTCAAAATATGTCAATTAAACAAAACAATTCAAAAATATCACAAAACAAAATAAGGCCATTCCAAGTTTAATCTATGATTTACGTCCGCGTGCGCCTTAATTTTTGACACCCCTGGGCCCATATCAGAAAAAAAAACAAACAAAATCAGGAGTCCTGAAATTGATTATTTTAGTCGAAATCTTTGAATTCGGATAATTTCTCTAAATATGTATGAATTATACATAGGCGTCGGAACCGGGTGGGGGGGGGGGGGGCTAGGGGCCACTTTTTTTTTAAAGACAGGCATAATATAGGCATTGGGAATTGGGGCTTACCTTTTTCCGTTGGTTTAGCCCCCCACCCTTTCAATTAGCCACCCTACTTTCAATTTGCTTCCGACGCCTATGTTATATGTCATATTATAGGTGTATTTTAAGCATTTAATACCTTGAGTGGGTTAAATTAAAATAATAGATCTTTCTACTAGAAAATAGATTAATGAATTCAAATCGTTTAAATGATGTCATTTTCATGACTTTTAAGTCTGTATTTTATTTTTGGGCTTGTGTGTTTTTTGCAAATAGATTAGATAGGTTTACTTTGAATGGCATAAAATTAACAAAAACAAATTAGCAACAACATCAAATGTTCGTAGATATCAATGGGCATTGTAGCGCTAGTGAAATATTGTACATGTTTACTACATGTAGTACAGCTATTGTGAATTATTGAACATGGACATGTTATTTGTAAATATATGTTTTCATAAACAAACAAACAAACATCTTTAATTTTACACTGGGGATTATTAAATTAAAAAACATGCTCGAGACAGAATAATTTTTATCGAAGGAAAATTCCCATACCAATAAAATATGGGAGTTCCAGGTACATGTATATGCTGTAAACATTGGGCAAATTCATGTAATTGTCGAATACAAATAGTGTTCATGACCCCGACACTTGTAACCGTAAATATTAATGTCACTGTGTCTAGGTTCAGAAGGATTACACTTGTCTTGACCTCTTATATGAAAGGTCAAATGTTCTAAAATCGGAGAGAAAACGAGATGTCCAACAATTATTACATATTTAGACTGTGGGATACACGAAAAAGTCTATTCATTCTTCCTGCCTTAAAACACTCATTACCAAAGTATGACAACACATGACATCAAATTTTCACTGAAAAGCATGAAATGAAAGTTGAATTTCCCAACGACAAAGGAGTTATTGGTCATAAAGATGAATTGTCCTAAGTTGAAAATGAAACAACCGCTTAACACATAACCTTGTTGTTTTTGCGACATTTAGCTTTTGTAAACATTTATGAAATAGAATGGTCTGTCAATCATTTGCGAAACGGAAATGGCAATGGTTCAAATCGTTTTGTTGTTAAAGATTGCAGGAACCTGCTAGATGTTGTAGCTGTTGTTGACGGATCAGATAGCATTACCTCAAAAGATTTCCGAACACTGAAAAGTTCCATGGTAGACATGATGGAAAGTTTACAACTAGCAGACGACCAAGCAAGATTTGGTCTCGTACTGTACAGTAGCAACGTAGCAGCTGAAATACCTCTCAGTGCCAACAGACAACAACTGAAAAACAAAATCATGGGACTGAGGCACCCAAGAGACGGAACCAGAACGGATCTAGGTATCTTTTTAAAACTTAAACTATTTGGTGAAAATCTAGCTGCAATAATGTAGCCCTCTCCGATTTTTTAAATCTGATATTTTCAGAAGAGGCAAAAAAAAAAAAAAAAAAAAAAAAAAAAAAAAAAAAAAAAAAAATCGGAGAGGGCTACATTATTGCAGCTAGTGAAAATCATCAAAAATATGAGAAAAACTTAAGCAAAACTGCAATCAATAAGCTGCAGTTCATTTTATGAAACAGAATCCGATGAATCCTTTCCTCGTTTATAGCAATGAAAAACTCTTCGTATTTTCAGGTATCAAGTCATTGCGCAAAATGTTCTCCAGTCAAGGTCGTCCAGGTGTTCCCAGGGTGGGAGTAGTTATCACTGACGGGATATCGAAGAATCCCAGAGACACTGCCAAAGAAAGCGCCCTCGCGAGGTCTGAGGGCATCAAACTGTATGCAGTGGGCGTGTCCGATTTGATTGCAGAGAATGAATTGAAGTCTATTGCATCCAATGGAACCAGGGTTCTCTCTGTCTCCAGCTTTGACCAGCTCAAACTTGTGTTCTCTTCTTTAGTTGTCCAGGTATCTCGCCCTTCTCCGATTTCGTCTTTTTTAAAATCTCATTCTCGATCTTCTCCGATTTCGGTATTTGGTTTTTTTCCCCAATCCCAGATATTCTTGTATGTTCTTCTCTAGTCGTCAAAACTTTGATACATGTTTTCTGTTGAATTTGATAGGTGTGCCCTACAACGACGACCAGTACTACCACAACCCCTACTACCACAACCCCTAAACCAACTACTACCAGCACTTTACCACCTACCACCAAAAAACCAAAGAGTAAGTGTACTGTTACTTACCTTTCGATTGATTTCGTTTCTGCGACGCGATAGCATTGTATTTATTCACGAGACACATTTTCGTGTTTCATACGTATGAAATGATTAGTTATCAAATTTATTATTAACGTGTTTTTCCCTTAAAAACAGATACAAATTATTAGTTAGTGCACAGTTTCTGCTGATATAATTCAAAGTACTGCAAGCAGTGTTCCGCGCCTGATGTTCTGTTCAAATATGACAGAATGTTTTCTTTCCTATTTTAGGTACAAAGCTATTATCTTAAATTTTAATGGTATACACATTTCATTCACAGATCCATGTGACAGCTGTAAAATGTCAAATGGCGCCGGTTTTACACGACATCCCACAGACTGCTCCAAGTTCATTCAGTGTTATTTCGGAAATAATGGTTTAAAGAAGATGTCGTATCAGGAATGTCCTTGGGGAAACTTTTGGGATCAAACGTCCTTGACCTGCCAGCCTGCGCACAGAGTCAAATGTCCCACTGGTGAGCAAAGACTTCGAATACGACGAGGGTTTCTTAAGTCAAAACAATATAATCGTCTCATCAGAAAGTTTCGCGTTCATTTGAGAGATAATTATATTTACCTCTTCCAAAAAGTCAAGGTAGCAAACCAACCGAATCGAAAGAGTAAAAAGGTATATTATAAGTCACGTGACAGCAGCGGTAGCAGCGGTAGCAGCGGCAACAGTAGCGAAAGCCAGGACCGAAGCGATGTCAGTGACTAAACACATGATCTCAAATTTGGAGACTTTAAAAGTCAGCACAATCAGTATACAAACACTTAAGAATACAATCTTAAATTGTGCATTATGCCAATTTTATTATTTTGCATTTTTAAAAAGTTTTTTTTTAAGTGTGGACTTCAGGGTATATGTATCTTTACAACAATCAAGTAAAATTAAAGTCTAATATTAAAAGAAACTGGTAGTTTTCGTTTTATTAGACAATGAAAAGAAATAAACTTTTTATGTTTGTGAAGTAAGCGGTTAAAATATTATTTCAAGACAAATTATCATTAAAAATTGATATCACCTGGAAAATGAAATTGCATTTTCATCTTTTGAAGCGCAAATTGCCTTACTTGAATATGATCAACTAATCACAAAATAACACTCAAATTTTGTACTAGCTTACTTCAATGAAAAGTTTATTTCTTTCAGACCGCTGTCTGGACCCGGAAGTATTAACCTATGACCTCCCCGGAAGTTGTCGGTCTTTCTGGGCTTGTGATGGCGGAGAATCAATTCCGATGTGTTGTCCGTACGGTACTTCGTACCATTCCGGAATAGGATGTCTTCCGGATAGCGGTTGCAAGGATCCTTGCCCGCCACGTCCAACACAACATCTGAATCCAAGAGCTCTGATGTCGGACAAAATAAGCCCTGAAAAGAACGCACCCCTTAGAAAACTATCTCTTCCAGGTAATTAAATTCAGATTCTAACCCGATAAAGTAATTTTATAAAAGAAAGATAGATCACGTTCTTTGATATTTTTATGTGTTTGTGGTTTATATAAAATGCTTCTTATACTGAGTCTGTAAATCGTACAAATAATGTATTTTCCAATTGCAGCTTTAAAACCCAAACTGACAATTAAACCAAGAAAACCAGGTGAGTTTCCTTTCATTCTTGCATATACTTTAGCAGCATAACGTAAAACCATTCAGAAGCATTTCAATTCCTTAATTATCAGTAATCCAAATTAACACTATACATTCAACTGCATATACCTTTTCTCACTCACAGCTTGTGACAAGAAGCCCGTTCGTGGAGATTCCAACAGCTTTGAACAGTTTGTACAGCGTTATGGCTGGATAAAGATGCCCTGTGCCCCAGGTACACAGTACAGTCAGGCCGATTGTGAATGTACAACTAGAGTACCATACTCGTCAAACAAAAGTTAGTATTATCTCATGTACCAGTATACTAGTTCAAACACGTGTTACTTAATATAATACGTTTATTAAAATAACTTGAAGTAGTTGATAAGGCATTTCCTATAAACATGTGGTATGTTCTTTTGAAAAACACGCTTCGTATTATTTTTTCCGACATAATAGGGTTGCAATTTACTTTGTAGCTGCTGAATGCACATCGAAGGTGAAGCTGAATTTTTCAGACGGGTTTGAAGATGAGCGTGACAAACGACCAGTCTATATTGTCAACAACAACGTCTCTTTCTCGGGAGGAGTTGCCAAATTTACCGGAAGTAGTCGATTGCGCGTACCCCAGCTTTCCAATGTGGATTATGGAGATTCGGTCATGCTCAAAATCCGTTTCCGGGACTCCACTAATAGTTCCGGGCGTCCACAGGCTATAATAAGTAACGCAGATTGTGGAAACAATGCATCTATACTAATTGCAAAAGACAAGGATCGCATCATGTTTGGCGCCCAAACTGAAAAGGGAGACTACACTCAAATAGAAATTCCGAAACCGGTAGGATTAGCTCTTAATCTAGAAGGGACATTTTGATCTAAAGATTTTTAGCATGGATCAGTTTAATTTCCCAAGCTTTCAGGAATGAAATAAAATTTTGTAAATCTACCGTCATATTTGAAAGGATATTTGTGATGTTATAAATCAGCCTTTAAAGTTGTTTTCTTTTTATCTTAAATAGAAAACTGAATGGAAAAATGTGAAATATTCATACAATCTCGGCCGTCTCCAGGGTTCAGTGAATAATGAGCAAGTCACCAGATGGATTCCGGGTGGAGGTAAGATATATGTCAATCAAAACACGGACGTGTTCGAATACCATGAATTCAAAATCTTTAAGACTAAGAATAGATTATACCTCAAAAAATGTTTCAAGTGTTAATAAAAATCCAAATTTTGTTTTAAAAGGAAAAATCCAGTCTAGACCGTGTGCACTACAGATTGGACATGGCGAGAATTTGGATGATTTCGAGGGGGATATTGACGATGTGAGTTTTCGTGCTCTTTACTTGTTTGTACTGTTTAAAACAGTTTTTTTTAAACTGACTTAACATTTTGAATATACCATTTCACAACCTAGTGTGTACCCTACTAACGCACAATGTCCATGCAATAATTTATTAAACCATGCGTGTCCTTGTTAAATTTTGAGACGCAGTCTTTCTTTCCCTCACTGAAAACCCTAAGCCTGATCGAACGAACCCACTACTATCTTCAAAGCAAATTTTTGTTTCTAAATTTTCATCTAAAATTCGTTCTTAAGTATTAATGTTTGAAAAGTTTTGTTTTGCCATCTTTTACAGCTTGAAATCTACACGCAGTGCATGCCACCTGAGGAAATGTATTTTGATGAAGATTATTCGGGATTTTTATAAATAATCACATGATTCTACTAAGTACTATGAAATCCAAAATTTAACAGAAGAAAAAAAAACCCTCATGATCTGAAGCAGCTATGCCAAAAAATGACACATAAAAACCTGTGTAACTTAATAGTTCTGTCGGATGCACGTCGAAAAGTATGCCATTTTCAACCTCGGTCTTCAGTGATGTTTCATTTTTAATGTAGGTTCTTGTCTTGTTATCACAAATAAAAGGAGATTTCTATAATAAGTTGTTGTTCTCTCATCATTTATACTGTTAAGTTCATAATCAAAAAATAATTATGTACTTCGCTAAAAAAGTACAAATACAAGCATGTGTACCAGCATCAAGGAATATTCCATGGCACTTCACTTTAATATACAATTATACGTAAATTTTGGAAATGTTTTCTTTATTAATTATTTATTTATAACGATAGGGTCTTATGAATAAAAAAATGATTACAGGCGCGTAGCCAGAATAGAAATGATGTGTAAGCAGAGAACGGCAGGGGGTTGGGTGGGGGCGGTCTTGAGCCCCCCCCCCCCCCCCCCCCCCAAGTGTTTAAGGGTTCTGGTCAGGCACGTAATATAGCTTTTGCCAGCCAGGAAAAAATTACAATTTTAAAAATTTGTCAAGCAAGGACGAAAAAGGAAGATTGTCAAAATTCGAAGTCCTATTTCTTGTATATGTGTGTTTGTTGAAGGGGGGAGGGGGTGTCCATCTTTCACAAACCAAATTTTTATTAATACATTACCAAATTACCCTGATTTAACAATGGTGCAACAAACAGTGGGGGTCCACCCTTACAATGTACATTTTCAATAGTAAAAGGTTAGGTTTTGGGAATAAGTAGCTCCCGTGATACTACGTGCCTGCTGGTGAGGACCCAGAAGCTCCGGAGTTTTACCAAATATTTCATTCATTTTCTTGAAATATAAAAATTATGCCATTTAGTTTTTGTTTAGGAAATAAAAGACATAGTAATATTTATTGCTTTACCGAAAATTAATATTCCATGGAAACTTATTGTACATATAATTGAGGCTAAAAATTTAACCGATATATTAATTGGTATCATATAGTCATTTTTAACATTTAAAAACACGTATACGAAATTTTAATTGTGAACCAAAAAATATCGTATTGTAAATCATACTAGTAGATAATAGCATTCAACGATGTGGCTGAAATTTAATTTTTCAAAGATCTTTAAAAAAAATATCAATGTATGATAGAACAATGACAAAATAATGAATGATTTATTTGGATTTGGCAGTTATTAAATAAAAGATTTCAAATTTTATCATACAGCCATAATAATTTAAAATTTAAATCGACACTGTATGACACAGAATAATTTGAAACACGAATATTTGTTGGATGGTACTGAGATTTTTTTCTCCGAATAATTCTCTCTTTTTTCTTATCTTTTTTTCTGAAAATGATGTGTACGCACTTGCGTATTTGCGTATAGGCAGCTACGCGCCTGGATTATTTTCTAAATTTAATGCCAGTTGAAAAATTTTTAAGGGAGGTAAATCTAACAGTAAATTTTCAAATAATGTATTGCTAAAAATCTACCTACACAGCTTGTTAAAATATACTTCTAGGCTTTATCAATGCCCTTTTATATGTAATATAATCCTTGCACTTGAAATACATGTATATTTCATCCTCAACAGTTCTTGAATAACTTTAAATCTAGTTAATAACTTCCTCCCAGGAAGTTAAGAATATCCACTTGTCTTAATCTCCTCTATAGATGACTATCGCCACTGAACGAAAATAAAATTTATGAAATCTTTGAATGTGAAATAGATAGATATCTGTTAATATCCTTAAAACATGTCACTGACAGCTACTCTACACAGGAAGTGACATATTAAATTCTGTTTCATAATTACTTATTAGTCCATACACTGTGAACTACACATTATCCAAATATTTGAATAATCTACATATATTCCATCTCGAAAAACAAATCAAACAGAACAACTGGATTTTAACAGTTTATATTTACATATTTCATTTTATAACAATACATTATCCATGGTAACAATATAATTCAGGAATGTCAACAAAAACAACAATTTCTTTTTCTCACAACCTTATGTGTCATAAATCCGGGGCAAGAATCTGATTTCTATCTATAAATGATGATCATGATGCATAAAAACAAAACACAAGTACCAAGATGAATGCTTCTCTGTATATATTAACAAATTACATGTAGATATAGGATTTAACTAGCATTTCAATCTCACATACTACAGAAAATATGTTAATCATCAAATTCAGCTACAAAGACATTTTAATTTTAAAACAATATTACCCTGAAAAAAAAGTTATTACACAGTAAAACTTTAGTAAACTTAATGAATGATTATATTCCTGTTCATTTCATTGAAAAAAAAAGTCAGTTGAAACATTCAAATTGATAAATCAGTTGGTACAGGTAGGAAAAAGTGCACTATTTTGTTCCCCTACACAAAAGTCAAAAATGGAATGTATACGTTCTTAATTGAATTGAAGAAATCAAACAAACAAAAAAATCAAAAATTTAATATATGGTACCAATTTGTCTCTTAATTATTATGTTTATCAAAAAACAAAAGAAAGCAACAATTTCCCAGATTTTCCTGATTATAAGAGAAAAAAAGTTTAAATTCTCCCAATATTGTGGGCATATGTAAGTAGAAGGAATGAATATACATGATATGTGATAAATATTGTTATAAAAATGATTCATAGACAAGTGAAGAAAATATTAAACCTCTCTTTGATGAACATATATCCTTTTTACCCCAATACAATGCTATTCTGAGTATCAACATGATTAACCTTCATGTACACAAAAAAATAAACAGCTCTCAAGGAAATGAAATATCCACCAGTAATAAATACATATTAACATGGCCACTCATTCTAAACTTAGAAGAGGAATGAAGTGTTGAAAGAAAAAAAATTACCAATGAAAGACCACACTTATAATAAGTAAGTATTTATTATCAATAGCAAATCATTCCCGGTTTTATGATATCATTAAATCTAATGCACAATATAGCGTGGGCCAAAAAAATTATGAGTCTTTGGTTTACATAAACTGGGATTAATGAGGAATGTATGAATATCTGAACACATTATTTGGCTGCAGAACAATAAATCAATTACCTGATCTAGCATGCAAAAATGACAAAATATGACATTGATATTTTGTAATGAACAACTATATCATATGACCATCATTTACTTCTCATCATGTTACAATTACTATCTTAGCAACATGGAAAATAATGTGTTAATTCAATGTATCAAAATAGAAATTTAAAAATACAACTTTGTAAAATGCAGTATGATATGTTGTTCTAACAACATAGATGAATAATTATGATATCAACCATTAAGGCTTGTTGTCCCTCTGGTTCACTCATATAAAACTTTGCTTTAATCAACACAAATGATTATCCAAAAGAAATTTCATTTAGAACAAAAATGATATAATTTCACTTTACCTTGTGGGGCAAAACTTAACAGAGATAGCATTTTAATAGAGTTATCTCTCTTATCGAAGGGTCAATGTACCTTAAATTTTTCAACATCACATAAAAATTAACCCTTTCACAGACTCAGAAACACATGCAGTATATAATTCACAATTATTCATCTTCTTCGAAAAGAAAACAAAATTTAAGATTTTTGTCCCATTTTAATATACATTTTTCTTCTGTCATATTGCAATGACTTAAAAATACTGGAGAAATTAACATTTTTACAGAAAAGCCCTAAATATCTCCTGGTCATTCTTTAAATAAAGTAATATCACAAACCTGACACCGAGATGAAAAATAAACAGAGAAATATCTCATTTTCACAACTTATATGTTTTGAAAAATAAAAAAAACCAGAAGTCTCTGATGAGACTGTAGCTCTACTGGTCTGTACATATAACAAAGGAAACGTAGCACTTGGATTTGAAACTTTGCAAAATGTAGCAATAAATAGAATAATGTATCTTAATGTAGTCTACTTGTGTGCCAAGTTATATTGAAATCAAACAAAAAACTGTAGGGGGAGTAGCGTTTTAAAGGAATTTCATAGAAATTCCTATATTTAGTAACCATGGCAACACCATTCATCGAAATCAAAAACCGATGCACTAAATTATGTATCTTAGTGTAGTCTACTTGTATGCCAAGTTATATTGAAATCAAACAAAAACTGTAGGAGGAGTAGCGTTTTAAAGGACTTTAAAGAAATTACTATTTTTAGTAACCATGGCAACACCTTACATTGAAATCAAAAACCGATGCACTAAATTATGTATCTTAGTGTAGTCCACTTGTGTGCCAAGTTATATTGAAATCAAACAAAACCTGTAGGAGGAGTAGCGTTTTAAAGGAATTTCACAGAAATTTCTATATTTAGTAACCATGGCAACACCTTTCATTGAAATCAAAAACCGATGCACTGAATTATGTATCTTAGTGTAGTCTACTTGTGTGCCAAGTTATATTGAAATCAGACCAAAACTGTAGGAGGAGTAGCATTTTAAAGGAATTTTACAGAAATTTCTATTTTTAGTAACCATGGCAACACCGTTCATCGAAATCAAAAACCGATGCACTAAATTATGTATCTTAGTGTAGTCTACTTGTGTGCCAAGTTATAATGAAATCAAACAAAAACTGTAGGAGGAGTAGCGTTTTAAAGGAATTTCACAAAAATTTCTATTTTTAGTAACCATGGCAACACCGTTCATCGAAATCAAAAACCGATGCACTAAATTATGTATCTTAGTGTAGTCTACTTGTGTGCCAAGTTATACTGAAATCAAACAAAAACTGTAGGAGGAGTAGCATTTTAAAGGAATTTCACAAAAATTTCTATTTTTAGTAACCATGGCAACACCGTTCATTGAAATCAAAAACCGATGCACTGAATTATGTATCTTAGTGTAGTCTACTTGTGTGCCAAGTTATATTAAAATCAGACCAAAACTGTAGGAGGAGTAGCATTTTGAAAAATTGTTTACAGACAGACGGACAGACAGACAGACGGACGGACGCCGGACACCTTACTATCGCATAAGCTCTTCTGGTCTCTGACCAGTAGAGCTAAAAATTGGAAAATTTACATCCTGTATATAGAAAGGCCGATTCAGTTCTGCTCAAAATAAGAAAATGTCATATCCAACAAAAAATGTCCTCTCATAATGAACAAATATTTATAGAGAAAAAAAAATCAAGTAGAAAAGGCAAGATAACCTCTTACTGGTATCGAAAGAAATGGAATTTTAACACTTCATGTATATGCTCTTCAATACATGTACCACAATTGCAGAAACATGTCTCACACAAGCATACAAGTGTGTGTACATACATGTATACAAGAATCTTCCATACCAAGTTTTGACCACAAAGCGTTACAGTTTTACGAAATCAAACATCGTAGGACTTGAAATGAACTGTCAATGGTTTTATAGGTGTAAAAATGGTCACTTTCTGGTTTCTTATACCCACACCCCATCTGGATCTTTAGCCACAGATAAGACTGGCGTGATCTTTCCACTGAGTCCTTTGATGGGGGACATCCTTCCTTCAAGGATCTTCAAAACAGCTGTGAAGAGAAATTTACATCATTATTTATTAAATCATGAATTGAGATGTATATAGTCCGGCAAGCATACCTGTCCCAAACACTTCGCATAAGGCCACCTAATATATCTTCTATAAATTGCATAATTAAGAACAAACAGAATTATATGTACATATCTTCATTTTTTCCCTGAAATGTTTATGCTAGGGTCTTGAATATAATGGGAAATATATACATGTATAATGGTATATACGTACATGAAATCATGAAACTTTCTTTACTACTACATATATATTAAAAAAATAAGATTAACAGTACATCTAATTGTAAAAAAACTATAATGGCACAAATGATAAGGAATAGTTTTAGTATTCAAACAGTGGTGACTTGCAAAGTCTACCCTAAATTTATGTTGTAAGTTTACTTAATCAACTACTGAAATGTATGAACACTATATCAGCACACTCGTTTATTGGCTTAGCTATCATAACACTCATTAACCTACTTGGATAATGACTATAGATGAAAAATCTACTTGAAAAAAAAAATTACAATGGGTTTATGCCTTTTGCAACATTTTGTTGTCTTTTTCTGCTTATTATCCCTGTAAATTCACACACAACAACTCAAAGAAAGATAACTCTACCTAATCCACAAGCCACACAAAGAGTTATTTACCTTGATTATCCTACACTATTGGCATGGAGGGCAACAGAAAATAAAAAAAAAAATCTGGTGAGTGATATAGACAGGACATTAATGTGACAAGAACTTCTCTAAAACAACAATATAAACTTAAAAGTGCAGTACTATTCTACATGTAGCTCCATCAATGATGTTGAAACTCCAGTAATTAAAGTTTGAAATTTCATGCAAGACTGTTAAAAACATGTACATTTTCTAATGTCAGTTCCAATTTTATGAATAGAATTCTGTGATATATAACCCCCTATTTGATGTTTAGTCAATCATAATCATATGATTAATTTGATTCTTAGATTATTTTTAAGTTGAAAAACATGTATATTGACAGAAGAAAAAAAAATTTCCAGGCTAAAAAAAATCCCTGCACCAAACTGATCAAATAAAAAAAAGATATACTAGGCCATAAAGTACTCAATAAATTACTCTGAATTTCAAAGCCTCAGATTTTATGTCTAGGTCATGATAATTTGTGTTACATTTACAAGTAGTGACACCTTTTCTAAAGATGTTGAAAGAAGTAATCGCAGTATCACATTCAATGAACACATTTCTTTAGCTAAATCAAAAAATTTTTAACAAAAAATATTTATCAGTATTTACATGTAGTAGTAATTTAATAAATTTATCAAACTTTGAAACAGAAATTCCTCTGCAAGTTTTGTTATCTGCCTGCTATAAAGACCTTTTTGCATGGCTAAAATAACAGGTACCAGCTTTAAGTATTTGCAAAGTGAATAGCGACACTGAATATAGTATTTATAACTGAATATTATTAGCATATATATATGACAGCAACTGAATTATTCACAAAAAAATTCTGAGCAGTAAATTACAACATTTAACACAATCAGTCTTACCTTCACCTGATTCTACAGACTTGTTCTTCCTTTTTGGACCAGGAGAAAATTGAAAATCTCTAAGGTTCACGTCTTTTAGTTGTTTCTCAAGGGAAGTAACTTCCTCCTTTTGTTGATCTAGCTTGTTCTGTAGGTCCCTAAGCTCGTTTTCCACTGTTTCTAGCTCTGTGTTATCAGTATCTATTTTCTTGTTCTCCACATCCAACTTTTCTTTCATCGATTTTATTTCTTCCACCATTTTTTCTTCCTCCTCTTTTCTCCGTTTTGCCTCTTGTTCCATTTCTGCTTTCTCATTATCAATGTCTGTCTGAACCTGAGGAAGTCTATCATTGAGTTTATTGAGCTCTGTTGTTTCTGTGCTGATTTTGTCCTTACACGTCTTAATCTCCAGATGAATTTTCTTCTCTTTTTGTTTTTCTGCTTCTATAATATCCACCCAAGATGTAGAGTCTAGTTCACTGATTTCCACTTCGTACTTTCTGGTAACATCCTCTAGTTCTTTAATTTTGCTGGTGATTTTCTCAATTTCTTCTGATTCTTCTTTCTGTTTTGCCTCGAGGGAACTAAGCTCTAACATAGAATAACATGCCACATAAAGTTATAATTAGTATAAAAGTTTTCCTTCAAAAATGAATCAAGGAAATAATTAACATGGAAGTGCAAATGAGCATTTGCTATATCTTTAATTCTGTGTGTAATAAAAGACGTGTATATGAATTAATTAACTTATATTTAATGAATATATTTCCTGCATTACCTGTGTCTATGATGGAGATCTGGGATTCCTGCATCTTTAACCTCTCCTGTTGCATGCTCACCAGTCTCTGAAGCTTCACCCTCTCTTTTTGATCTGTTGCGATGAGACTGTTGTCATGGTGACCATCACCAGGCATTCGGTACTCCTCCAGCATCACCCTATCTCTAGGAAGACTAGGGAAGTTGCTATCTAAATCATATTCCTCCGCCTCACCATTTTGATCTGGAACGACCTCTGGTTCTTTTGATCGATAAGGTGAAGTTTGTCTGTTGGGAACAACACGCTGGAAGGCGGAAGCTCTAACATTGTCTATGTGAGGAGAAGGCTGTCTGGGATGGTTCACCTGATCTCCTCTAGAAACATTCTCCTCACTATGTCTAGGTTTTGAATGAGGGGGAAATAATGCACTTGTAGCTGATTGGTCCACACTATGCGTAGTCCTGGGTGAATTTCTCTGAATAGGATTCACCCTTGCTTCCATCCGTTTTGGATTTCTATGGTCAATTCTGTTATTAGGAACAACATGGGGTTGTGATTGCACTTGTTCAGTTGGAGGGCTGGGATACCTATGAACTATTCCATTTTGTCCAGGCCTCAAGCCTTTCTTGACATCCTGAAAATTTACATTTCCACCATTCACTAGTACATTCTCTTTGTCTCGAAAAGCAGGATGAAAGTTCTGTTTATCGGGTTTGTAATGCACATCTTCCCTTGACCTTTGACCCTGCTGAGAATTTGTAATCTCATTGGTTAATCTAGAATGTTGATCCTCGCTAATTCTGCCCATGTACTGCCGTTGTTTAGGAGTTTTATATAGAGGACGGTTTGACACTTCAGAATTATGAGCACCGCTGAATGTCAAAACTCTTCTGATCCCAGAATCCTTTTCCTTTGCTAGAACAGGAGCAGGATCTATTTTGTTCAGATGTTGCTGCTGTTGAGAAACTTGATCTTTCTTGTCAGACTGGTGCAACAAAAGCTGAACTTCATTTGCATATTCTCCCCACTTGTGGAGAACTTGTAAAGGGCAGTCTGTTGGAAGAAGAGGCCGTTCACTATCCCTCCATTTTTCGATCAAGGTAAACCGACCTGTCCTTCCCATGGCATGGGCCAGTGCTATCACCACATCCTGACAACTAGTGGTGTCCGTGACACCACAAACCACTCTCGAAACTCCATCCACTCTCACCTTAAGTTCCGCCATTTCTGGTCACTTCAAAACACTTTTTGTGGGGTTAGATGACACTATATATATATATGCCAGTTTATCCTGGCTTGGCACTTGTAAATTCAGTGGTTGGTCTGTTATAGCACATCCTGGAAAACAAAACAAAAAAATAAGTAAAGAAAATATTTTGTTTAACTTAATTTTGATGATGAACATAACATTGTAACTTTAGCAGACTGGTGGCCTTCTGAAACCTGAAGTGATCTAGTCAGCTTTATACTTTGCAAAGAATATATGCATGCAGATTTGAATGCATAATTTATGAGTGGTTATTGAATGTGTTATGATAATGAAATACACCACACACAAATTGTATAAAAATCTGTATGCTAAACAAACAACTTATATGTCATTTTTCTGCACTTCAACACAATGGCAAACAAACTTGCTTATATTCTTTGAAGGGTCCACTCCACAAAATAAATAAAGAGAATGCATATGAAACACTACTGAAATTCCATAAAATAAAATGTATCTATGACAAATCCAGTAAAAGAAAACAGAATTCTTCTTTTTTCCCAACTAATTACGTACAATCCAATTAAACCTCAGTCAGTTTTAGATTCTTTTAAAATCACTCGCAAAAGAAAATCTCACAAAACTTTATACCATTGGATTTCTGAAAGGATTGTATGCAACATAAATCCTTGAGGCCTCTAAAGTCTAGTCCCTGAAATACACAGTTACTCTGTCATGTGCATTATTGGGGTGACACAGCACAGAGCATTCACCGCTTGACACCTTGATTATTTTATCAACACTGCAGTTTTTAGCCTGTATTAATTAGCCAGTCCAGCACTGATTTACCTCTTCAAATATGATACTGCCTGTCATTAAAAATGTATGGCAGAATATTAGGTGTAAAAAATATCCTCCACTGATTATTGTGTGCAGATATTCTACGTTAAATCTTCATGGTATCAAAATTCAACAACAATACAATATGGTGCAGCTATCATGTGTCCCTGAATATTATTTACGCTTACATTTTGTACTTCAGTTTTTTGTCATTTATAATCCATCCATGATGCGCACACTGTCTGGTGTTTAACAATTCATAACACTCAACTACACCATGAGGAAATTGTTACATAACTTTTAAAAAGATATGCAATCCATTTTGTGCCTGAAGAACATCAAATTATTATCTTAAAACATTTTAAAGAAAAGCTCCGAGTGTAAAGATAAACCTGCAAATGGGTAATGTCATCAATGACCCTGCTTAACAATCCTTGACACCATTCTCATGAAAAAGGAAAATCGTGTATTCTTCAGGAGAGTCCACACAAGTAAACTTTAAAAACTGTTCATCACATTCTTCAGTTATTTTCATAAAAAAAATTAAGGAATGGTACCATTAATCCTCTGTATGAAACAGATAATTCACATTTAAAGAGCAAAAAAAACCCATCAAAACAAGAGAAGTCCTATATAAAACAGATCGCAATAACATCAAGCTGGGCTTCTCAGAAAAATAACAGATTACGGTAATCCCATCAATACAAAGGATCAACATTCCCGATGGGATTATAGTCCTATTTCCCAGACCCCTTTACACTCTGGCTTCCACTGTGTGGTAATACGGAATCATCAAATCACTTAAAACACAGTACTTCAGACTTCTGTGAAATTAACAATACATAACGCATGCCTGCAGCTTTGATGGACATGCACTCATTAATTTTAAATCTCATCAACTGTCAACCTATTGTCTTGATTAATTAGAACCGAGTTTAATGACCTATGGTGCTGTGTCTGTCAAAAGTGAGTAGAATAAAAGGTGTATGCACTGTAATAATGAAAAAAAAACTATATAGCCAAATTATCAATGATAGCCATGAAGATAAAACTGCCCGACCGGAAATTTTTCTTCTTATCTTCTTCCTCCTTTAATGGGAAATAATTCTGATAAACTAAGTAAAAAAATCCTTTATCTTTATTGAAAAGGAAGAATTGTTTTTTTATCTGAATGAATAGAGGTTAACAAAAACTCCCCTTAAATGTCTTTATATCTCCTAGAAGCTTAGTATATGAGAAGTCGAGATACAATAATTAAGGACAATCGATTAAAGCTTGAAGAAGAAGCTGACTTGACAGATTTTTTTTTGGCCTATGTTACTTTGATGAAAATGAATCTTACTGATTAGTGATTTCTCATTAAGGTGTTAATCCTTAGAGCTTACATCTATAATTACTTACTGGTACCTATATAATTGACAATTGATTTTTTTCCTCTTCTATGTATATGCCTCAGGAAACACTGAAGATTGCTTCCTATATTGAACAACCAAACCATTGTTTTCCAACCTCAACGTAAATCTTTCATAAAAAATTCAACCTACCTTGACCTATATATAAATATATACCAACAGCTTTGTATAGGAGAAAATCATTTTTAAATGTTTGTGATTTCTATTGTGACCTAGTTGTTTTTTCTCACCTGTGCCTGAAACCCAATATGACCCATTATACCTCTTGTACCGAAAAAAATCCCACACTATTTCTCTTCTGAAAAATTCCATAAAAACCTCCCTTTCCTCTAATATGGTCAATTTACTGAAGGATTACCTCAGATCACTGTACAATCCCAGAGTACTTCAATTGTTCCTTTTCACATTACACCGTGAACTATTATTCCCTGTCATTAAACCTGACCTAGTCATCAAATATTCATATAAAATAGCCCCAAAAACGAACAAAAAATGCCAAGTATTTTCCCTCCTATTATTTAAAGTGACACAAAGAGAAAAAAGGAACCTCTAAAAAATTATCTCTGGGTAATCTATCCTGGAACTATGTCAGAAAAATAAGAGACTGTCGGGTACTCACCTTCTGTTTAAAATCCTCCAACAGGAACCAGATGTGATGTTATAGAAAGTATATTCTCTCTCTCTCTGGTCCTGTTCTGTGCTTCAGGGTTTTTTTTCCTTACGTGTGTAGGATGAGCATGTTTCTCATAACTGTAGACCTCTTGATCTCTCGATCTTTTCCGTGATGCTATCAAACCACCATGATCTGATTATTGATGATCTGTGTTACCTGTAAAAACAACAAACACAGGTATGTGTAGTGTATATATATATATCGTGGGGCCCTCCAAATACATGGACACTGGGTCGCGGCCCAGGATCTCTGTCGGTTTGTTGACACTGTAAGATTGGTGTGATCTACATAATGACAGAGCGACTATCACCCACTCTCGATCACATAATCTGTCACAATAAAAACAAAGATAAGAGCCCTTTGATCAGTCATTCCATCCTATTGAACCCCTAAGTCTTTTACTAATACAGCACTCTGACAAACACAATGAAGATATCAGGGTTGGAATGCTTTTTTTTCAAAAAGGGGTTGGTTTTTCTTTTAGGGAAGATTTAAAAATATACCCTACATACACACCTTATCTCTTTGGTCAAGGTGGACAGTAAATAATAATTTTATCTCCGTTCCTTAAAATCTGTAGTCCGAAGAATCTTTAAATTTCAAGACCTCAACATGCAGACTACTTAGAAATCTCAGAGGATTATTGTCTAGCATATGTATTCATGTCCAGGAGGATTTAAATATTCCATACACTGTTACATATCACATACACCCTTCAACCACAACAAAAGCAGGTGACTCCTTGTGTATCAAATCCGTAAAATCCCTTAGTGCACAATTTTTTTTTTGTGTTTGGAAGTGCCACACACAGAATATCAGTTCATTAAAAGGAAACACTTAGTAAAGACACCGTTGCTTCTAAAGCTCCTCTGAAAATTACGACAACCCCTCCACAACTCAATAGTCACTGGTGTGTATTTCCCTGCCAGTGGCTACCCATGATTAATATCTATATATGTAATGCTCGCTTATATTTTCCTGAGGCTTATACGAACAATATTTGCACAAACTTTAAAATACAGATAATGCCTTCAACGCTTCACAGTCAATAAATCACATAAAGAAATTCCATTGCAAGTGTATGATCTCAACTTGCGCATGTATATATCTGCATGCATTCATAAACCCCAAAAAAGAATTAATAAAATCTCAATGACAATATTTCAAAAAAAAAAAAAAAAAACTGTCAGCAGTATATATATATTAGCACCCCTTGAATTGACAGCAGGGTGATTTTTTCTTATAATTATATAGACCTCCTTATCTATACTTGGTGAATAGACATACCAGAGAAAAATCAATTCGGAGTCGCTGAAAGGAAACGCCAGACCAATTGTATTTGTAACAGATTAGATGAAAAATTTGACAGTGAAAGCCTGTTTCGAGTACCTATGCCAAAATATTGACTCAAAACTTTGTTTAAAGTCCGAAATCTCATATTGCCCTTTGGCATCAATATAAACTAGTTGACTAATTACCTGGTATTGATAATAACTGCCATTTATTATTTTGAACCCCACACGATACAGAAGTTGTATAAAAGTGCACCTGCTGTATACATACAGCTTATGGGCATTTACCTAAGCATTTAGCATTAAAATTGGTACACATATCAATTTATCAAAACCAATGGCTCTTAGACGAATGAAACAATATATATAATTCAATGCGATTGATTTTCTTGATACATTTCATACTTATTAATGGTTTTTATTGTTTCCAAATACCAGGTATCATTGTGAATTTTGTAGAAATTTCATCTGAAAAGAAAAAAAACCGAAATCAATACTGTATGTATTTGAATGTATGTATTTATAATTCCTCTTTCAATCAATTTAAATTCAGCTTTCAACCTTTTGACTTCAAAACTACGAATCCCTTATTTAAATTCAGATAAACAAAGTCCACATTTCCAGATCAAATAAAGTGATGATACCTGTAATTACAGATCAGAACGGGAAAATTGTTGACCCCTGAGGCTTTTACCATGTTTGTATTTACACAACTGATTAGACACAAGATGGCCATAATTAGCCAGACTGGTCACTTACTGGACATTGAATTTTAGAGACCATTTATCAGTAACACGAGAAAGCCCTTAAATCTTTGGATTTTCTGTCAACCTTGTGTCAGAAGAGAGAAATCCATTAGATGTGACATATTTAGCAAACTTTCACCAAGATTTACATCATAATTTTTTTTTGGTGTTTAGAATGAGAAACATTTTTTTTTTTTAAAGAGAAAAAATTTAAAACAATAAATTGTTTGTCTTACATCGCCTCTGAAAATTTAAAGTAAAGCCTTCAATTATGAATATCATGATTAAAATCAAATTTGAGTATCAAGATTCCTTTTCTGGAATAAAATTAAACTAATTCACTTAATTTAAATTGATGCTCTTTCTTGAATTCTTACATCACAACCTTTTAAATGGTTTCTTTCACTTTTGCTTTCAAATTTTAAAGAAACTATGGAAAGAACAAGGTTCACTTAGGGCCTTTTTTGGCCCTGTGAATTTCTGAAAAACTGAAACTGCTTAGTGTTAGTTGACAATGCATTATATAACATTTTTGAAGAAGTTTTCCCATTATATCACAAATGTGATATTTTTATCCATATGCCCTGAAAAACTGCTGAATCACGCCGGATATAGTTATATTACACCGGAAACAGTTATGTTGCCCTCCTGAACACCGTTATATTCCCTCGCGTGTAATCATTCTGCATATTAATTAAATCGGGTTCGAAATTCACAGAGGCAGTTGCTAAGCAAACGTAAACAGTTCCGCGAAAATGAAAATGTCTGGAAAACGTCTACGTTTTTTTTTTTATGTTCATTTAAATTCAGAGGAACTAGATAGTTTGATTGAGGAGAAAAATTCCGTAAATACAACAGAAGTTATAAGCACAAGTGTCAGCGTGCTGAAAACATTCTGCAATGAAACAAGACGGAATATTTCGGAATTATTTATAGAGGAAGAGAAATCAGCCTTCATAACTTTCAGCTGTCCCCCGTTATCATTTTAACAACAATAGTGTTAATGTTCCTTAGCATTATTATCGAAACAATTGGTACCCACCAATCAACTATTTAAAAAACAATTTGCATGTTTTTTCCAGATATTTACACAGGTCCATAGTCTTCAATACATATGTCCGATTTTGGTTTTTTAAAAATGTTATATACCATATATTACATGATTTCTCGGGCAACAATACCAGAATATTTGCCCCTCGGTAACAGGAAAGCCCTGGAGTGTTATGTCGCCCTCTGCCTTCGGCATCGGGCGACATAACACTCCAGGGCTTTCCTGTCACCTCGGGGGCAAATATTCTGGTATGTTGCCCTCGAAGCCATGTAATATATGTATAATATATCATTTAGACCTTTGGTGACTGCGTATCTATCAAAAATGACGTAATTCTCTGGCAAGTCAATGCATTATGACGTCATGAAATGCGTCATTTTCCTCATATCTTGAAAAATTCTACAAAACCGGCCAATTTTTAAAGCTATTTTTCGATATTTAATATAAAGCGCAACCTCTGATCTACTAATCTGATCTATGCAACTATTAAATGATAGAACTGTTTTTGAAGATTATAAAACATGTTTTATTTTTTAGATCAGAGGGTGCGGTCATATTATTTTTCCTCTCTGAAAGTACTCAAATATACCTGTTTTCCTTAAAATTCAAGAACATTGCAATTCCATAAAGTCTGTTTTCCAAGACCTTGGCTTTAAGGAGAAAATTTTTAATAGAAAATGAAAGCACTAAGTCTCTACTTTATCTTGATGTTAAAAATGGAACATAAAGTGTTAGTCAATAAATCGGTATGCCTACAGGGCCATTTTATGCATAAAGTGAACCTAGCTCTTTGTTTTTAATACCTAATTTTACAATATAACGAAGTTAAAGCAGTATTTTTGACAAGTCAATGTTCCAGGAAAATTCCTCATCAAAAACATTAAAAAATTGAAGGGAAAAACTGAATTCATTTCAAGGGTCAAACTGATATATCTTATCATTTAAGGTCAATTCCCCAGATTAACTTGTCTGTTAAAAAAAAAAATAAAATCATCTCTTTTTTTGACAGTTATAAGAATTAGACATTTCATCGTAAAATTAATTTGTGGATGGCAGGAAAATTAATTTGCTAGCTTTTAACAATCTTTCATATTACTCACTGTAAGCTCATACATATGACATAGATCTTTTTTTATGGACTGCATTTTTTAACAAGTAACTCCTGTCAGAAAAAACTATTTCCTGTGCCCACAGATGTCTTGACACCAATTTATTGCAAACTGTCACGAATATTGCCTACCTGGGCAAACCGTGAAATTTATTCCAAACAATTACATGTACATGTGTAAATTATGAATAATATTCACAATTATACCTCTGTATATATAGATTCATATGATGTATAATACATCAGAATTTTCAGGCATGCCATTTATATTCTACCTAAAGATCTTAATTCAGTTATAAATTCTAAAGCTTACTTTATGATTCAAGAATTTCAACCTAAGTGAAGAGATTTTCATGATACAATCCTGCAATTAGTCACAAAACTAACTTTACAACAAAAGAATTTTCCCTTGAATAAAAAAAAATTCATGCCACTCAACAAACAAATTCAGATGCCAGAATTCTTTTCAAATGAAGTTTGAATCAAAGTTAGCAAGTGGGGGTCCGTCACTTGTGCAGCATTCATTTATCATTTTAAACTTTAAATTCTTTATGCTGCAAATTTTATAGGAACCTACAACTGGTAACTATCATACCTGTGCAGTTAGACGTAAATCAAAGATGATACCTAGATGGAACTCATAGAACTTCAAAAAACAAGAATATTGCCCTTAAGTATTCCCCAAAGGTAAAGTAGCATAAGCGCAAGAGAAAGTAAACAAATTTTGACCTTTAGAGCTTCTCAAACTACTAGATGCACCTATACATGCATGTATAAAAATTTTGAAACTCTATAATGACCAAAGTTAGCTGACATGAATTTACTGTTTAAAAATAGCAGATGTACTTTGTGACTCAATTTGTAAACTTTGATCATCATTTGCATGGATGTGAATATACAGAATTGGAATTTCAAGACTACTGTATATATATAGGTATATATAATTAA